ATATCTGGAATCTTTATTGATCCAACTAGAGGTATACAGAATGATAAGATTGTCTGATTGCACACATCTCATGGAAACTACACAGTACAATCGAGATATCATATGGCTCTAAATACGACTACACAAAATCCAATCCAGTGTCAGCAAACACATCAGAGAGAGGTTCTTGCATGGAAAAAATTGTGAAATTCTAGAGTTCAACCGAAACACAAATTGCTTTTTTGGAGGACAGTCTTAAATGCTCTACGCTCTAAAGAAGGTCTGCAAAAACATGGGATACAAGTGGACACTTCCGAGATGTTTCACCCAGGTTGAAGACAACCTCCATCTATTTTTTAAATGCCCTATATCTCAAGTAATCTGGAGCTTTGCCTATCCCACCTTCCAATCAATCTTGGATGGAATGCTCATTCAATTCTGGATTGGTATGTACAATGGATACATACCTCTCCCCCAACGGAAGATCTCAATCTTTTCCTCTTAATCTTGAAAATTTGGATTGAAAGGAATGATAAGGTATGACGCAATCAAAGCATGGATCCAGTGTGGTCATGGCGGCTCATTAGAAAGGACTTTAATGATCACAAGGCTGACCTTTTAAGAAAGAATTCCATGCAGTTCTCGTTCGCCACCAGTTCAAAGACACATGCTCATCAGGCTATAATAACTTTCGATGGTTCTTTTCATCCCACCTTTAGAAGTGCAGCCAGTGCTTGGAAAATCACATCTGTAACGAGACTACTTATGCAAATCAAAGTCGTCTCACTTTCTTCATTATCGGCTTTCCACGCAGAAGCAATGACATGCCTTAATTAAGGCTCTTCAAGAAACATCAATACTTGGCCTACAAAATGTCTTGGTAAATACCATTGTGAATTGTTGACTATAAAACAACCTCTGAATCGGCTCCCTAGTGAAGCACAACATGTGGAATCACAACTATGACTTTTAGTTTCCACTTTTCAATCGTGTACTCTAGCTAAAGTTAGTAGAAATGATGTTAGTGAATACATAATTTAGCTTAAGCTAAGTGATATGTTTATATTTTACCTATTTATTATATCCCTAATTTGTGATTTTTGAAATATATTTTGAGTACAAATATGTTATTTATATGATTTTATCTTTATTTGTAGGTTTTTTACTCAAATGGAAGAATTGTTGAAATTTTGGGCTAAAATGAAGATAAAAGTAACTCAAAGGGAGAATTGAAGATTTGTTAAATTGACAAGGAAGAAATTGAAGCACTTGAAGAGTTGGAGGAGTTTTAATTTAAATTCGCTTGAAAAAAAAATAACTTTCTTATTCATGAAGAAATGGAATTTGACGAAAGCATATAAAAGGAGGATTATGTTTTTATTTTTGGGAGAGACTTAACCACAATTCTCCCCCTCTCCACGCACCGTCGCTCCAGCCGACCATCACCTCTCCCCATTTCCACTATCCCGTAGCACCATCTCATCTCATCATCATCACATTAATCATCATCATCATCTAATCATCATCACCATCTCATCCCATCATCATCAACCCATCACCGCCCTACACCAAATTCACGCAAACCTCAAACACCATCAGCCCAAAAACCTACACCTCCATGCACCAAATCAACCTCACGCCTCCATCATCCACGCACCTTGATCGCCAAGAGGAGCAGCATTGGATCAATTTCCGGACTCAACTTTCGACCTACTTCTCCCGGGTTTCATTGTTTTATTTATTTTTGAGATGATGTGTAGCTAAATTATTTAATCTAGGGTTTTGGATGTAGCCGCCATACTATTTAATTTAATTTAAGTTATGATTGTGTTTTTTTATTAATTAATATTTATTATTCTTATTTTTTCATCCATGTGAATACCTGATCAATATTTACATGCTTTAAGGTGCTAGTTGAAGTAGCGAGAGTGGAAGACTAGTATTAGTTTGTAGAAATAATAAACTTAGGTAGTGAGCCACGAGAGTAGGAACACCGCCTTTGCGACTAGTAATTCCAAAGTTCTTAATGTGCTTTTATTAACCCCTATAGTTACGAGAGAAGTCATAGGGTTAGTTTAAGTAAGAGAATTATGACACGAGAGTGTATAATTCTTAAATTAGTGAATTGTCGTGAGATTAATGAGAGTCGAAAGTCATATATCTATAAATTAAATTAAACTGAATAGTCGGTTGGTGAACTCGTTGCCCTAGGTTTTTCTTTTACTTATTTATATCTTTAGATAATTGCAATTGATAGTTTTATGTTTAGATTAGTTTAAATTGATAAATTGTTAATCTAAATAATAATAAGAAATAATTTTAACCGGTACTTGGTAACCTTCTTTGTGGGATCGACCCTACTTTCTGCTTTACTACTAGTAATTATATTAAATAGGTAATTAATTATTTGACTAGTATGACGACGGCTTGTCACTAAGCAAGTTGTAATAGTACAGGTACCGTTTCAAAAAAAAAAAAAAACTACTCTCTCGACTCCAAAATATATTTAGATGAGAAAAATTCATTTTTTTCAAAATACATGTCGATTTCGCATTTTAAGGTATGTTTAACCAATTTCTTCCAACATTACCCCTATATAAAAAATGTGATTGTGTCTAAAGTTAAAGTGTATTAGAACTAAAGAATGTTAGAAATAGTCTTGCATTGAGAGTAAATGAAAATAATTTAGTATTTTAATCAAATATTTATTGTCTTTTAAAGTTTATGCAATTCTTCCAACGACATTTATTTTAGAATGGAAGGAGTATTAATTAACAATGACAAAGAAGTAGAAACGATCGATTTATTCAATTATTTTTTTCTTTCGAGAGTTTATATTTAATATCCTTACAAAAAGAGAGAGAGCAATTGAGCAAGTAAAGAACTTCATTTTTGGTTTCATTTCTTGTTTGACTACTCATTTATTAGACATGGTTACAAACTTACAATAGTTTTCAACTATCTGGTCTTCTCATACACACTAATTCGTTAATTTTGGTGCCAAACTGCCGAATGATACAAAGCATGAGTAAAACTCGAGCCGTGTCACATGAACAGCTAAGCCAATGAGTTTTAGGAGCCACGGAGAAAATGTGTGGCTAATTTCACGGTTTTCACCTCAGCCAGCCGCCGACTCACCAAAATTTAACCCCAGATTTTTTTTTTTTTCCGTATTCTTTTTGGTTTCTAGTATTGGGGCTTTCTGAGGTGAATAGGGCGCGCCACGACAATTACACCTCCACCACTATTTTTGCCTTACCCCATTTTTTGTCACCCGACATTGACCTTCTCCTTCATTTCCAATTTTCACCTCCCTCGTCCTCTTGGCTCCCCCTCCTCACTCTCCTCAACCCAGGGTAACATGGTCATCTCACATAGCACGTCCCTTTCACCAAAAAGTATGCAACGTCCAGATCAAGAGTCGTCTTGTCTAAAACCGTGAAAAATAAATAGTGATTAGGAAGCTGACGAAAAGGGCTTTCCTGGAATTTCACTTCTCACGAACTCTAGTAATAAGAAATTAGGAGTGGTATTAGTCAGAGTTTAGGAGTACTAATACCCGCAGAATTTCTAATTATTAGTTCTTCTTCTGCTGCTGCCATTTCCCTTCTCTTTCTCTCTCTCCATATCACTCTATTAACATATCTTTGAGAGCTTTCTCTCAACTTGCCTCTCTTTATTCCCTCTCTCTGCTCTTCTTATTTTTCTTTCTTCTCTCTGGATTGGTGGGATTGGTTTTCCTCTCAATGGCCTCTCAGATTTACCAACTTTTTGATGATTCTCTCTAAAGGGTACTTTTGTTATTGTTATTGTTATTCCTTCTTTTGTTCTTTATATATTGCGAATTTGGTTCTGTTCTTTACATCAATTCGATGCAAACTATGAAGTCCTTCTTTCTTACTACCTGAATTTGGCATTTATTTTCTGAAATTTTGAGGTGTATTTGATTTGTTTGTTGCATGGGTTTTTTCTGAATAAATTGCTCACCTACTCTTGTCTGAGTATCCATTTTGCTGATGAGCTTTGGGTTTTTGGCACAATATGTTTGGGGTGGTTTAGGAATTGGGTTTTCTTCTCCTTTGCTACCATAATCTGGTTGGGAAAGCCACTATGTTAGACTAGTTCCTTAAATTAAATGAAATTTATTGCGAATCTTCTGATTTCTCAAAAGAAGAATGATAAGGGGCCTGCAAACCTTGAAAAACTGTTGTGATGCTGGTTGAATTAAATCTTGGGTAATAAACACTCCTTCTGGATATGTCCATTTATGAGGTGACACTAAATTAGGGATGCTCCTGAGCATTTGTTCGATATAAAAGACTACAACAAAGATAATGTTTTCTTAAAAGCTAACCTCTTACCACAGTGATAACTTCCTCATGTTGATATACCTTGCAAACCCTTAAAAGTTTTTGATAATTAGTTTTCCTAGTAATGGTGTGTTCTGATCATTTACAAAAATAAAAATACAAATAAGTATAAAATTAGAGAGAGATTTCTATGTATTTAAGGCTTTAACATGTCCTGCTGGTATTTTGGTCAATCCTACCATAGATGACTAAGTTGGGCACTTTTCTGTCGTATTTGTCCTGTAGCTCAACGAACCCAAGCTTTAGTTATTTGTCCTGATTTCATGTAATTTAAGCTTGTCTTGAATTTTGTATTTGACTAAAAGATCTGTGAAACTTTTGCTTGCTCTCTTAACAGGTGAATAAAGCTGCAGCACTTTTAGAGTGTTCAAATTCATATCTGGGTTGGTTTCTTTTGTCATGGTTGTGTGTCTCCTCAGAAGGATTACAAAAGCCATAGAGGCCTTAGTGGTGTGAGAAGACTGTCTTGTATCCACCGCTGATAGATAATGGATAGGTCAGACACATCGGGCTTTGTGAGTGGTGGATGTAGCTTGTTGGGATTTCTCTTGTATTCATTTCATTTGTTGATATACACTAATAGCTATTAGCAACTTCTTAATATCGTTGTGGTGGCTGGTAATCTCTCCTGATACCATACAAAGAGTAGACATGGATTCTCACCAAAATGCAGTATTTATGTCTCCGACTGTTGAAATGAGCAAAAGCAACTTTAGTGATACTGCTCTGCGGTTGGATTGCTTTGGTTATGGAGGAAGTAAAAGCTCTGTATTTGGGGGAAATCAGACTGCTGGCCATCATGCAACTACTCCTGATGACGGCTGCAGGCTGGTGCTTGGCTTGGGGCCTACTCCCAGTACATATTCAGATAAATTTTGTCAGTTGGGGACTGACAAAAAGAAAGGTGTCACCGCCATTGTCAGGCAGGGATTGTCATCTGACGGGGACTCGCTCAAACTCGGCCTATCTGCCGCTGGCAGTGATGATAATTCCAATGTACTTGAGTACTCAGCTTCGGTGCAAAGTAATTTTAATACACCTCGTCAGACTAATCGTGTATCACCTGATGGAAGAAAAATCCTGGTTCCTGTTGTAGATGAGGGTTCTACATCAGCAAAGAAGTCAGGTGGCTATCTGACCACATTTTTTATTGGACCAAAAATTGATAATAGTAAGATGGTGGCACAAACGGAAGAACAGTCGGAACTTGATACTAACTCTCTCTGTCATCGTTCTCAGCTGAGTTCTGAGCCGTCTATTGTCTCTGATTATTCAAGAAGCACTATATCTGGATCTACAACATCAGCTGATCATAGAACCAGCAACCCCAAAAGATGCAAATTTATTGGTTGTGCAAAAGGAGCTCGCGGAGCAACCGGCTTTTGTATTGGTCACGGGGGTGGTCAGAGATGTCAGAAACTTGGGTGCAGCAAAGGCGCTGAAAGCCGAACTGCCTTCTGCAAAGCCCATGGTGGAGGGAGGAGATGCCAGGAACTTGGATGTACCAAAAGCGCTGAGGGGAAGACCGACTTATGCATCGCCCATGGAGGTGGGAGGCGATGCAGCTATGAAGGAGGTTGCACCAAAGCAGCAAGAGGTAAGTCTGGCCTTTGCATTAGGCATGGTGGAGGTAAGAGATGTAAAGTTGAAGGTTGCACTCGTAGTGCTGAGGGCCAGATCGGTTTGTGCATCTCTCATGGCGGTGGGCGCCGTTGCCAATTCCCCGGTTGCACGAAGGGCGCCCAAGGTAGCACTTCGCTCTGCAAAGCGCACGGTGGTGGAAAACGATGCATATTTGCTGGTTGCACGAAAGGAGCTGAGGGCAGTACTCCCCTGTGCAAAGGTCATGGAGGTGGGAAACGCTGCCTCTTTGATGGAGGTGGCATATGCCCTAAAAGTGTTCATGGAGGCACCAACTTCTGTGTGGCACATGGTGGTGGGAAAAGGTGTTCTGTTGCTGGGTGTACAAAAAGTGCTCGTGGTCGTACGGATTGCTGTGTGAGGCATGGTGGGGGGAAGCGTTGTAAAGTCGAAAACTGTGGGAAGAGCGCTCAAGGTAGCACCGACTTCTGCAAGGCTCATGGTGGTGGAAAGAGGTGCAGCTATGGAGGGGGAAAATGTGAAAAATTTGCTCGAGGGAAAAGCGGGCTGTGTGCTGCCCACACTAGCTTGGTTCAGGGTCAGGAAACAAGCAAAGGAAGTATGATCGGACCAGGACTGTTCCACGGGCTCGTATCTGCTGCATCTACTGCAAGAAGTAACGTCGAGAGAAGTTATTCTTCATGTGGAGCCAGCATGATGTCTGGCTCTACTGGCTCTCCCATTGAGAGACCGGCAAAAAGACAACAGCTTATACCGCCTCAGGTGTTGGTTCCTTTGTCAATGAAGGCCTCGTCATCTCATCAAGTACCCTCGTGTTCTGAGAAGGAAGCAGAAAGGAATCCGGGTTTCAGAATTCCCACAGGTAGCAGCAATGCTGGAAAGGGATTGAATTTAGTACTTACAGAAGGAAGAGTCCATGGTGGTGGTCTTATGTCATTGCTTGGGGGCAACCTGAGGAACGCAACAATCAACGAGCTCTGATTCTCCTTTTTGCCCAGCATTTCCAGCTCTAGTTCTTGTTCTTATGTCCATATCCATTTTACTTTAGTAATAATATCGGGAAACTGTATAAAGAGAACCCGAAAATTGATTGTTTCTGGGCAAACTCATGTGATTCTTTTTTTTTTTCTTTTTTCAGTTATGGGATCAGCAGGTTCATTGGTCAATGTACCTGAACATAATATACACTAGTCTTCTTTAGTAACCATTCTAGCGTTGTGTGTGTGTGTGTGTGTGTATGTGTGTGTTTTCTTCCCTTATAGTTACACAATTCCTTTCAATATTGTTTGTGTGTGTGTGTGTGTTGGCGGACTGTCCATTTTATGCTCCGGCTGCAGTTTTCCGACGGTACAGCTGCCACAAAATTCACAATTCAAATTGATCTCTTCGCGTCTATTGAGTTTACGGTTCTGCTTTTTGATTAAGTTTCTTTAAAGATAGTAGAAGAATGAAACTTAGCCTACATTTTGAATTCTGGTTACCGCGCAAGCTGAAGATATTATAAATAGCGAGCGACTGTAAAAATTGAACTGAACAGTCGCCTGAATATAACAGTCCAGAAAAGGTGAATATAGGCACGAAATTGCCGTGTATACTGTCTCGTCTTTGCTTCAGTCACTTTGAGGAAAGGATTTCTCTCATCGTTGCTCAAATTCCTTCCGTTTTCTTTCTAGGTCTATTTCTGCGATCGTGTTGAGGTTCTTCTCAGATTTCTTTCCTTGATTAGAGATAAAGTGATTTCAAAAACTGATATATCAGCTCAAAAGCACAGAGTAAGCAAATATGCGATTGCATAACACCGATGAATTCACATTTTTAGCAATTTTACGATTTCAATTTCCGATTTCCGAATTGTTGACGCGGTTTTCCGTTGATTGATTGTAGCAGAAATTCTTCATGGAGAACATTTACGGCGGCGATGGTGGAAGCGGTGCGAGAGCTCCGAAGCTCAAATCCTTGACCGGTAACGTTACTCCTCCGACTTTAAGTCCGCAGAACTTGATCGGTCGAAGCTTTTGGCACCGTCATCATCATCTCCACTCGCCGAAGACTTCGATTTTGGATCCTTATGCATCATCCGACAGCTGCTCTGATTTTTCCAGTCAGGACTCGCCGCTAATTCGCTACCTCACCTCGAGCTCCGGTAGCGGCATCGGATCAAGCAGCCGCAGCAGAGGAGGAAAAAGCTTATCGCCGCTGCCTCTCTCTTCAATTGAAAACTTCGAGATGACACCGCCGAGATCGAAACCGGCGTTCAATTTTCCGGTGAAAATTGAGGAGGACGTGATCGTCATGGACGGCATTCTCGTCGACTCCGGCGAAATTCGCGCGCCAAAATCCAATTCTGGTCCAAGAATGAAGTCTACTCTAACATCACCGGACACCGGTGGGAGGCTGCTGCCTTCAATGCCCTCGCCGTTGACAACCGGTAAAGAGAACAACAACTTTTACAAGAAGGAGAACTGCCGGTCAAACGAAGAAATTATCTCTAATCGCTTCGGCCCCAAATGCCAGGTCAGCTTCCTCCCAAATTACACTTCTTCTTCTTTATTATATTGCGATATTTTTCCTTCAAATATCCTGATTCCTGATTGATGTATCGACTAAAGAAGGAACACATAGATTCATAATCACTCTGGACTCTCGAGTTTTCACCGTTTTGTTCACTTTCTGTTTGATGAATTCACAGGAGAACTTTAGTAGAAATATCACTTTATCTTGAAAAGTAGTAACATAATGAATAAAGAAAACAAAAAGGATGAGTGCCCTTAGAAGTGGAATTTTCCCTTTTGTGACATGGATTAGACTAGTACAAATGAACCACTCATGGTAACAGAGCAATTGGTAGGTTAAGGCTCATTAATCTATATTGGATGGCTTGTCGGTACCATTTTTGTGGTGACATCTTTAATCAGGTCATGACTTAATTATGGTTGATAGTCTACTATTTGGATTTTTTTTTTTTGTTAAAATACTATTTGGAAGTTGAGGTTGACACTAGCTCAAATTGGGCCTTTTTTATGAAGAAATCTATGCTTTGATAGCTGCCCTTCAATCTCAAGTTGGTTCTCTGCCCAATTACTCCTTAATTAGGAGTCACTGTGGGCTAATTTTGTAAAATATCCTGTCACAAGATGTGCTTCTTCACGAGGGAATTTCATAGAAGATCATATACACTTACCAATTAGACCAGAAGTACATGTTAAGGAATCTTTTCTATTAGGAAAATCCTATTTTATCGAAAATTGTAATCCTTTTATTAGAAATCTAATAAGGGCTTCTGGCTAACTCCACTGCACAATCGTATGCATATAAAAAAATAAGAAAGAAAAAGATAGGGTTTAGGGTTTAAGGGAAAAGAGAACTACTCGTACAATACTAGTTTTTTCTCCTCCTTTTTTTTTTAATCATGGATCAAAATTACTTTCTTTCTGTTCGTGCTTCTACCTGCACCAGAACACAAGATGTAAGTTTTGTATTTTTTGGGGCAGGGGTCAATTTTGGTTCTGGCTGTTTTCATCCATTGAAATCCTCTGTACTTGTTTTCACTTTTCACCTATTAAAATATATGCGTAGATAATGTCATCTCAGACTTATTTTAATGCTAATGCTTGACATGTCCTGGAAGCATGACCAAGTCAAGCCGTCGCTGTCTTCTAAAACTGGAATTTCGTTTACTGATGTTTTAGGACATGAAAAAACTAATAAAGTTGTAATCTTTCACTTTTTTTTTTTCTTTGTTGTGCAAACTCAATTCTGAGTTCATGACCCCACTTGGGGTTGGTATCTTGAGACAACATTTAGTACATATGCACTCCCTCTAGTTATTTCATAGTTTTGATGTCGGATCTGTATACTGTATCTTCTTTTATACCTCCTGTCTAAATCCTCTGTTCCTTTACCAAATCATATTTCCCTTCAATCATCACAGGTTGCACACGGCTGGGAAGAGGTGCGTTCAAGTCGTTTCATCAACAAGACCAAATTGGAGGTATAATTGATTGTGAAAGTATCTTGTTAATTGATCCCAAATTGTTTAAATTTGAAGAATTGATCATGTGCACTTGTTTATCCTTGCTGATTCTGCAAAGGCACAGCCCTGCCAGTTGTTCATAGCAGGAGTATGCCCATATGGCTCAAAGTGCCGTTATCTCCACACTAATCAAGTCAACGAAGTTTTGCCATCTTTGGAAGCATCGACCCCATCAAAGGTTTTGCCATCAATGGAAGCATCTTCTACTCCATCAAAGGTTTTGCCTGCACCGACTAGAAAAGTTTCACCAATCAATCCAGAAATCAGGTCAGACGGTGGGCGCAGCTTTGGTGACAACACCCCTGCGAACAAAGATTGGTGTCCCCTGGATGATGGTATAAAGATTACTAGGCTGCCTGGTTTGGGCGACAAAACTCCCTCAAAGGAAGAGGTTAATGCCCGCATAAAGTCGGTTCTCCATGGCCCTTCTGTGAAGAAAAGGCTATCAGTCTTCACTGAGTTTTGCCCGGAGTAGGAATTTCTTTCTTGAAGGATTCGCTTGGTTGCAGATTTTACCATTGAAACTATAAGGTACATTGCATATATATATAGGTCCTATGACTTAAGATAACTATACATATTTCCTATGACTCAGGTATGTGGAGAAAGACATATGATCAGGTTACTCAGTCTTTGAGAACTTTAAGCATTTTGTAGGCTATCAGATCTAAGTGAAGTGAATAGTCAAAATCATCACAAGTTCCGATAAGTCAATAGGCAATAGTAATAGGGATTTGTTCTTTTACTGCATATCTTGGATACCCTTTGATTACTTATACAACTGTTGATTCCTGGATCCTTTTTAGTCGTTTTTGCTTGATGTTGAAAGTTCCTTTGAACTGATTGAGGGAATTTTTTGTTTTTGCTGGAAAATGTTCGGTTGGTGCTGTTGTTAATCAAACAATTTTAGTGTCTTTTCGATCCTTTTCCTTCGTAGCAGAGCGCACAGGGCACCAATTTGCATATTTCGAATAAAACAATACGGCAAAACATCCCCTTTAAACCAAACTCGGAATACAAGTCTCGGTCAATTCTAGTTGTGTTTTTCACATGGATTTCTTTGTTGCTGTGCTAATCAACCACAAAAGTTTTTGTCAAAACTGAAGTCAGTGATTTGTTAAGTCATTTTCAGTGCTGCAATTGACATCAAGAAGATATATTGGATAGTACAAAGAGTTGAGTGTACAGAGCTTTCAGAACTAACAGATGAAAAAATTTCATGACAAACATTGTGGTTGGCGCATAAGAAGAAAGTCAAGACCATCTTGGAGTGTTGGAGAACCTGCTAGACGGTAGAATTTGGAAACTAATCGGATTGGAGAAAGGAATTTTTATTCTCCAACAGTGATGAAGGCGAGAGCAGTGATGTTCACCACCTAAAGGGCAGGTGGAAGGTCAACTCAGATAGGGGCGGACAACACCATCACTACTGAGCTGCCGGATTGTAAGAGATCACCAATGTGGTATATGGGAAGGAGACTTGATTATGAATGTTGGTTTTGCAACAACCACAGCTGAAATGGATTCACTAGTGGTGTGAACGGATGAAAAGGCCCGGGGTACCGACGCTTGGAATAGCAGTGCTAATGATAATATGAAAGCAGGGCAGACCTGTGTCTACAATATATTGTTGACAATGCCTCTAGGAATAAAATGATTGGAGTCCCCTGGATGATGATACTGAGATTACTAGGCTGTATGTTCGAGGGAGAGATTCATTTCCCACATTGACGGTAGTTATCTCTGGCTCTTCTGTTCTGTGAATTAAGACAGACTGGCAGTCGCCCGAGTTCTGCAGAGAGTGGGAAGTCGTTTTCCTTTTGGAGCATTTACCTGGATATCGAGTAAATCTTTCTACTGGAAAATGTTCAGTCTCTCGAGGATGGTTATTGGATGAGTTGGTTTTCTCAAGCTAAATTTGACCCATCGTCGCGAGCATAAATTTCCATTGGGGGAGATGCGAACATAAGCTAAAAACTGATCTTGTTTAAGCTAACTTTATACCTACCTTCAAAGTCTAAACGTTTATTTTTCATTTTCGAATTGGATGTGTTCCATCACAATCAACAACCACCACCAGCCATTATTTTATCTTTTGACATGTGCTAATAGGAAAACTTACTAAATTAATTACTATCCGTATTCCTCATGTACTGATCAAACCATCAAACTAATGAGGAATTAATTATAAAGCATTTCACAGCACCAATAAAAGAAGAAAATAGTTACATAGTCAGTGATGAGTATAGGCTAGTCATTAATACTAAACTACATACACGATGCTTTCGATTGAGTTTAATTCAAACTACACTCAAACCAAAGCAAACAACCCACAGCTGGATGGATGGAGGCTAAAATATTGAGTTATTAATAGATTGAAGAAACTTCAAACGTACTATTATTACAATAAGTATATCTATTACACCAGCAGCTTCATGTACTAGTAGTAGACGGTAATATTCTGGAGCATCATCACAAACCTGACATGGTTCCTCTTCACAATCAATATGTGACGGAACTTTAGAGAAGCAGCATGGAAGTCTGCAATACTCGGCCGCCGCTTGTGCCTCTTCCCACTGGGCCTGCAGCACCCCATATAACATACTAAACACTGAGCTCCAAAGGTCTCGATGACGCTGGAAGCTCCTCTGGGATTGAAAGTAATGTAATATCTCCGACAACCAAAAGTAGGGCGACAAGTGACATTCAGAATCTATCTCATCAACCTCCCATTCTGGTTCCTGTAGGCAGACATCATGGGGGGTATGATGACGGTTGAGTATTTGGTCGTTTCTGTAGTAGTAGTGGATGGTATTCCAGGGAAATTCTCAGCGCCAGTTGTTGAAACATTGAGGTTCCGTGCCTTGTTCGCTGCTGGTATCCCGTCGATGCGGGAATACATCTCCCCTGCTCCCGTAGCCGCCACCGACATAGGGTCTGCTCTTCTCTTCAGAAACTCCAATTAGTAGTTCACGACGATTCAGTTGGATTTTCCAAGGGATTGCTTATATATATACAGTTAGAGATGTATGGGGATTTTATACAGAACAAATCCTATAGAGAACATTCTGGACTCAATTTTGTATTATGCTACTCGTTTCTTCAGAATTTCTAAGTAATTGACTACTGAAACTAGAACAAGTACGGTTCCAGTTCCAGTAATCAGAAGCGAAAACAAAGAGAAAAAAATAATTAAATAAAAATACGAGTTGGTTGTAGTTTTATTACCATCTCTCTCTATATCCTCTGCCTAAAACAGATGCCTTTTTAACTTTTGTTTCAAAGATCAATAATGATATCTTTCGTTGGTTGCAAGCCTCGTGTACATTCTCAACTTTTTCCCAATGAGCAGAATGCTTTTAAGGTTTTAAGGTTTATCTATCAGACTTTCTCCTCTTCTTCAATTTTAAGTTTGACCAAGTTCGGAACAGAGAGGCCCCACGCTAACACGTAACCACATACAACCCAAAATAAGGTGTCCACTGTCGACAACAGTGACTAATCCCCTCCACTGAATTATAAGCATCTGATGAGTGGGACAGCTGGTCAGTGACTAATCCCCCTCACTGAATTATAGGCATCTCGATAAGTGAGACGGCTGACCAAATTATTTAAGATTACTTCATACTAATGGCGAGGTTCGAACCCTCGACCTATAATTTCCTCCCACTCCAAAGATTGCTCCATACTAATAGCGAGGTTCGAACCCTCGACCTATAATTTCCTCCCACTCCACTACAACCACCCACTACAACCATTTTGGTTTGCGTCATCTCTGTTACTATTACTATCTTTTTTTGGCACATAGTAATTTGTGTGAAGAAAAAACACCAGAAGCATTCGGAGAATCACAATAACATATTGTAACTTTTTCCGTGCTATTTGTACTTGTCAAGATGATAATTATCTCATGTGATAATTATCTAGAATTGTGGTAATTGTAGTTAGGTTTATCTTGTATTTGATATTATCCATGTGGTATTATCTAGTTATTAAGATTCTCTATATAAGTCATATACAATTGTTATTGATGATTGCTTGATACAAGCCATTCCATTCTCTAAGTTGGTATCGAGCCAGGTTACAAAAATTATTTCTACTTCTTTTTTTCTTGGCGGCCACCACCGCCGGACTCTTATTTTCCTTCGGCCGGCCTTTCTTCTCCCCTTCCACACCATCTTTTCTTCATCATCCGCAAGACAACATAAAAAAAAAAGAAGCCAAAACACCACCCAAATCCAGGAAACTCCACGCAGCATCTTCTTCCATCATTAACCATCATCCACGAAATTCACCTAAGGAGCAGCCAAGCAAAAAAAAAGAAAAAAACAAAACGAAATTCCGTTTGGGGATAAGTCCTCTGCAGGAGACACAAGAAAATTGCCGTCCACAGGAATGTCGTCAAGCTTTCCAAAATGCTCAACTGTTGATTCCACGAGACTTGTTGAATCATCCTGTCTATGCAAATCGCATTGAAAGTCGCCTCGTAACTTTGATAAAGAGCGAACAGCATTTTGTACGATAAAACAAGCACTTTTAACAGTAAAAACACGTTACAAGCACAGACGTAAACTCGTACATAACATATGAAGTTGTGAACTAACGCTAAAGGAGACTTCCTTTCAACAAAATTTTGTAGAGAAGATAGTTCAGCATCTGAGTCCCTGAATTCCATTACAGTCAAGAGGGAACACGAATAGTTGGTTAGATCATCTACTGAAGTACTAGGTTATAAGGGCCGAGTCCTGAAATTTAATAATTGATCAAAATGTGTCACGGGCGCGACCTTGATGGATCAACGAATTAAATCTGCTACTTGAACTACGATTATAGTTGCAAAACAAAAATTACTATGGATCAACCAATTAAACCTGCTACTTGAACAACAATTATAGTTGCAAAATAAAAATTACGATCATTGTAAAAACATGTGGTTTGATTAAACGAGAAGGAAATTAAGGTATCTTTCATTCCACCGTAGAATATAGCTAGTCGAGTACTATACAATTATTTTGAGAGAAGAAAAACTCGAATAATTGAAAACTAAATTGAATTCCATAAGCACAAGATAAACCCACTTCCAAGGCCGAAACGACCTATACACAATATTGTTTCCTAGTATGGACTACTGGTGTTGGAAATCAGAAGCCAGCACAGCTTGGGATCTTTCATGGTGAAACGGAATGGCGGCGGCATTATAACACCGTGATCTTCCAAGTCATAAACATGCAACGTCGCGTCCAATCCGGTAAAGTAGATGCAATTCCCTTTAAGGCCACATCCAGAAATACATGAACAAAAGCTTCTCCATTCATCAAGAAAAATGGCACCATCCTGTCCAATACTATCTAACCTTTCCCATGTCTTTCTTGTTAGATCTGTTTGAAAGATTTGGAAATCCACAACCCCTACTCCGCGTTCCAATTTCTCCACAAACAAGATCTTGCCGCACGATTCCATGAGATAATATTTTACGGCCATTGTTCCAGAAGAGCGATTTATCATCAGTTAGTTCTTGTGCACCATTTATGCATTCTCTGAACTGAATACTACTTGGGTCGCCTTCTTTAATGTCCGAACAAATCAGGTTACGATCAGTGAGAGTAAAGCCATACATTTTGCCTTGCAATATTATGGCGTCCATAAGCATGTTGTCCAAATTGAAATTTTGCAGGTGGAATTGCTCTGCACCCATCTGGCAGGAAAGACAAAGTCCCTTCATTGTGTCAATCTGCAGAAACACTCTACAATTAGTGTCGGTAGTAGGGTGTGGCGAGGATAGAATCGGACCAACTTGTCTGATGCTCAGGCTTCCGTCCAGCGATGGGAGCTGCAATATCTCCATTGTCAAAACATTCAGGAGACAAAAATCGGCTGAATTTATGGTATCCCGAAGCATCACCCACTCTCCATAAGACCAAAGCATGTCCTTATTTCTACATTCTTTGGGCGTTTTCGACTGATAGTTTTCATCAGATACGTTATAGAAGGTAAGGGTTGGGTTTTTCACTGTTCCGTGAAGAATCATTAGACATGGCCATGGCTTATTCACATCCATATCTGGAGGCGCAATTCTTGAAATACAAAAGGCTTCCTCCTTTGCATCAGCATCAGCATCAACAGCAACATCAATTGATTCCTGATGCTTGTTTGGGCCTTCGAGAATTTCGTTTTCCCATCGTAGACAACAAGTCAACAAATAAGATTTCTAATTTTCAATAAATATTCGAGCAGACGGGGGATGTCTATCTATCTATATATATATATATATATATATATATATATATATTACTATATTAGAAACAAAAACCACACTTTATAGAAACTACTACTATTTGCCATGTGACATTTCCACATCATATTTTTAAAATAAATTTTTATTTACACATCTCCTAGACTTAAAACGTAAATGCAATCCAAATCCACCTTCAACTCCTATTTTCGCAAAAAAAAAAAAAAAAACTACGTGTTCATAAAAAACCCAAATCCTTATCCTCATTTCCACGACAATCGACTCCCTAATCAATTCCTTCTCCACAATAAAGAAAAAAAACAAATTTCTCATCAATCATCAATTGAGAATATGTGGTGAAATATACTCCTTTCCTATTACCATGTTAAATTTTTTCATTAATGATGATCAACTACATCCTAATCTGATAAGATTTCGAGTTCAAAAAATATTCTCTTTACCTCACTATATAAAACAAAGGAAAAAAAAAATTCTCATTGATCTTGCTTCGGCCATTATGGTGGTGCCATTACAGGTATTAAAATTTAAATAATTTTATTTCCGCAGATCATTTGTTTAGCTTTTATTATTTTTTGTTTTTCCCATTCAAGAATAGTGTTATTACTATTATTTTTATGTGTCCATCCGTTACAGCTACCGTAGCCGTTGTCAAGTAATATGATGTGATTTCTTATATGGTTAGTTAGCCTAGAATTTTTGTATAATTTTAGTTCTGTTTGGATTGAATTGATTAATTGGATTTTTGTTAAAAAGTGTGGTTTTTTATTTTCTTTTTTATGTTTCATTCAATTAGACTGGTTTTCTTTTTTTAATTATGGAGTCTCAGGTTTTTTTCGTATATGGTCAGTTATGAAGTGTGTTTTTTCTTTGTTTAATTACTTTTGTTTTTGTTTCATACTCCCAGTTGACCAATTATTATTATTATTATTTTATTTTATTTACAAATGAAGCGTTTTTTTTGGTGTTCGGCCTTTCAAGAATATACTTTTTTGGATTTGGTTTTTAGACTTTTTTTAGTTCCTCATCATATAAATAGTTCAGGTCGCTTCTTCTAACTAATTTATATGGAAGCTTTTTATGAATTTGAGATGGAGAGGGAAAGAATGATTTTTCTACGTTTATTTGTGTTTTTATACATCATTTTTACCTACAGAAAAAAATAAATTTCTCAATTTTTAATGGGTTATCTTTTACTTTTTTTTTTTTTTAAATTTGCCATGGTGAGGTGAGTTCTTTTTTGCTATAACTTGAAACCTATATAAATTTACATTATTTTCATTCTCATATTTGTGATCAACCAGTTTCAACAATTAACCAGTTTTAAAATCATATTTTTGATATTTTACTACCTATAAACTTTTGGAAGAAATAGTTTCAACAATTAAGCGTATACCCTTTGGAGGAAGCTTACTACAAAGCTATTATAAATCTCCCAAACTAAGTATTGATTTGGCACAACCAATGGAAAACATCAATAAGTTATCTTACTAATATTTAAACTTATGAGTATGCTTTTATATTTTGTCTTGCATTTACTTCAAGACACATATTTGATCAAATTTATTTATATTTAAGAAGTAACACTTATAAAATATTTTTAAACATTTCTAAAATTTACAGATATATTGGACCAGGGTCGCACATTGCGCGACCAGCATCACTAGTGTATATATATATATATATATATATATATATATATATATATATATATATATATATAGATCAACACACCCGATTAGAAACTAAATCAAGATCCAACAGATTCCAAATTTACTCTTGAAAAGATTACAACCAAGTTGCCGTATTATATTTATAAATATACGGCAAAAATATACCAGAGTTTCCCCGTTGAAATCAAATTTTCTTAAACCCTACAACAAGTATTCTCGTACGTGTTCCGGATACAAATAAAGTTCCAAGATAAACCCAGGTTCGCTTTTATTATCTTTCTCCTGATTTATGAGCTTTATTATAAAAATCAGGCACGGTCTTGCCGTAAAATTTTAATTAAGTTATTCTCTCATAGTCTCATATGCGTGTGGGATAGAGATTAGACCATCTACATATATTATGTGTCACTAAATTTCCTTCCAAGAAGAAAATCAAAGTTTATACGGTTTCTGCGGACTATATGTGATTTGCTGTTGCTTCTTTCTAATTTTGTTTAACATGGATCTATTGAATTAACAGGAAAAGCTTGAAGAAACAATGGTAACCGACATTGCCAAGTCGTCTAATGATGAAGTTCAGGAGGTGGTGAAGGGGAAAAAAGGCCATTGTCGGATACTCCAGCTGACATCCTAAGCCTGGTACTGAGTAAGCTCGTTGCTGGGGATGTTGTTGCATTTTCTCAGGTTTGTCGATCATGGAAATCAAAGCGTTCCATTGTTGGCCCAAAAAACATGGATGCGCAGGATGCTGATGATGAATTATCCAGCACTCCATGCCTGATGTTCTCCAACGGCGTCTTTTTCCACCCTCTTCGCGATGCCTCCTTCCAAAATGTGGTTGGTTGTTAATGACCCGCGCGCTCTGCTACTTTCTTCTTCAATCCATTCACTCAGGAAAGAATAGATCTTCCTCGGGAAGCACTTTATTTTTATCCTGGATTAACTTTTTCAAATCCACCAACCTCTTCTGATTGCAAGATTATCCAATTTAGGCTAACAGAGATTAGATTGTTGTCGACACGATGAGAAGACAAAAAGATGATTTCGAGACCGAACTTAGATTTAGAGCCTTCGGTAACTTTGAATTGTCTCCGTGCTGCAATCCTGTTTGGTATAGAGGGAAGTATTATTGCATGGGGATGGATGGAGATCTTGCTATATATGATCCTACTAGAAACAAGCTTCGCCAAACATACTCTCCAAAAGCTCTATGGAAACATTTCTCTGCTTCTGATCATCGTCATTTCATGTTTGAAGGCGAGGGTGATCTCTGGGCAGTTTTTGCTGCTCGCCAGGGGAGAGAGTTGTGTGTATGTAAATTAAACATTGACAAGATGATTTGAGAAATAGTGGATGATTTAGAGGACAGAATGTTGTTTGTCAGTCCAATAGCATCGGTTGTGGAGAGGGCTAAGGTAAGAGGAGTAGGTAACAAGATCTATTTCCCAAAGTTTCGAGGAGATCAAGAATTAATGTTCTATTCTCTTGCCACTAAAAGGTATCACACTTTTAAAGGAACAACTTACCAAAGTTTTCACGGTTCTAAAGAGATGTTGCGCTCCACATGGATTAAGATTGACTTCAAACCTACTCAAACATGGAGCGAAGGTCCCTCGTGGTGATCAAACTTTTGAAGTTTTTGTTGTTCTTATCATTATTATTATTATTTATTTATTTATTTATATTAATAAGAAAATTTGTGTTATGGTTTAAGTTTAGTAAATTGTGTCTTTTTTTTAAGTTGGTACCTGTATATTAGTGAAAACCGATACCTAAACTATTACAATGCATTCTACCGAATGCTAAGTCATGTAGTTCATTTATTTCGTCTCTGCTCACTTTAATCAGTGTACATAATTGAAAAGATAGCATAGTAGTTCTTAGTAAAGTGATAACTTCTTGTGCCTCCGAAGGTATGAGGTCCAATTGCCGGTTAACCGTCAATGTCTCACACTCCGTGTAGACATGTAGTCTAGTGATTCTAAGATTCTGGGCTACCTTTAGGGCGAGGAGCTATGTCATTATCTTTGATTGTAGGGGGAAGAGTGCATCCAAATCCGTCGCCTTTACTTGCATTACCATACTATGGGAAAAACGATTTCCAGGCTCTAACCGCTTTCCGTGTCTGGCGACCAAATGAGCCATCAAATATGTAAGATGTCCTCCTCGTGAGTACCACAACGTGGACACAGAATCTCCATTGAAACGCCTCGCCTGTTAAGTTTTGTTCTGGTTGGTCAGGCGTCAAATAGAGCTCTCCAAAAGAGGAACTTTTGTTTTGGTTGGACTCTCAAATTCCAGACATTTCCAAGCCAATTTTTCCAAATTCAATACCGCTGGGTTGGGAGCTGTTGCCGGAGAAGGCTATTGTTGGCTAGTTGATAGCCTTATTTGACCGTGTAGTTTCCATGAGCTGAGTACGTCCATTGGAGTTTATCTGGCTGATTTGATCTTGCCGGATCAATGAATACCCGCGATACAGGAAATCACATGATCCGGGAAGAATCGTCTGAGTGCATTTACTCTCCATTGGCCATTCTCAAAAATGAATCTATATTATCTTCTATTTGGTATGATGTTGCACTAACTCGGCTCCCTACATAATGCTTCTAAATCCCGAGGATGGAGCATAAGGAGGGTGGACTGGGGGGAATACCCCATTGTTGCAATATTTGGCGCGGAACAGTTTTGCTATCAGGGAATTTGGGGACGACATTATTTTCCACGCATGTTTTGCCAAGAGTGCTTGCCAAGAGTGCTTGATTAAATTGTTTTGTGGCTTTGAGACCTGAACCTCCATGAAAAATGGATCTTGTTATCTTCTTCCAGGTTCTCCAGTGGATCCTTTTGTTCTGACAATCGCCTTTTCATATAAAAGCTCTAATGAGCTAATCAACCTTATGTAAGGTTTGAGCAGGTAGCTGGAAACCTCCCATAGGATATACCATCATTCAAGACAGAGTGGATTTCGCCAAAGTGACTCGACCAAGAAGGGGTGGCAACCTAGTTTTCCATGAGGCAAACTTACCACTGATTTTGGAAGTGAATTGTCCAAAAATATCCGTTTTCTTTTCAGTGAAGTCCAAGCTCATTCGCAAGTACTTGCTATGAAACTGGCCCATAGGAATTTGCAGAGTCGTGTGGATGAAGGACGCCGTTTCTCTGGTGGTTTTCGGGCTGATGAGAATGGAGAATTTGTGGAAATTAATTCGCTGGCCAGAAAAGGTGGTGTACTTTTCCAATAATCCTGCCAGTGCCATGATTGAAGATTCCTTATATTTTATAAAGAAGGGACTATCATCCGGGTACATTAAATGACTAACTCGAGGTGTCTGACGGTTGATCTTAATTTCCAGTCCTGGAAAATGATAAATCTTTGATTTTATAGCAGATGATAATACCTGTTAACTTAGGATGAACAAATAAGGAGATGGAGGAAAACCTTGCCTAAGTCCCTTATTTGGTGAGAATGAGGGCAAACTTTTTCCATTGAAGCGAATAGAATAAGACATTGAAGAAACATAGTGCATGATTAGAGTAATCAATCTCGATGGAAAATTTGCTTTGTGGAGTACCGCTTGTAAGAAAGACCATAAAACTCGATCATAAGTTTTGCTCATATCGAGTTTTACTGCTGCCAGCCCAAGTTTGCCCTTTCTCTTCCTAATACATTCAACCACCTCATGCGCAATGAGAATGTTCTCACTAATATTTCTCCCTGGAACAAAACCATTTTGGTTCTCATCTATGAGAGTATTCATGACCAGCTTGAGGCGGTTGGTGTTCATCTTGGTGATAATCCTGTACTTGACATTGCAAAGGCTGATAGTCCTAAAATCATTAGTGGTGGTTGGTGTTGAAGACTTGGGAATAAGTACCAATCTGGTATGATTCCATTCCAGAGGGAAAGTCATATTAGTGAATGCTTCCAAGATAGAATTCTGAACCTCAGTGCCGATGATGTCTTTATAGTGTTGATAAAAACTAGTTGGCATACCATCTGGACCTAAGAATTTCAACGGGGACAACTGTTTTATGGTTATCCATCCAAACCTCTTATACTGTAAAAGGTTCATCAAGGGCACAAATCTGTTCTAGCATCAAAGATTCTTCTATGTTCTGGAGAAGGTTATGGAGGAAGGGGGAAGACTGGCTGGGTGAGAAGTTAGGACATGCTGACGTGTAAATACTAAAGAAATGCTCTTGAACTAGTGAACCAAGTTGACCCTGATCCTGAATCCAGTTCCCATGCACTTCACATAATTCATTAATCCACTTTCCTTTCTTTCTTGATGCCCAAGTGTGGAAGAATTTTGTGTTTCTATCCCCAAATTGTGACCAGTTTATCTTTGCACGCTGATGCCAATAGTCATGTTGAAGTTCTAGAGTTGATTTCAAATCTAGTCTAGTTTGCTGGAGTTGATCAGGAAGTTTAGTGTCTTGTGGGTGTTCTTCTCATTGTAACTGAATTTGTGAGAGTTTATCAGTAAGCTTAAAAATAAGGGTGTCAAGACTATCATGCTTATGTTTGCTCCACTGGTGAAGTTTGGACATCATTTTGTCCATTTTAAAAGACAAGGCCTCCTGTAAGTCCCCAAGTTCCAAACTAGGTTGTGACCAGGTTTGATGAATCAACTCTCTAGAAGTAGGGCATCTGGACCAAAATTGTTCAAAACGATACTTTTTCTTTGGCGATCATTTTTGTTTCAGCTCCACGAGTATAGGTCCATGATCTGAGTGCATTATAGGCAAGTTTCTTATCACTGTCTTGTTGAAGGTGGTAAGCCATTGTTTGTTAACAAAAGCCCGATCCAACCTTTCGTAGATATGATCATATCTTATCCTTAACGCTTGTTCGTCCATGTATACTAGCGATGTTTTAGCTCCTCTAAGTCATTGGTAAACAAGAGCTATTGGATGTGTATTGTGTCTTGGGGTTTGACTTGACGGCCACCAAGCTTGTCTTCTTGCTCCACTATTTGATTGAAATCGCATAACAAGAAGTAGGGATAGTGATAACTTGAATAATTCCAGTTAACTGTGTCCAAAATTCGGCCCTATCTTGATAAGAGGGAGGAACATACAGAAAATGGCCAACTATTCAAGGCCATAGCTTCCTTAATCCTAGATACTATTACATTAGAAGACTGATAAAACACTTCTAGTTTAATACCATCTACCCAAAAGAGACTCAGTCCTCCACTAAGACCGACTGAATCTACTATAAGAGAGTTTTTAAAAGCAGTAGTTTGCTGCCACACTAACATAGTATCCTTACTGGCCTTGGTCTCCATTAGAAACAAACACCAGGCCTATAGCTCCTAAGTAATTTACATAATGCAGTTTTAGAGGAGGCATTATTCATACCTCTACAATTCCAACTAAGCATATTCATGGAAACAGAGGCGGTTGATATGGCTCAACTACTGCAAAGCACTTCAGACGATCAGACACTACAACCACTTCTCTGACCTGAGAGTCATCATCCCTAAAGCTTGTTCCTGGATTGCCAATGGTCTGGATCATTGGCTTCTTGCACTTCCTCAGCTGATCCTCCTCAGAATCCTCAGAAGCCCTCTTCCTGCTAGTTACAGATATGACTGAATCTTAGGAAACATCCGTGTCAACCACCATGCGCCAAGCTGCAACATGTTGAGTGAGGTGAAGGAGTGTGTTTGGTGGAGTTCCTTCTATGCTTCTTTGATTTCCTGGAACGACGTAGATGGTTAGTAGCGTGGTAGTAAGTTGGAAGGTCCGAATCTGATACTGCAGTTTTCACTGGCATCATCCACTCCTTATCACTGGATAGATCAGTTGGATTCACAGGATGGAAGGAATTTGGGAACTGAAGTTGGGGGGAATGCCTGCGCGTTTTCTTGAAGGGGAATTTCCTCTGTTGGCGTACCAAGATGCTGCCTCCTACAAATTTAGTGGATTCCTTAGAAGCAGAGTAGTACATGGTTGGGTTATCTAGAATCTCAGTGGAGAGTGCACCACTTGACACTGAGTTACAAGAAGTTTCTGACTACCTCAAACACTGATACTGGGGAGTTACTTAGACTACCAATAGGGAGATAATCAGGAATATTGGGGATGAAAAGGTCACGAAATCTCCAAGATAGTATGAAATGAATCAGGTAGTACTGAGTGATCAGAATGAAAAGTAGCAGAGCTATTATCATTAATGTGAGAGGAATGAGTTGACAGAGAACGAAAACTACCTTCCTCAGAGCGGGAAAAATCAGTGTAACCTCCATCACTGGCTGCAGGAGCTGTTGTATGACTTGGATCGTAATAGACTGTAGACCTAAATCCATTGCGATCAATATGAGGAAAGGATTGGATCAAGCGGCCTGAGAGGTCATCATGGTAGAAGTTGTCCGCATTCATATCTGCTTGATCATAACCATCAGAATCATCCCCATCATCTCCATCATGGTCACTGTCATCATCACAATCACCATCATCATCATTATCATCCTATGCCATGGGGAACCAGGGGACTGGTTCTTCCTCTTCCATCTCCGTAATGGTGAATCTATCCTGGATAGCATACTCCGAGACAGAGGCATAATAATCTAACATCTGCAAAGCCTTAAAATTTGGGATTCTTGTGCATCTCTTCTGCTTGTGCGCATGAGCTCTAAGTGAACTAGTGTAAAGTGGCTTAGTGACATCGATTAACATTGGAGAATTAAACTTAGCTTTCTTTTCCGAGAAAAATTATTAAGAAATTGTTCAACTGCATTAGGCTCTAGCATATAGCAGTTGAGCTGGGTGTCCTAATCTGCCTCAGCGCTTACAATGCTTGTGCATTTGTTCAAATTGGCACCGAATTTTTCCTAACTTACCATTTCTTTTGGTGAAATTAAAACAAGGGGTGAGAGGATTACTTGGTTTGAGCCAAACCTTTGTTCTGGCATAGGTTGCTTTCCGGAGAGAAACACAATCTTCATTGAGGAGAGCTACATTACCAACTCTTCTAGCCAGATCTGCTATCCTTCTGTAATTCATCACGGTAATAGGCACTCCATGCATGCGAACCCAAAGACTAAACTTGTCGATTCTGATACTGTCTAAGGCTAGGTCCTCATCATCATAATAGCGTCTGAGAATCAGTAGTCTCCATTGATTGCATACGGGCCATTGTCTAAGACCATGATAAGCTCAGATCTACTAAGAAATTTCATGATAAAAAAGTTTGTCATAATAAAGGAATCCAGTGTACATTGGCCAGTTATCCGTCTAGCATCATAGCTCTGTCATCCACCTCCAGACCATCTATGAGTTGCATGTTGCTAGTTCGGAGGTATGGCAGCGGAATCGTATGGGGATCAACATCTACTCCAGCCCTGAATTCATAGTCCTCTTTAGAAAATTCCGAAGCTTGGACTAACATAGCAGTAAGAGTGTCCTCGTCCATTGCATGTCGAAAACTCATCTTTAAACTAAGGATTAAAGCAGAATAAAGAAAGGGGTCGAATCAAGTAGAAGCAAGAAAGCTTGGACTCAGAATAGTCCAGATCTGAGCTTAAAGTAGAAGGCTAAAAGAAAGATTCGAAACGGTAAGGTGGGAATAAGTAGAATAGATAAAAGAAGTGATAAATGAAATCTTGAACTGTGCAAAGGACATGCAAACAGGCGAAAAGATAGATGTCTTTTTGAAAAGTCCAGGGACTTTAATGCTTTTCACCTGGGAAAACAACAAGAGAATACTGGAATTTTGTTAAATGCCGGCTAAGTAGACAAAAGAGGAGATTTGATTTGGGTGTGGAGAATACAGACGGGTAGATCATAAATAAAATAGCTTTGGTGAAAGGGAAATTAAAAAAATAGGCCGGGAAGGATAGTGGAGTGAAAACTGTTTTGCATGGCATCCAAATGGCAATAAGTTCAACAAAAGAATGCCAAAAAGGCAAATAAAACAGGAAAAGGGTTATCAGAGGCAAAACAACGTGCTGAAAATGATGAAGCGGAATGATTGATAGATGCAGGAATTTCTCTTCTTCTTCTTCTTCTTTTTTTTTTTTCTTGAATAGTGGAGGGGGAGAATTTAATCTGAAGAATGTCTTGAGTCGTCAAAATACGAGCCTCTCTCGTTTGAGAAAATGATAGAATATTCTCTCATTAAAATTTTAGAGAGAAGGACGATTTTTAGTAAATTGTATTAAAGACAAAGGAGTAATAGAATGATATTTAAGAACATGCCTTCATTCATGGGATGGTTTTTAGCATGTCAATGAATCATCATCCATGGCCTTTTTTGGATATACAAATATACCACAATTCCATTATCGGAGTTGTTTTTTATTTTTTTTAATAAAAATAAGAGTCTAAATCTAAGACTAAACTATGACACCACGAGGTATATTACCCATATGATATCGTGGTTTGCAAACCTCCGATGGCTGGTTGATAATGAATATATATATATATATATATATATATATATATATATATCTATTGTTTGGCCTTTTTTTGGATAACTATTGATGACGGTTCTGGTTAATTTAATTATACAAGTTCCCTTACGACATGATTTGCTTGATCATGATGATGCCAAAGAAATACAAACTCTATAATTCAAATAAGGCTAAAGCTGTCAGCGTATATATAGTTGAGGTAATTATTATAATTACGTCATTCATGTTGTACTATATATACTTAATGTATAACAACCCTAAAGGTTTACACACTTTCATGTATACTTTCAAAAGCATGGTTCTTAACTTTGCAATTCCCTACCCTAATTCGTTAAAAGCACTAATCCTATATGTTATTTTTGTTGGTAATAATAATCAAATGGTGCAAATCTAATAATATTGTCATACCATGTAAGCCCAAGGCCAACTTTGATCAGTTTCATGCCCTTCTAGCTTGCTAATATTTTTTTAAAAAAAAAAAGACAAAAAGAAGTGGCTAAAATTAATATGGGCCAATAAATAATTCTTATCCCAAACTTTAATTTTGTCAAGATTCTAAAGTCAAAAAAGCCCAAAACAAACAAAAACCGAGGAAACTACTATAATCATCTCATTCTCACGCCTAAAGCGCTTCGAACTTTCAGAGTGTCAGTTGAATTTGCTAAATGGAGAAAGAACGACTGTCATCAGCGCCGGCAGCCATTTCCGGCGAGTTAGGAGAGGAGCAGGCTCGGCTATACGAAGCCTATAATGAATTACACAGCTTGGCTCAGGAATTCCAGACGCCATTCGACGCCCCTGCTGTGCTGGTGGTGGGTCATCAGACTGATGGGAAAAGCGCGCTGGTGGAGGCTCTAATGGGTTTCCAGTTCAACCACGTCGGCGGCGGAACCAAGACCCGACGACCCATTACGCTTCACATGAAGTATAACCCGGAATGTGACTTCCCCCTTTGTCATTTGCTCTCTGACTCTGACCCTTGTGTCGACCAGCATTTGTCACTTCAGGAAATTCAGGTTCTCAAGCTGTAACTTTTCGTGTCTGTACGTTAATTTATTCAATCTATGTGTGCATTAATTGAAGGGAAGCTTTTTAATGGTTCCTTAGAAGAGTTTATGATTTTGGAATGTGGACTTATTTACTGTAATCCCTGGTAATTAATCTGAATAGATATATAGGGAATAGTGTTGACATGTTGTCTCTGTGATGATAGTGTTACCTTAGATGGACAATTAAGAAAATTTTTCTTTATTTGGCTCTACAACGGGCCAATTCAATTATAGGAGAAACTTTGATCTATCGGGGGTAAAGGTTGGATATCTTTTACCTCCTCTTGGTGTAGTGTAAGATTTCAGTGATGTGTTTTTTGAAATATTATACTTGGTCGGCTATTCTTTGAAGTGAAAATATTGCATTTAGTGTATGTGATGCATAACCATATGTAAAATCAAACAATTAGATTCATCATATATTCCTTAGGTAGGACATGTTTTGATAATAAGCTTCCTAAATTCTGTTCAGGCATATATTGAAGCTGAAAACATGAGGTTGGAGAAAGAGCCTTGTCAGTTTTCTGCCAAAGAAATAATACTGAGGGTGGAGTATAAGCATTGTCCCAACCTCACCATTATAGACACTCCAGGACTAGTTGCTCCAGCACCAGGTCGGAAGAATCGAACTTTGCAGGTTAATCCTTGTGACTAACTGTATATCTATGGTGCTTTACTATTCTTAACGGTCAGAGTCAGACATGACTCGATGTATGTAACAGGCCCAAGCTCGTGCTGTAGAATCTCTGGTGCGAGCTAAGATGCAGCATAAAGAGTTTATTATTCTATGCCTTGAGGACTGCAATGATTGGATTAATGCAACTACAAGGAGGGTCGTGATGCAGGTACGTAAGTTGCTAATCTCTCTGCCTGAAGTCAACAATTTCAGCAATAATTCTTTTTTCCTCTTCTAATATATGTAAAATCTATCTTACTTTGATTTTCTTTACCCAAAACCATATTTAGATTGATCCTGAGCTGTCGAGAACTGTCCTAGTTGCAACCAAACTTGATACTAAGATACCTCAGTTTGCACGAGCTTCAGATGTTGAGGTTTTTCTTTCCCCACCTGCATCTACCCTTGATGGTTTCATGCTCGGTGGTTCCCCATTTTTCACCTCTGTCCCTTCTGGAAGAGTAGGTTCTGGGCCTGGATCAGTCTATAAATCAAATGACGAGTTTAAGCAGGTTCGCCTTATTGTTGTGTAACTTCTCTTTGAACCATTCACTTGCTTTCACGTATGTCCATGAATAGCGAAATTTCTTTTGAAAACTAAACTGATAATTTTTTTCTCCTGATTTCATCTTCTTCATCTTTCATATGCTAATTCCCATCTGCATCCTTAAAGTGTGAAAATGAAGATGCTTTTCACTTTGTCTTACACTTAAAATAGTTATTCTGGAGTGTTACTTTTATGTATATAAACCAAAAGAAAAAAAACAATAATTAAAAAAAAAATCAAAAATCATGTTCCCATTCTATAGCTTTCAGTTTGATTTTTCAAAAAATCAAAAAATCATGTTCCCATTCTATAGATTTTCACATTCTTATCTTTTTCAGTTATATATTTTTTACTGGAAAGTTATTATTATTTTTTAACTGAAATTGGTTATACATGTGACTCCATTATATGCAGTCTATTTCTTTAAGAGAGACGGAGGATGTGACAGCATTGGAGGAGAAGCTGGGTAGATCACTTTCAGAGCAGGAAAGGAGCAGAATAGGGGTGAGCAGTCTTAGGCTGTTTCTGGAAGAGCTTTTGCAAAGAAGGTACACGTGTCTACTTATACCTTCAGTAAATTTTTTATTGCGAGACTGAATAACTGAAATTTGTCTGTTGAAAGGTATCTGGACAGTGTACCCTTAATCATTCCACTTCTTGAAAAAGAATATCGGAGCAGCACAAGAAAGCTAAAAGATATAAATCAGGAGCTAAGGTTTGCAGCTTATCCCCCAAATGATGTTTGAGTTAGGGTGAAACTAGAACATAGTTGAGATGAAAAATAGTGTTACAGGGTAACATTTTATTTGCTTGCTCTCTCTACCATAGATGTAAATTTTTCTATATTGCACTTTCGGTAATAGTATTTGAATTCTTCTGAAAAATTTCCACAGCTCGTTGGATGAAACAAAACTGAAGGAGAAGGGGCGGGCTTTTCATGATTTGTTCCTGACAAAGGTCAAATTTACTCTCCCTAATATTTCCTTTAAAGATTTTTTTACAAATACGTTGTTTGATTGATCAGATGCTCTATCTGCAAGGAATGAACTTTAAATTAGTTAGACAACTATTGTCTGTTCTTCTGATATGATCTGATTTGCTGTACAGCTGTCACTGCTTTTGAAAGGAACAGTTATTGCTCCTCCAGACAAGTTTGGTAAGCATCTTGTTATACTAATCTACAGTATTTATCCCTTTTCAGCTCTTTGCAGTCTTTGATCATGTTTCTATCACCTATGCAGTCTGTGAATCCTCAAAATGATGTTCCCTTTTATTTGTTAATCTACAAACAATTCATCAATGGATATTCAGACTGAAAACCAGATATTATGATCTGTAATTGTCTTATTTCCTTAACCAAAATCTAAGAGGCACATATTGCTGCAGGTGAAACCCTACAAGATGAGAGGGTGAATGGAGGAGCATTTGTTGGAAGTGATGGTCTTCAGTTTCCTCACAAATTGATACCGGTAGGTGTCACTGTACTTTTTCATGTCATTCTGTTTATATTTAAGTACATGATCACTCCTTGTGTCATTTTGCAATAATTTTATACTTTACTCGTGTCAAGCTTGAATCTTTTTCATTAAAGCTGGGCCTACATTTTTTTTGAAATCTAAAGCTTTTTATTGATGTGGAACCTCAGTCCTGCTTTTATATTTTCAAAATTTTGAGTTATGTCTTTAATATTTGCTTCTCTCAGAGACTGAGCTTACTATTTTTTTTTCTCTAAGATATGAAGTATGACTCTTTATGTTCAATTTCTAGACCGACAATTTTCTGTGTGTACATAGAATTCAGGAATGCGTCTTTATGGAGGTGCTCAGTATCATCGTGCAATGGCCGAGTTCCGTTTTGTTGTTGGTGGAACCAAATGCCCTCCAATAACGCGTGAAGAAATTGTAAATGCATGTGGAGTGGAAGACATTCATGATGGAACAAATTACTCTAGGTAATTATGGATTTCTCATTATGCTCAAATACGACTATGATTGAGAGACATTGTTTCTACTTTCCCTGTTGAACACTTTGGTTCTCCATTTCTTTTCCTTTCAAAATTCAGGACAGCCTGTGTAATTGCTGTTGCCAAAGCCCGTGATACATTTGAACCTTTTCTTCACCAGGTGATTTCTTTGGTTTTATCTTTCATGTTCCCATTCAAATTTTTTTTTTATCAACCTCTATGTGGAGAATTTTTAATAAATTTCAGGAAGTTTGGCCTAGATAAATGTGTTGTGAAACTATTTTTTTCTTTTTGGTTACATGTAGTTGGGAAGCAGGCTGTTGCACATTCTGAAGAGATTGCTTCCCATCTCTGTTTATCTTCTTCAGGTATTAAACAGTATAACTTAATTTGGTTGAATGCATATTTTCTTTCACTAGTGCTCCTCTAATTGCTTTATATCTGTTCCCTATGTAATGTTGAGCAGAAAGATGGCGAATATCTTAGTGGTCATGAAGTCTTTCTCAGACGTGTTGCCTCAGCCTACAATAGCTTTGCAGAATCCACTGAAAGATCATGTCGTGAAAAGTAAAATTCTCTGTCCATTTTAGATCTTATGCTAAGTAAATTTCTTTGTCCAGTTTATATCTTATGCTTTAGCTGTTGGTCCATAATGTATGTAGCAAAATCTTAAAAGTTTGGACAAGCTCATCATTTAGAGAAACAACTCAAATATTGAAGTCCTCTTCTGAAATGCCTAGAATTAAACCAGAAATGAACTTGTAGCATTGTCTCTAGTGACATTATGCTGGAAATGAACTCTGATTAGTAAACTGGAAGCCCTCTTATAAGAAATTTCTATTACTGTCACGCTGTATGGAATTTTATGCATACATTGGAAAGCCGTATGTTACGGTGCCAAGCTTGGGATAATTTATCTTCTGCGCTAGAAAGACCATAATTGTGAGTTAAACTACCCTTCTTTTTTCTTTTTTTTTTTTCCCCGAACTTCAACTTTTAAGCTGTGAAGAAGATTTTCTGCTTCTTGGTCAACGATATTGCTTTGGAATATATATTTACTTTGGTTTTAGAACTATTTGCAATCTTCTTGGTTGACAAATACTTATTCTCACATATAAGGCAACTTTTTCGTGTTTGGGGATCGATTTTAGAAGCAGTCAATCATTCCTCAATATTTGCTTGCGTCCTCAATTCTTGGGAGAAAGAATATTCAATTTCTTTACTCTTGTTTTATGCATGTTATAGATCATGGAGAACTTGAATCACATCCTTTAAGATATGTTAGCTGTTTAATATTTGTCTGCGTAACTTCATCAATAAAAATCATTCTCATTGTGCTTCTTATTCACTCCCAGATGTATGGAAGATTTAATCAGCACCACGCGCTATGTTTCATGGTCCCTCCACAATAAGGTACAAGTTTATTATGGAAGTTATTCTCTTAGGTTGGGGTTTCAAATAAGCTTGGTATCCTTTCTCAACCATAAATATGGCTTTAGTCGGAATTTTATTCACTTCCACGGTGATTTATAACCCAAAGCTTTCAATTGATAATATTGTTTTCATTAATGTCTCTGCATTTCTTTTCTTTTGCAAGTGCTGATGTTGTATCAAATTACAGAATCGTGCAGGATTACGTCAGTTCTTAGACTCATTTGGTGGATCAGAACAGTCTGCCACGGGAGGTAATCTGGTAGCTGCCAATCTTTCTCAAGAGTTGTCATCTTTGTCTGTGAATGGTGATAAGTCAAGCCAAGGGCAAACAACAGAGACGAGATTGGCTGACCTTTTAGACAGCACCCTTTGGAATAGGAGGCTTGGTCCCTCTTCTGAAAGGATTGTGTATGCCTTGGTTCAACAAATTTTTCATGGCATAAGAGAGTACTTTTTGGCATCTGTAGAGTTGAAGGTAAGCCTCAACCTTTCCCTTAATAAGCTGTTCCCTGGTCGCCACAATAATTTCATAAAAAAAGAAGATGCTTGATTCATGTTTGAAATTGTGGGATTACACACTGCTGGTGATACGAGTTACTGTTGTAATTTTATCAAGTTCTATTTTTAGTGATACGAGTTACTTCAGATGAATTTTTTTTCTGCGAAGCAGCATATTTATTGCCTCGTTCTTTTTGCAGTTTAACTGTTTCCTCCTCATGCCTGTTGTTGATAAGTTACCTGCACTTATTCGGGAGGACCTGGAATCTGCATTTGAAGATGACCTTGACAATGTGTTTGACATTACTAACCTGCGCCATTCGCTAGGACAACAGAAGCGGGAGACAGAAATAGAGCTTAGACGTGTATGTATACTTTTCTATCATCTACGCGTAGTTACTCATCATTGTGGAGTTCTTACACTCATTTTTCTCGAAACAACGTAATGAATGATCTGCAGGTAAAACGGCTAAGGGAGAAATTCAGACAAATCCACGAGCAACTAATTTCACACGAGGTTGTGTCCAAGGCGTAATACGTTTGCAAATCCATTGTGAAGAATAGAAGCAGCAACGGATTAGTGCCTGGCAAACTCTTATGTTTCAGTTGGATTTCGTAGCAAAATGCGAGTAACATCTGTAAAAACTCGTACACTCCACTTTCTGTTAATTTTCTAGGATCCTCTTATCATCTCAAGATTGTCGTGCAAAATGCAATCCAGTTCGTGATATTTCTCTCATGCTTTAGTTCTTGCTTTTTGTTGGCTGTGCAAAGCAATTTCCTGATAACCAAATCAACTTTCGATTTGGGAAATGGAATCGAATGCGATAAACACTCTACAAACATACACATCTTATATTATATTCGCTTTTTAATCAACAATTGAAAAAGGACCCCTTCTCCAACGCCCGATAGAATTAACACTTTTATTCATAAATTATGCCTTTTATATATTAATTAATTAATTGATTGTAAACCCTGCACAAAAGATTTTCTCAAAATTAGATCACATCAGCAAAATCAAGCTAGGAAAAAGGACATAATGTGACCTTAATTTCACGAAATGAAATATACAGAATATAAGAAAAATGAAAAAGGAACAGAAAAAAGTCCCCAACTAGGCCGTAGGCCCATAGCCACATCCGAAGACCCAATGTCCGTTTGGATAAGGTTATCCGGCTGGGAGGAAAAAGACTGCTGACTAAAGCTTCCAAGGCCCATCATCGGCAATGACGGTATCTATTCCGACGTCCTTCATTCCGTCCTCCCATCGGCGGTTTCCTAAATCAAAACCTCCTCCTCCGGCGTACCGTCAATTCAGTGTGTTCTCACAAATCTCTCTAGACTCGCCTTCATCAAGTCAGAAATCTTCTTCTCCGTCTTCTCTCCCTAGAAAAACTGGCGTCGTTGTCATCGGAGCTGGCCTTGCCGGCTTAGCCGCCGCCACTAAGCTCCAGGCGGATGGTATCCCTTTCGTCATCCTCGAAGCTTCTGACGGCGTCGGTGGCCGCGTCCGTTCCGACCTTGTTGATGGCTTCATCCTTGATCGCGGATTTCAAATATTCATTACGGCTTACCCGGAAGCTCAAAAGCTCCTCGATTATTCAGCTTTAAACCTCCAGAGATTTTATGCCGGAGCTCAGGTTTATTACCGTGGCCGTTTTCACACCGTAGCTGACCCGATTCGCCATTTCTCTGATTCGTTGTTATCCCTTGCTAACCCCATCGGTACGGTTGTCGACAAATTACTCATTGGGTTGACCAGAATAAGGGTGTTGACTCAATCGGACGACGAAATTCTGACAGCTCCGGAGACCTCTACACTTGACTTGTTGAGGGGAATTGGGTTCTCGGACTCAATCTTGGATCGGTTTTTCCGGCCATTTTTCGGAGGGATTTTCTTCGACACCGAGCTGAAAACGACGTCGCGTCTCTTCAATTTCGTCTTCAAATGTCTGGCATTGGGCGAGAACACGCTTCCCGCCAATGGCATTGCGGCAATCCCGAACCAATTGGCCGCCAAGATTCCACCAGGTTCAATCTTCTTCAAATCCAGAGCCCATTCCATCGCCTCCAAGGACGGCGATTCCATATTCACGGTGAAATTAGAGAGTGGGGAGGAGGTGGAGAGCGAGTTCGGAGTGATAGTGGCGGTTGAAGAATTTGAAGCTGTTAAGCTTTTAGCGGGAAATTCAGAAACTCCAATTCAGGCGAAGACACCGGTCCGGAGCACGGTTTGCCTGTATTTCTCCACGGACAAGGACCAGATTCCGGTGAAGGATCCAGTGTTGTTTCTCAATGGCTCTGGAAAAGGAATAGTGAACAACATGTTCTTCGCCACCAATGTGGCTCCGTCTTATGGACCTCCTGGAAAAGGTTTGGTGTCTGTATCGTTGATTGGCTTATTTGATAACGTTGCAGAGAAGGATTTGGTGAACCAGGTGATTGATGAACTATCGGGTTGGTTTGGAAAGGCAGCTGTCGGGTCATGGAAGTATTTGAGGATGTACAAGGTGAAGTTTGCTCAACCAAACCAATGTCCTCCAACTGATTTGATGAAAAATCCCAGGATCAAGCCAGGATTGTACATTTGTGGTGATTACATGACTAGTGCTACATTTGATGGAGCTCTTGTCTCTGGAAGGAGAGCAGCAGAAGCGCTATTGAAAGAGAGATCTTCGACCAAAGTTTAAATGGTTTGGATTCATTGTAAATACAGGCAGGACATCTTTTCTGGAGGTAATATTTTTGGTCCATTTTCTTACCTTCCAAGGTTGTATTAGCAAAATGTGAAAATTCTTTGTATTTATCTGTTCATGAATCATGATCAATACATGATCTCCAATGAATCGTCTACTTACACAGTTCAGCTCTATAAGAAAATTGTATTGCCATAATGGTATCCATGTTTTGCACCTTGATATGGCCATAAAATTATGGGGTGTAGAAAAATGATGACTACATATGGTTAAGCTAGTCTCCAGGGATGACCATGCCGTGATAAGAAGATCCTGTCAAGAGGAGTTTGCAAGTGCACTCATAACTCGTTATATATAAGAACAGAATCGCTGCCTAAAGCAGCTTAGTAGACTCATCGAGCTCACTCAGACAGCTCACCCGATTTTTTGGTTCTTGCCATTCCGATATCTAGAATTCAAGCAACATTCGTAATTAGTTTCACTTTAGGTGACTCATAAGTTCAAGTCGCTCAGTCAACTGTTTGTGCTCGCCGTTGTGAACTTGTTGGTACCTGGGTGCAAACCTAGTGTCCTATGGAATGGATTTCTAAAACAGGGCAAATTTTGTATGCATAATTGCATATGATCATATACGGACTTTAAGATAATAATAGTTACCTTTGGTCTGAACTTACTTAAAACCTTCTGCTTTGATTGGCTTGATAGTGTTCGCATAATGAGAATAGTTAGGGCATATACTGCGTGTTATTCGACCTTAATTTCAAGTTTCTTTTGCTGTCGCAAAATTTTAGTTCTGAACTTCTAAGTTGGACAGGCGGAGTCACTTAGACAAGGATTTAGAGCTTCTTTTATTTTAATTTTTTTTTTAATTTTTTTTCATACTGCACAGAGTGTCCTGAGTGTATTGCACTCAAACAAATCCGTATCGAGTCGGGTCGGTCTCCTTTAGGTGGGAAAGCTCTCCCAATATTGCTTTTTCCATTCACGAGATTCGAACCTGAGACTTCCCTTTAAAGAACCAAAGTACTTTACCACTTTGGCCAAGCAAGTGACTTCCCTTAATGGAACCAAAACACCATACTACTTTGACCAAGCAATTGTTGGTGAGATTTAGAGCTTCTAATTAATATCCGCCGAGGAACTTGCAAACTGAAGAAAAGGGAACTGTTGTGTTTACGGCCTTTCTTTATCACTGGGTCAAATCCACAAACTTGGGCTAGTCCATTACTCTCTGCTTCCATTCAATCCATAGGCGTTTTAAAATTTCCATTATGCAGGCAATGAATATTTTACAAGGTGGCTGGAGTGGTGTGAAAAAATAAAATAGAAAGCACTCTCACCAAAGTGCAAAATTGTTACTTATTACTCCCTCAGTCCCAAAAAAAAATCTAGTTTGATAAAAAATGTTGTCTTAAAAAAAATAGTCCAGTTCCACAAAAGTCAAAATTAAAATAAATTAAAAGACTTAATTACCCTTTTTGATAAAGGATTCAATCAGTGACCTGGTGCCAGTTCAGGACGGTAAAGTTTTAATTCCAAACTTTTCCGGTGATAGTATTGGAATATTTTCCCAAATCTTTCTCGCCTGCTCGCTAGCTCGTTGGATTGTTTTTTGTTCATCATCATCGTCTCAATTTTCTTCCTCGTGCTGGCCATTTCTGTTGCAGTTGGTGTCTTCTTCGTTGCCGGCCGTCTTCGTTCAACTATTACTGCGTCTTTTTCGCGGCTATACTTCATCAGTTATTCGTACGTCTTTCGTCAGATCTCCTTTGCTATGTGAAATTGGAAGAAGATTTACATAGTGTTTAGGCCGGGCTGGAGAGGAGCAACGTGAATTTCTTCAAAAAAAAAAAAAAGGAGAAATTTTGAAAGAGTAGTAAAATTGCTTAAAATTAAAATTTTGTTTTGGAGGTTAGGGGATTGTATTAATTGCATCACGGGCTGCTTGTCGAGGAATGATGATTCATACTTTGTATCAAACGGATTGGAAACATCTGGCGAAGATGGAGGATGAGTTAACCTTGGTGGCCGCCGGGGATCAAGATAGGGGTGGCGACGATGGATCAAATCTAATTCTCTGATATCCTAACAGGCTGACACCAAATTAAATTAATTTTCGATCAGGGGTAAAAATGAAAGTTCAAATGAGAAAATGAGTTGTACATTGGAGGGTTTGGCCCAATTAAAAAAGTTATATATCTTGAAACTGAATTATTTTTGTAAGAGGGAATAGTATTCTTTTCCGTCCCAAAATGGTTATTATGTTGTTAAAATAGAGAAAAAGAAGCTTTCACTCTAATGAAGATGGGACGAAACACTTTTTTCATTGATCGACCTTGACAAAGTATAAATCAGTGATAAGAAATAGCTAGCGTCTCATTGGAAGCTTCCTGTCAAATCATCTGCTTTAATTATCCACATTATGAAGTTCACTTATAACACACATACTTTACTTCCCAAAGAATGACTAAAAAGTTACCAAATAGTTAGGCAAAAAGGTGGGGATTTTTGAGCTGATCACGAGCTCTTTCTTTCAATTCCAATTCCATTAATGGAGGATTGGGATGGAGATAACAATGAGTTTATTAGCCATTCAGAGAATGAAAAGGCGGCCTCCAATACCCACTCAAATACCTATCTCATCTCATGGAATGTTGGAAGATATGACATGACTATATGTGTTTTGCAGTCATCCCCTCGTCACCCTCTTTGATCGTATAGTTTGTAGGATGTTTGCAAAATGACCTCTTCAATTATAAGGGATCGGATCTTTTTGTAAAATGTACTCCCTCTGTCCCACAAAAATAGTTCACAATGAGTTTTCAAATTTCTACTAAATATAATACAAAATTTAAAACTCAATGTGGACTATTTTTGTGGAACGGAGGGAGTACTTGTATTACAATAATCATGACACTCTTCCAGAAAAAAAAAAAAAAAAACATGATTCCTATTATTTTTTGATCAATTACACTTGGTAGACAAAATTGAAACAGAGCATACTGAAAAATAGTAATTCCATCAAACATTCGCTAAATTTACTTGTGAAGATGACCCACATTCATTCACGCGACAAGGACAATAATTAATATTCAAACACAAAAATCATTATCACTTGCACAAATCTCCCAATGGAAAATTTAGTTCATGCTGAGTTAATGTTGTCATCGTCATAAATGGATGGATAGGATATACTGAAACTTTCTTCTTTTAGTTTTCACAGCTTTCTTTTTAGGTTTTGAATCTTTGCTTAAGAACCAATTGTTTGGAAAGAATCACGAATTGTCTATTCACAATGCCCTTAACCTTACAAATATATTTCAGATGATCTTATGCTACAAATGGATAAACCTCAAGAGACTTGATTCGTTGATTGGTTTGGTCAACTTTCACAGTTTCAGTTCAACTTTTGATCAAAGTGCAATGATCTAAATGCATGGAGTGAGACCAAATTGGTCAATCATTATGTTGTTTTAGGCATACCTAATTAAAAGAACGCCTAATTAAGTCTTAATTTCCATGGGAATGCTGCTGAAGTTTGCTGTGATACCAAAGTAAAGAAGCTTCAGGACCATAGAACCAAGTTCAATATGAAATCATCCATCTTTACTTTACTAATGTCAATGTGATCCGTTAGTGACATTGCGTTATAACACTAGACTAATTAATTTGTCACGGTGAGTAATCGATCAAAGATGATTTCAATGCACAAAACTTAAAATTGGAGGATCTCAGTCATTCGCAAAGATAAACACTGCAATAACAAGATTATGAAGCTGATTATTTTAGTATAGTAACAAATAATACTTTTATTTATTTATTTATTTTTAGGACGGAGAGAGTACGTGATTTCTAATTTAGCGCGAAATTCCTTGAGGTCATTCTCACATAGCTTAGACATGCATACGTAATGATTAACTTTCCCACCATTTTGTTTGTGTGGAAGAACGACATTACCTTATGGGTGTGTTTTAGTCATAATAGAGGATAGGATATTGAGAGGTAGCCAAAAAATATATAGTATGTATTTGCATGATCAGAAATCAGAATGAGCATTTCGTGAGGATGTCATCTGGTGCACCCCCACCTGTAACTTTCCATTAACAAAGACTTCTCGAAGGCCTTTTCTGGGGGCGGGCTAATGCCGCCTAATCCTTGTCCTTTTCCCCTGACGTTTTCTCTCGGTTCATCACTTCATTATAATCCGGCCCTCACTTCCTCCAAGGGAATTTTTTTTTTCCGTTTTTCTTTTTCGGTTATCATTCCAAATTCTCCAAAATTTATGTGTGGCACTATGAAATTCCATTTGCATGGTACATTAGACTTGGAAAAATCTACTTATACCTATTGTTCCGGTAGCGTAAGCGTTACACTGATATATTCAACGAGTTTAATTACTCCGATATACCGTCACGGTATTATTTCAAAGATAGCGTCAACACTAGAGTGGACACATTCTCAATGGCGCGATGGGGGAGAAGACAAAATTATGGTGCAACTAGCTAGAATTACTTTTATACCCTCTCTGAATTGTTGATTTGGCAGGCCTTATCCCTCTGCCCAAATTAAGCTGGGGCTGGATAAGGATGGGAAGCAACTGCACTAGTGAACTCTCTCCTAAGTCAACCAATAATAAACCATGTGGAATATTTTGTGGAGTCGGTAGTACTTCTAATTCTATGGTTCTAAGTTCTAACTCAATTAGATCAACTGAAAATTTTAAAAAGATTAATAGAATTACACTCTCACTACTGTAATTAAAAGAAAGAGTAGCTTTCTTCCAAAGGTTTTGTGAATAAGTGGCTTATATGACGGTGGGGGGGATCAAAGTTTCATTACTGTGGAAGCAAGCCCAACTTGTGTATATAACTTTTATTATTTTTTTGCCAATTATTCACAGAGTTTGAGAGAAGTCCAATTTAACTATTTATGGAGTTTGGGGGGATTTTAATCATTATGTCAAACAGAATTGAATGATGGACATGGGACTTTGGACTATTATATACTGATCTCAATTAAAACTTGTACTCCTTCGGTTCCAAAATTATTGTCCAGTTTGAGTTTACATTGTTAGTTCAAATAGTACTAAAAGTAAAATCTCAAATTGGACAATAATTTTGGGACGGAAGGAGTAATTCGCGACCAACCCAACATCATCAAGCTTTTTAAGACTTTAGGTGTATAATGTCTAAATCAAGTGCTACTTCTCTCCGTCCATTTTTACAGTATCACAAACTGAAGTATTCAATATTCAATGGAAGTAGTATATAATACCAAGTTGATTTTAAAAATGTGCAAATGGGTTTTTTAAAATTATATAGGTTGAGGGTGGTAATTAGTTGGTTACATAGGATTAAGCTTGAACCCCTTTACTAATGATGATCCAAAAAATGAGTGGCTGCTGAAAAGAGAAACAGAGGCCAAATTATGGAAAATGGGAAATCAATTACTATATTGGAATGGGTCCTGAGCTGAATTGAAGTTTGAAACCATATCCAAATCCAATAACCAAACAGTTGATGATGAGTTGATCACCACAGATAATTAAGTGATTGATAGTAGTAGTACTAATCCAGTTTTTCCCTGGATCCCAATTTTCCCGCCTGCATTACGTGATCCAGGGAATCTGAAGCATAATAATATAATTAGAGAAAAGAACAAAGTTTAGAGGAATTAATAGTAATTTGGAAAAACAAGTTAATGATGAAAATAATTGGTTTGATAGGCACTCCAACTCCAAGCTACATACACTCCGATGGTCCACAAAACAAACCAATGAGGAAATCCAAGACACGTGGATGGCATGAGGTTGATGATGATATAAGCATGAAGTGTGATGATGCTGACCCACACATTTTAACCAATTTCTTCCCCATTTTCATTGCGGTACTAATTTCTCCTATTTGCATCATTTTTTATGTGTGTTTTTAGGTATTTTTTGTATTAGAAATGTGAAAAAAAATTTTAAAAATGTAAAAGAAAAATATGATGATATGGCTTAGTTATTAATAAAAAATTTTGAAAAAAATCCACAAATAAACGTGTTAGACTAATTTTTTTTTTTTTGGATATTTGCAGGGTGTTCACCGTCGGTAACAGTGACTAATTCCCCTTGCTGAATTGCAGGCACCTCGATGGGTGAGAAAGCTGGCCAAAGTATTTAAAGTTGCTCCATGCCCGTGGCGAGGTTCGAACCCTTGACCTCTCGACCTATGGTTAAGAGTGGAGGAGTACCTTTCACTCCAACAAAACCACTTTGGTTAACTATAAAAGAAAATTTAATAGTGCATGTATATAGCCCGTGCTATGCCCCTATCCAAATGATCGAGTAGCCTACAAACACATTATAAAACTAGGTTAGTAGTTACTGTGAGGAAACTAAGAATGAATTAAAGAATGCCGTTTGTGATGAGTTTGCTAGCTTTTAACATTAACAGATAACAGATCCCGTTACTTGGAAAGTGTCCAACGTTTTTGTGTTGCCCCGCCGCCTTGAACAGTACCCCATTCCTACTTTTTCATATATACTTATTTAAAATGTTTGTACCACTAGTTCAAATGAAAACCAAACCATTATATATACATTACAAAAACCAGGGATCCCAAATATTCCTTCTCTCTGCAGGGATTTGTATATATAGTCTTATTATGGTGGTGGATTGTTGTTGTTGGTGATCAAAACAAATACTTACACTGCTTCTATTTCACGTTATGTACTTCTAAATTCTCAAGATTAATTTCTCTCTCTCTCTTTCCCTTTGTTTTCTTCTCTATATATATCAGTACAGTAGTGCTACTATTACTTACTATTCGTGCAAACAAACACCAAACCATTGTTTGAAAATTTTTTCTCAATTCAGTTCGTTGTCAACAACATGAGTAATAATGCGAAACTCCCACCTGGATTTCGGTTTTATCCCACAGATGAAGAGCTCATTGTCCATTTCCTTCAAAGAAAAGCTGCCCTGTTACCTTGCCATCCTGATGTTATCCCGGATCTTGATCTTTATCCCTATGATCCTTGGGACCTAGACGGTATATATATATATACATTAATTATGTGTTCAATTTGTTCATTTTTCTTTTTAAAGCAATTTGAGTTTGTTAGGTTGAAGATGTAAATATGGCATGCAGGTAAAGCAATGGTGGAAGGGAACAAATGGTATTTCTACAGCAGGAGGACACAAACCCGAATAACCGGAAACGGGTTCTGGATGCCATTGGGCGGAGATGAATGCATCTACTCCAGCTCCTCCGGCCAGAAAGTGGGCTCCAAGAGATGTTACGTTTTTTACGTCGGCGAACCACCGGAAGGTGCCAAAACTAATTGGTTTCTTCAAGAATACCGGTTGCCGGATAGTGGAACTTCCGCCGGTTCCAGCAGCTCTAGGTCGTCCAAGAAAAGACACTCCAAAATGGTAACAACTAACAACTAATTTCATCGACTATAAATTTTGGGTTCACATTCTTATGGTTTTATTTTTCTTACATCAATTTTTTTTTTTTTTGGTGAATTGCAGGATTATAGTAAATGGGTAGTATGTCGAGTTTACGAGCGAAACTGCAGCGATAATGAAGATGATGGAACAGAGCTTTCATGCTTGGATGAAGTTTTCCTCTCATTGGATGATCTCGACGAAATTAGTTTGCCAAATTAATTAGCTGATCATATATCAACGCCCAAAAAAGCTTCTCTTTTTTAGCTAGATTCACCATCCAAGCAATGAAGTTAGGAGCTAGCTAGCTCGACAATATAAATTGGCCTAATTTTTTTTTTTTTCAAACAGGGGAATTTCCTGGCCAACTCCCATCATCATTGGGAGGGTGTGGGCATGGAGTTATTTTGGAGTAATATTTTTGCTTTCTTTCAATTCAAGTACATTGTAGTTAAAGTAATTAAAGCTGTAAGACAATTAATCAAAGTCAATTCAAAGGGTGGAGAAACGTAATGGGATTCTAGCGCATTGCCTTTTCTTGGTTTGTTCTAGTAATATTTGCAACCAAAATCATTACTTGGTTGTGGTATTATCATTATTTGGTTCATATTTGCGTACATCCACTTCCATGATTCCAATGTCCCATTTCTCCCGCGGAAACTCATCACCACAAACCATTTTCTTTCATCCTACCACATAATATACCACAAAATACGGCAATACCCGTATATTCCATATAACTGATCCCACTTAGTAAAGAGAAACCACTCAAAATTGCTATTGTAAACAGACACATTGTATCTTCACGTATAGGAGTTTGATCCGATCCGATGACATGGGATGTCCACGTGGAATAGAGATGGGGTGAATGCATGCAAGCAAAACCAACCGCAATGGATGAAGCCAGATAGTACTCCTTCCGTCCCAAAATTATTGTCCAGTTCAAGATTTTACTTTTAGTATAATTTGAACTAGAAATTAAAATCTAAAGTGGACAATAATTATGGGAGGCAGAGAAGAAGAGAGTATCAGATAAGAGAATCAAAATGGAGAAAACTGGAAGGCCTATGCGGGCGAGGACATATGCCCCACTACATACCAAAATTCTATGCACTTTGATGATTTCTGTTTCCAAATTTTCATTCTTATTTGTCATGTTGGAGAAAAACCCACGTGCAAAGGGATAATTCTGAGAGAAAAGGGTTGAAGAAATTGGATGCACAATAAGGAAGAAGGCAAGAAGAAAGGGGTAGTTAGTAGTATTAGTAGGCAGAGAGATACTACATGTGGAGCCCTAAAAGCACTGTGATTTGTGACATTGAGATGGATCCCCTTTTTGTTTGGAGGGAGCAATATTTGAGCACTTCTTTTTCTCCCATCCTAAGTAGAGAGGCCCTTTTTAGAGCCTTTCTCTCAGAATGATGGGTATTTGAGAGTTGTCTTGTGTAACAAAGCTAAGTAACCCATCCATATATTTTTTTTTTCCGCCCCCAATATATTTGGTGGCTGCTTACACAAGCATTGAGTCATTTCTGATGCAAGCATCACCTCCATCCTTCACACGCTTGAGAACATCCCCTCCACACGTGTGCCATTCATCCCTCAAAAAATTTCCCCAAGTCTCATTTTCATCTTCTTGCTACCTAGCAACTTGGTTTGATTTGATCATCTCCAAAACAAGAAAAGAACCAAAACCCAAGAAAGAAAACGAAGAAAGTGAAAAAGCAAATGACTTTATCCCACCACACAAATAAAGCACTTTGATTGTGTAATTAGTAAAATTACCCCTTTAAAGATTAACACAAATTAAGCACTAGTTTTTGCGTCTTTCTCGCTTCTTCCATTTGAGAGTGCTCTAAGGTCGTAATTTGTGGAATGAGAATTGATTGATAGGACTGTTTCTTAACCTTATACATATGTGAAAGCCTTACCTTAATTGCCATCTAATTTTGACCATAATATTACTTAATAGTGGAGAGCCTAATTCCCCCGAGTAAAAAAGAACAGACCATTAATCGTGTTTATCAAGCTTTTTTGTTGGTTTTCAAAAGTTACCTTGTTAATTGTGTGTGTGTTTTTTGGCATAAAATAGTTGACCTCAAAACAGTGGTTTGACAAAGCATTTTTTTGCCCCTTTTCCCTTCAGGTTCTTTACTTGTTTGAGAGGTTAAGTACTCGTGGTTTACCTTTATTGACATACTTTTTAACCGAGTGCTTGAAAGCCTAACTTTGTCAAACTTACTTTAACAAGATGGTATGATGATGATTCTATTCTAGAGTGAAAATGTGCATTCTACCTGCAGTAAAAATTTAATTATGTAGCTTAGTAAAGTACTTTGGGACCTACCAAACATGTAGAATTATTGTATATAGAGATGATCCTTTACAAAGAAAGGTAGATAATCCTTCTTGGGTTTACGGAAAATTATTGGATTACATGAAGAGTTACATCAGATTATTCTTTTTTTTTGCAACATATGATGTCTGATGTATCATCATTATCTATGTTTTTTTTGAGGGATTATGATGTCTAATGTTTGTGCAAACTACACGCCCTTAATGCTTTCAACTTTATCACAAAATTGACTCCACAATATTCTTCCTACACCATATATATGTTCAAATCTTTCATGTTATCAGTACAAAGACGATTGACCTTTTTTTTTTTTAATTGGCAAAAAAGAAAAAACCCTAGTGCGGTTTATTGAGGTTTTTACGCATATGTAAAGAGGTCCGTAGTTAGAACTTCACTTGTAGCGTTTCTCATATCATAGAGTATGATATTTTTATAAACAAATGCTAACTGGAGGGGAAAAGACAAAACTTTTTGGTTTGCATTACTTTTCTGGGAAGTTACTTTGTTCATGGAATTCCTATGAGAAATTTTGTTAAAAAATTTTTAGCAATCTATTGCTCAGGTTGCAAGTCAATTTGATTAGAACACATGTAACCACAAAAACAAGGTAGTACTGAGTAAGTTGTTGCATAGCAACCAAGATTTGATGCTTCTGTAGGAAGAAAATAAATCACTATTTTAACCCAAATATCTAAGGGACTCTGGCATGTCTGATTAACTGTGTCTTTAATAATTAAACAAAATTACTCTCTCGTTAAATTATTTTATACTAATTTTACGTACCTCGTGACGTATAATAAAACTATTCCATTGCTTAATTAGCTCGTAATGACTGAGCATAATAATCATCTCACCCATACAGACTGCATATACAGCACATGCAACAGGAGAGATGTTGAGAGAGAGAGAGAGAGAGAGGAAGTATGCAAGTCTAAGGAAAGGGGCATACTTACACTTTGAAACAAATTCTACTTAGGATTTTATTTGTTTGCAAAGGCAACTCTCACTAGTCACACATCATATGTTTAAGTTTCCATGGTTTTTCTTTTGGGGGTTTGCTTTCAGAGACTTTGCTTGTAATGGAAATGGCCAAATCAAATTGAAAGCCATTATGATTGCACAAGTCATGCCTTCTCATGGGCCAATCTCAACTTGTTTTTAAAGGATTTTTAAGTTTTTCCACTGATAAAGACACCCCCAAAGATGAAGACTTTCAATAAGGAGATTTACACTTTTTACATAAATCATCGAAATCAAAGCCATATCCACACACATATGCAAAATGAGATACTCTGTTTCGTCTGGTGTGTATCAATAGTGTCCGAAAACAACATCATGCATAAGAATAATTAATAGGGCTTATAACTAAGACGATGCCATGTACAATGAAAACAGGGAAAAAAAGGCGCTAAGAATCATATTGGGTTAAATTTTGGAACGAGCTGAATATCCATAAACAAAGTCAAATGAGAAGCTCCAAACTGAATCAGCACACTTGTGTGGAAAAAGTAGGATCCAAAAAATACAGAATCAACAAGATGGAAAACTACATATCCATGTGAGACAACTGCTGTCAAGTGGAGATACCACTTGCGGTGCAAATTGACAAAGATCTAACAAATACCTCTCCGGTCCCCCACCCTTGTGATCTATATTAAATTTGGACATTTCTTTTTCACCCTAATTTACGCAATTTCAGTGCGTTTGCATTTCTAAGTAGATTGCAGATTCATGTTCCCAGAAAGTAAAATAATTTGACCAAAATGAAAAACAGAACTTGAAAAGTATCCCATTCTCTCATCTAAAGTTTTCCCCACAACTTGGTCATCTCCAGGCAGTTTCCATGCACATTATCCCACTATTGTTGTCGCTTTTACACCCCCCAAAAGGACTCGTTGGACTATCTTATCTATTGATGTCATCAGAGGGACCTTAAAAACTATCAATACATTTCCTCAGGATTCACATTTGACAATTCAAGTATTGGCAAAAAAGCGGTACAGGGGAAGTCATAGATGTAGGAAATGTGGTGTAGTGTGCTCCCAATAATATTGGATGCTTCATTTAGGAACCAAGTGATCAACTGCCCAATAATAACTTCCTACAACTACAAATGACGCAATCCCACTACGACCCATCCGTAACCAAACACCACGGAACAGTATACTTCTGTCAGCAGGGTGGATACCTGTGTACCTCTCGAATCTCTTCCCTGGCAGAGGCCATTTAAGAAGCTTCCTCTCCATGGACACGTACTGCAGTAAACCAACTTAGACATAGTCAATTCCACTATCCTTATACACAAAAGTATCCAATTCCCCCACCCCCAAACCAAAAGATAAAATTCTATCGCAAAAGCCTCAACCCACATAAAATTCTCTTTAAGATGGGAGGGGTTCATTTACAACTAAAGAAAATTTATGATCCATCATCCTAGGGGAAGCAGCAGAAATAGGAACCAAACATGCGTGAAACAGACATAACTTACAACCAGCAAACAAAAGTAAATTTACAAATAGATCCAAATGAGAATATCAGGACATCAAAACTTCTGGCAGAAAATATCAGAATGAATTCTTGGCCGAAATTACCTTTGGAATCACGATACACTGTGCTCGACTTTTGGCTGTGTCAAAAGAATGAGAAGCCGCAGCAGCAATAGCACCAGAAAACCCAGCGGCAAGACTGACAGCTACAGGAGACAGAGGGCCGATTTCATCATCTGATCTAAAGAAGATAATAAGTCTACTGTTAGCAAAGAAAACAGGCGAGCTAACAATAAAAGCAGAAGATGGTGGGATACATGAATTTGATAGTAGTTCACAGTTACTCAACAATTTAGCTACAACATGGAATGCATGCAGAATATATGGATGCACAATTCATGCACGCATTATGCAACATGAGTTCTTGAATTAGAAATACAGTTAACTAGATGACAGCATAGTCAAACAGTAGTACTTTTGAGAGATTCACAAAATAATCATATTTGTTTGCAAACTTGGACAGTCCCGGAGTGGCTTCAAAATCAAACAATTCACTCTTAAATCACAATACAACACTGATTATGAAAAAAAGGTAGACAAATGAAGCACAAATTTGATAACTACTGGACTGACTAGCATCGAACTGAATAAATAGCCCAAACAGCTACACTTAGCCGGGAGCTCAAAGTTAGGCTAGCATTCTAATCATTTGCAGATAACTTATCTGGTTGGTAAGGTGAAGTCATTTTTGTAGTGGTAGCAATTCGGAGAACGAAAAAGAGAGCGACTTGATGCTTCCTTGACATGATAAGAGAAAATACTGCATATCTCATCTCACAGATTAAGAACTATCTTACTCCAGCAAAATATGTAGCCCCACCAAATAAAAAAGCCATGTAATGTTTCCGTATTTAAGTTATAAAGTCAAGTACTGTTAAAACCTTAAGATGGTAAGAACGCATATCTCCTTATACCAATCCAATCACCATCAAATCTGCATAATTTTCTATAAAACCAAGAAAAAAAAAATAGAGCGGGCACAAGCCAGACCTTGGTGGTGGATTCATCCCAACAGCTTTCCAATCAAGCATTGCTCTGTGGAGAAATTGCCAGGTGGAGAAGAAAACACCACCAAAAACTGAGTCCCGCACTAACCCAGACCTTAACCCTCTCCAAAAGGCACCAATTCCTTCAAAAGAAAATATATGTCGCGGCCTCCGGACATCAATAACGGATGGAGGTCTGCCCGAACCTGTCATCATCCAAGGATACTCTCTGAGGCTAGTCATCGTATTTGGATGCTTCGTCGTCAGGGTTGATAGAAGATCAACTGTGTTGTTCATTGCCCTCATATCAGGAGAGTATCCCCTTAATAATCTTGAAAGTAAAGGAGAGGCAATACCCCTCTCAACAGTTGATGTTGTCTTTGATATTCGGGAAGCGGCAGCAACCTGTGCACGCAGCTTAATAATTTCAAATGGAGAGCTCAGAAGTGATTCCAGAGCACCCGCAGTAATTCCAGCTAGGAGAGCCTCAGAGACAAATACAAAATTGTCAACCCTACCATCTGAAGAAGTTCATGCGCACCAGAAAGAATACAATCTCAGCCAACGGATGCAATTTCACGTTATTGCCAAATAACAAAACTGGGACATAAAAATTCATGGACCAATTAACATACAAAAGAATTTGATCCAGATTTGTTGAGGTTCTTTGAAACAAACAGAGTATTTAGTCCATTCATTGAGAACAACTACCCAAAAAATTGAAAGAATTTAACATTCTGATACTTGCAATTGATCCATCAGTCACATTCATATGCCCACCACGCATTTTGGAGTTTTCAAAGAATGTTAGCACAAGAAAAATATCCTTTCTTTTTCTCTATCTAATTTTTCCTTACTTGCTTGAAGAATTATAGGTGCTTACGCATGTCCCAAGTCCCTCTTAATCCCAGACAAAAGTCTTTCACCATGTATGAGGGTCTGGATATCACTAGATACTGCAGATTCAAGCTACTTTTTGGCATTATGCACCAGTTTTAAAAAATTAAACTCAAAGACATCTAATTATCAGCACTTCTATTCAATAAAACAAGCAGCATTATGCCTTATAGGATAAATACTCATTTGTTACATTTGGCTCAAGATGCGAATACATTGAACACAGAAAATGGGACTTCTGAAAAGAACAGATGTCAATGAACAGAAAAAGAAGAATCAAAAATGTTATTACTGAATGATTAAGCAACTGGAAATTGCCTGGTACATTAAGAGATTAATGGAATCAACAGTATACCTTTATAGAATGCTGTCTGTAGTTCATAAACACCAAATCGAGCTCCACAACCTGATATTCTCCCAAGCACCAACCACCCAATACCTTTGTACAAACCTAGAAAATAGAAGAATAGCAAATGAAATACAAAAGGCAAGTTCTTGATGGCTTCAGCTCTATCTATCTATCCATCTATCTACCTACATGCCAATCCATCACCTTTTTAGATAAAAACAAACACTTGTTGCCACTCTCCATATCCACCAAGTTTATTAATGATTCCATCCACTTTAGATGACTGCTTATGTAACAATGCTGAAAGGAAAAATGTTCCATAATTCTACATAAAAATGCTTCTTAAATACTCTTCGGAGTAAACGTAAATGGATGAAAAGATGTTTACATCTCCATAGATTACAGGGAAATGAAATTACCCGAAATCCCTGAAAGCGTTAGAACCCTCTGAAAAACCTGTCCAGTAGCTAAATGCTTACTTGGACTTGATCCAACCTACATTTTCATGCAACCACAAAAAAGCCAGATATTAGAAAGGTCTCAACTTCGTAGTATCCTTACCACCCGCACACAACCAGATTCTGGTACATAATTCCAATTTATTCCAAAACCAACTCGTTATTTAGTGATTACACGAAGTAAACTCATCAAATAAATCAAGAGGTGTGTTGCTTGACTCACCAAGCTAGAAAAGTGCAAATTCCATCCAGACACACAAGCATGCATTGTACAACTTACACAAACACAGCCAATGCATAATTCAGTAAAACTCTGATATTGAACTCGAACCTGCACCAGGGATTTTACAGTGTCGAGTGGGTAAGTCAAAACAGTCCCCAATGCTACGGACCCTGCGGCTGCAACAGCGTGGGTGGCAAACAAATTATTCTTCAGCAGTTCATCCATTTCCTTAAGTTTGAATCACAAACTAAAGGAAACAAAGGGCGCCCTGATGTCAAAAAGTGAAATCGCATGCCACGCAACTCGTGATTCTCAGCATGTCATCGAACAAAAACCAGAACTCGTTGGGGAATTACGTCAAACACTTGGCGCGCGCATTTCAAAACCCCTCTAGAACTAATTAAAACAGAATGCTCTACCGCCTGTTAATGCCTGTGAAGTCTGGTAGACAAACTTCCGGCTAGCGGTGGACAATGGTTTTCGTGCGGCGGAGAAAATGACCTCGTAATACGTGGTGTCTTCTTTCAACTCAAGTTCCTCAGTTGTCACTGAGACCACTATGGTATTATTCCTACTTGCTAAGTGTTAGACCCGTCCAATGGACGGGGAGAACATGTACATATACACATTACAATACAAGCAAAGTAATAAAAATATCACTATTTCTATGAATTTTGTACTTTTATAAAATGTTAATTATAAATTATATAATTATTTCATTGAAAAATATAAAACACAAACATCAACAACACTTTACAAAATGGTAATAATTTATTTAATGCAAAGAGAATTATTAAAAAAATCTAAAAAAATGGAATATAAAAAAGAAAAATAATTAACTTTGAATTGAATGATTATATGTCCTGCAATACTTCTCTGTGAACGAAATTCATAGTCTTAAATTGACGTTACCACATTCATCTCATATTAAGTTCTTGATTCCTTGTCTCGAAGTGACTATTGATAAGACGACATATAATTGGTCATGGTTAAAAACTGGACGTGGCAAATAAAATTATTTGTTAATTTAAAGGTGTTATTCGGACGGCTAAATAAACTTAAATGGAAATTATAAAATGGATATTTAATGGATGAAAATTTCTACCAAATACAATATAAATCATAATATAGAGAAAATAAAATTATTCATTATTAGATGAATTTTCTATGAAAAACAAAAATGCTAGTTATAAATTTATAGTAACTTTTTTATAATGGCTTCATTCATAAAGAAAATATAAAATAGATAAACAAAAACACATGTGATATGGATATTTTCAGCATAATGTGGAATGTTGAGAAAAGAAAAAAAAAGCATTCAACTTCGAATTGAATAATTATATATCTTACAATAATTTAAATCAAAATCATTAAACTTATTTTGAATGACATTCTATGGTAGAATCATTTTTTTACCGCATTAATAATATCACTGAAGTTATTTGCATATTTAAATTTGATCTCTCTCAACTTGTTTTTAATAATATCCCACAATTACTTTATAGTGGATATCTATTTTTTTTCTTAATGATATTGCAAATTTACCCTAGGTATTTTTAAATCTAAAAAATTAAGGTTAATCTTATGTGATATGTGCTCCATGCCTTTAGATTTCTCTCTCTGGTTTTTGTCTTAGTATAGTGTATAGATAGATAGATAGATATAGATTACTATATGTTTTCCTTTCCTTTTTAGGCAAGGAAAAATATGTTTTTGTTTTTGTTTTTATTTTAGTTTTTTTTTTTGGTTTTGAGAGATGATTTAAAACGTGTTTTGAGAAAATTTAAAAAATTGTTTAAGTAATATTTTAAATAAAATAATAATATTTTTAGAGAACCAGCGGACCACTTACACCATCGGCGCTGTCACTAGACCGCCCACCACCGCCGCCGAAATCCGGCTGGCCAGTCGTCGGCTAGTGATGTTCCGGCAGTGACGGTGGGTGGTCCGGCGGCGGTCGGTGGCGTCGGAGGTTGTCCGGTGGTTATGGATGAAAATGTAAAAATAATTTTTAAAATATTTTTTAAAAAGTTGTTTAGATAGTATTGGGATTTGTATTTGAGAGGTATTTTAAGAAGTAAAATAAGACAAAAATGCAAAAAGTGGCTTATCCAAACAAGACCTCGGGATGGTAAAAGAAGCTCCTTTTTTAGTTTAGTTAAAAAAACTCCTAACTTAATCATTTTACGGTTCGCCATAACTATACTGCATACTATGTACTTGCCTATGTTTATTTATATTTACTTTTTCTCACATATGTAACTTTTTAATAACTTCGTTTTCAGTTTAAGATTGGTACACATGTCTCGTAAATTCTCCTGAAATCGACAAGGACATGGATGTTCATCCTGAGCCAGGATCCCCAAAAAAAAAAAAAAAGACTTGTGAAATTAAAATAATACAACAAATATGTCTATGGAGAGGGAGTACTAATTAATTTTAACATATTGTATTGCTACTCGTCTTTAAGGGTGTAATTTGCTCACTTAATTAATTAATTAGTACTATATTGACTTGGCAAAACATATGCACATATTGGCAAGCAATTTATTTCCACATTTTCTTCTTGTTGTTTTAAATTTTCCGATGAGGAAATTAAGCACTCGGGAGGTGGTTGAAAATCAAATGAGCCTCATCACTAGGGTCCTAAGTGGGAAGGACGTGGTTGGTGTTAATGCAAGGATAATATTTGAGATTCGTGAAATGTTGAAGCGAAATTGGGACGATGATATATATTCCGAGTGGCTAATTTCCTAGTAGATTACATGACTTCGCTAGTAGCACAATGTCATGGAGGCTTACTACAATGACTTGATACTCTTCTGTTTAGAATGAAATCGTAACTGGAATATGATATAATTGAGGTAGCACACCCAATATACTAATTCGATCTTAGATTTTGTGTCTCATTATGACCAAAAAAAAAAAGTCAAATGAAGTGAATGGGGTGCTGGTATGGGAATATTTTAAGGATTTTTAGTTCCTATAGAATGTTGGGCGTGATTTAGGCAGTTTGTGCAAAAATTCAAGAGATGGAACCAAAGTTTATCAATCATTTCTTGCATTAATCAATCATCACTAATAAAGTTACAAAAGAACCATTTCAACAATCTCAGTCCTTTAAGAATGTCATCGAAACAAACAACAACAACAACAAAAAAAGTTAAAAAGAAAGAAAAATGCCATTATATGCATTATGGATGAAAGGGATTTTTTTTAAGGATAATACAGTAAGTTGCTGGTATAAGGAACCGTTGTAGAGGGCAACCAAAAGTCTCCAAATGCGAGAGCAGAGACCGTGACATTAAGAACATTAGCTCCATCAGTGATGGGATGATACCCGAGCCAAGTAACCCGATTCGCGGTACTCGATCCAGGACCCGTGTTGTTATACTCGGCATAATAACACGTATCCAACGACTGATTACCGGTCCAGATGGACCAACCCGCAGGATTAATCAGGTTATCCAGGTACGATTCCATAACAATAGTTGTGGCATACGTTTTCCAAGGCCGGCCCAGATACGTTTGTACCGCGTAAGCGTTGTTCGACGCCAAGTCAGGCGAGGCCTTGATGTTACAATCATGAATCGTGGTGCCGGTGTTTTGGTTTATGTCGGTTTTGCCTTGGGCAGTAACCGTGTTGAATTGGCCTTTAAGTGGGAGTCTTGAGTATATGTTACAATGTTGTAAAACCACAGCTGCATTTCCAAATATGTAATCTATGGTACCATAAACGTCACATTCCCTGTAGAACTGCCTCATTGCGTGGGTGTACAGTGTGTCCTGATACCCTTCGAAACTGCATTGATAAAATACAGAAAAATCGGCGTCGTTTCTAAGGGCTACGGCTTGGTGTTTTATGGCTCCCGCTGTGTTGCGGATTGTGAGACCCACTCCTATGAAGCCTTGTCCATTTGTAACTGCAAAATAAGAGATGGAAAGAAGAAAGAAAATGTTACCAAGCAGTTTCTAACAATAATTCAAAGTTACTCTCTACATCCTAAAAACAAAAATTCACGTAGAGTTTTGAAATTTAAACAGTAGAAATATAAAAACACAATATAAACAATTTTTTTGGAACAGAGGTAACACTAATTAATGAGAAAAATATTTTGATAATCTTATTCTATACCAAAGAGAAACTTATATCCATGATATTCTGATCTTAAAACTGTACTTCAAAAAAAATATGTGTACATGTTAATTAATAAGAGAAGAGAGAAGGAAAGAATGGTTACCAAATGTGGCAGAGTTGAAAGTTGTCCATCCATCATCAACACTGTGATTCCCAGTGATGATGGTTTTGTTGATTCCATCACCAACCATCATCAAATACATCTTGTTGGTATCAACGGTGACATACTCTTGATATACTCCGGCAGCAACCCGAATCAAGTAATATCCTTGCCCATATTGAATATTGGTTGGTGCTGCAGCAACTGCATCACTAATGGTTGTGTAATTACCACTTCCATCAGGATTCACTGTTACCCTTTTGATAATTTTAACACCGTTTAGTTGCAGAAGCTTCCTGTGGAAAGATGACGACGAGGAAAGAGGGAATGATTCTTCAAGTGACCTGGATTTGGTACCCGGAGGGGCCCATCCATGCTTGAAGAATGCAAGAGAAATGCTACAAAGCATGGAGCCATTAGAAAGGGGAGGTGAAATGTCTTTCACAATGGAAGATGACGATGAAGCCGCGAAGATTAGGCCTTCGATACAAGTCTGTTTACCGGTTATGGTTGCGCTGAACTGTGTTTCTAAATCCTTGTATTGTGGCATCTCAAGGATATCTTTGTCCTTGAGAGTTTGAGCAATGCTCGATAGCAAGTCGACATTTTTGTTGAGGAGGTATTGGCAATCTTGGAGGGCAAAAGTTATGGTTTTGGAGGAGATTGCCGAATTCAAGTAACGATTGATTGAGTTGCGCAATGCGATGGATGCTGTTAAGGCTTTTTGAACGGTTGACCTCCCGAAATCGTGGATGTTGGTGGGCTTGTTTGAAGGTTCTTGAGAACGACAGAATGCTGAATGAGGAGTTAGGTCACAAAGTTCATCTGATGATGATGATGATGATGAAGTTGCATGAACATTAGCATATGAAAATGAATGCATGAAAAGACAGAGAAAGAGAGTGCAATAACCGATAGAAGTAGCTATCGACATTGCTTTGGTTTTGGCTCTAAATGCTAAAGAAACAATGAAATTATATTTAGAAGTTGGCTTATGAGATTGGAATGTAACTGCGGTGGCTTTATAGAGTTTCGTTGGGAGTTCAATTAAATCATTTGGCAAGATATTTTATTTATGAAGAGATGTCAATAATTTTACAGATTAGTTATTGTTATCGACATTGAATACCATGCGAAGATAAAAATCACTTAAAAGTATACGGGGATTAGTAATTACAGCCATCTTTTAGAAAGAACAAAAAATGGCCCTTGAATTTTGTGAAAAGTAGCAAATACCCTCCTTAACAAAGATGTTAATCTTCAAAATTCATGAAAAGAGCTATTAATTTTAACGTTCGAGACTTACTAGCTAGAAGAGTAAACATCCATTCAATCCAAATATTTATTTGCTTCGAGTACTTGTTTTATGCATCTGAATTTGAACGTTAAAAGAGGATTAAAATGTTAATTCATTCATCTTTCAATAAGAAAAATAGCTATTTTTCAATACTTGAAGGGGAATTTATGAATTTCTCAAACCAAAAAACACGATCGATGAACAACTTGGTTGGTGAACACTAAGACGGTGCTGACTTTTGGACGCCACGCCGAAATGCGGCAACTCCGGCCAACTTGCATTTCTTTAAGCTCCGACCATGCATATATACTCGCCTTTCTCTATTATGAGAAGTGGTTGCAACATAATTAAATTCTTCTTTTTTAGCTGTCTGATTAACTCTAAGTTTTTTAGCATCCATCTTCTCTACTTCTTGAAATGAAATAAAGTTTTAACTCATTTATTATTATCAGAACTTCAGAAGTCATCAAATTCCAAAGCTGGTCCCTTTCGGGTACATCCTGTAAAAATTCCAAAATATTGGAGTTGACATTTGATTCTGCAAATAGGCAATAAATTATTTCATCACAAAACGAGTTTCAGAATTTTTGATCGAACCTAACAATCAGAAGGAATTAAAGTCAAACATTTCAAGACAGCCAATCTTCAAATTATTGGCTAGCTACCACATGAAGTGGAGGAAAGAAGCGCAATTCATGTTCATTTCGCGGTTCATGTCTGTAACTGTCTTTGTCCTTTTCTAACTTAAATTTTCACTATATGTTTGGTTGACATTGTATTAACAATATCATGAATATGTTCAATTATCATTATTTCTAGAGGTTTTAGAAATAGTGTAATTAGTTGTCTTTGGCTCTAAAGAAAGTGTTAGTTTTAACAAACTAAAAGTATTGTTGTTGTTGTCGTTGAATGCCGACAATTTGGTTAAGTTCCAAAGAAAGACGGTGGGTTTGTTTGTTTCGTTTTTTTAGTGCAATGTTTTTAAGTGTTTTTTGTATTGGGAATGTAAAAAGTTGTATTGAAAATGTAAAAAGATATACTAAGATGAGACATTTAATAATATTTTAATTTAAAAATACCATAAAAAAAGGAAACAAACAAAGCCACAATTTATACGCACTGTTTGCCACAGCAATTCCTATACAGTAGAGAGTTCTCCTCTTTTTTTTTTCGGTTTTTTTTTCCCCCAAAAACTAATGTTTAACTATGGTCAGCTTACAGGGATACCTTCGTTAATGTAGAGCTCAATGAAACTTGGTATCCCAAAATTAAGGTTCTTTGTGACCAACAATTACTCTTCCTTAGTCTTAAAATCTTATCAATCTTACATTCTTACTTTCAGTTTGTTGTGTTATCTTAATACAGTAAAGATTGGGCAAAGGGAATAATGTAAGTGAGAAGTGAGACGACAATGGCGACTTATAGCACAAAAGAAGTTTGGGGTATGTTGGTGTAGAACGAAATTGCTCTATGAATGGCTTCTTTTCTTTTGGCGGGGGTTTTCATTTGAGATACTTTTAAACCACTGTCGCGTTATATATATATGAGATACTCTTTTATATATATATATATTACTTACCCCATGACCGAAATTGTTACTTCGACTAATTCGGATTCAAGCTAGAAAGATATGAGATACTCTCTTTGTTACCAAATTTGTCCAATGTAAAATTTAATTTTTAATACAATTAATTTGTTAAAAAAAATTTAAACTACACGATCATTTTGGGATAGATTGAATATTTATGTTGTGTCCTAGTAATATTTTCCAAGTCAAGATTAATATAGTAAAGATTATTTGGATGTGCATAGCTCTTGAATATTAGTAACGTATCCCATCAAACACTAATAGTGCACTGTATGGCACTCTAGGCCAGCAACTAGCTAGCCGTAGGGTGACCCAAAATACTCATACTTGCTGTAGAGATTTTTAGAAGACGAATTATATTAAATTTATAGTTAATGAGTGTTTTTTTTTATATATATACCATTATAGATATCTTAGACTATTAATATTAATAATGCTGGTAATATGCGGTAAAACTGATTTGTATTAATTTATGAGATAAATATCGTTATGACGTTTGAATGACGAAGATTTTCCTGACCGGATGATTCTCACAACGAACTTCAGAATGTAGATCAGAAAAAAGCGAATTCAGATATCCAGATATAAATGGCTTACATTTCCCAGATTTTGCATATTTTAGACATTGTTGACCGAAGTAATTTTGTAAATACAAAATTAAAATCATTTCTTCTAACACTCATGACAAAGATTTGGAGATACCTCTATAGATAAACTAAAAACCAAAGATTACAATGGAAACAAAAAAAATTAGAAACCAAAGCAACCATAACAAAACGGTCCTGATCTTTTTTATGGGGTTAGACTGTAATTTAAAGTCAACTTCTAGGATCCAAATCCTTCAAAACTACAATCCGATATTAATCCTTTTTCTTTTCTTTTTTCTTTTTGGTTTTGTTTCTTTCAAAAAAAGGAGAGAGGATTAGAGGAAAATATCAGATATTAAGGATAATACAGCAAGAGGCTAGTATAAGGAACTCCTGTAGAAGGCAACCAAAAGTCTCCTGATATGAGAGCGGAAACCGTGTCATTAAGAACGTCGGCTCCATTAGTTATGATATGGTACCCGGGCCAAGTAACCCGATTCGTAGTATTCGATCCAGGACCCGTGTTATTATACTCGGCATAATACAACGTATCCAACGACTGACTACCATTCCAGGGCAACCAACCCGCCGGGTTGATCAAGGTATCCATGAACGATTCCATAACTATCGTTGTAGAAAAGTTTTTCCAAGGCCGACCCAAGTACGTTTTTGTCGTATTGATACTCGGTAACAAATCGTCCGCGGCCTTGATCTTACAATCATGAATCGTGGTGCCGGTGTTCTGATTTATGTCTGTTTTACCTTGGGCGGTAACTGTGTTGGTTTGACCTTTAAGGGGAAGCCTAGAGTAAATGTTACAGTGTTGGAAAACCACATTTGCGTCTCCGAATATGTAATCTACCGTGCCGTAAATGTCACATTCCCTGTAGAATTGCCTCATTGTATGGGTGTACAATGTGTCCTGATAACCCTCGAAACTGCATTGGTAAAATACGGAAAAATCGGCGTCGTTACGAAGGGCTACGGCTTGGTGTTTTATGGCTCCCGCTGTGTTGCGGATCGTGAGGTTCACTCCTATGAAGCTTTGTCCGTTTGTAACTGCAAAACAAAATGGAAAAGAAGAAAGAAAATGTTACTCTCAGTTTCTAACAATGCCAAGTTACAAATCAAAGGCAAAATTAGGATGAAACATTTACATTACCATTTCAACTTTTAAGTTTGACTTTGGTTTTTAATTAAAAATTTCACCAATTAATATTGATCCATGGATGCACATGCAGCACCCGCAGAGTATGGTGTCAATTGGGGAAAAAAAAAATGAATATACTATTTTTAATGTTCTCTTTTTTTATGAATAATTACTACTAGAGAAAATGCATGGAGCTAGCGCGCCCTAACCTCTAATAAAGCATCTCATTATACTGAATACAAACACATTGACTAATGAGACGCCCTTATTGTTGCATCCAAAAGTTATAAACTCAATAAAAAAATTCTATCACACAGCTATGGTTAGGTTAAATGCATTTATATATATGTAACATCAGGGTCGTCTCGATTGTAGCATATACATTATATTTTAGTTCCGCAAATATTTAAAACTTCTGTTTATTTTGTGAGACGGGTTCTGCACTCCTTTATTTAATTATTTCAGTATGCATGTCAACCAGCTTTTGGAATTTGGATATTCTATTCTAAAATAAAATTATAATAATGCATGAAATTCAGATCACTAAACAACACTATAAAATATACATAAAGATTGAAACTTTAAAAAAGAAATAAAAATGAAAACAGAAGAAGAGAGAGAATGTTACCAAATGTGGCGGAAGAGAAGGTGGTCCATCCATCATCAACACTGTGATTCCCGGTGATGATGGTTTGGTTAATTCCGTCACCAACCATCATCAAATACTTCTTGTTGCTTGCAATGTTGATATACTCTTGATAAATCCCGGCAGCAACCCGAATCAGGTAGTATCCTTGCCCATATTGAGTGTCGTTTGGTGCAGCTAAAATAGCATCTGTAATGGTAATGTAATTCCCACTTCCATTAGGATTCACGGTCACCGTTTGGTTAATCTTAACACCCTTAAGTTGCAGAAGCTTCCTGTGAGAAAACGACGACGACGAAAGAGGGAATGATTCTTCAAGAGACCTGGATTTGGTACCCGGAGGGGCCCATCCATGCTTGAAGAATGCAAGAGAAATGCTACAAAGCATGGAGCCATTAGAAAGTGGAGGTGAAATGTCTTTCACAATGGAAGATGACGATGAAGCCGCGAAGATTAGGCCGTCAATACAAGTCTGTTTATCGGTTATGGTTGCGCTGAACTGTGTGTGTAAATCCTCGTATTGTTGCCTATCAAGGGTATCTTTGTCCTTGAGAGTTTGAGCAATGCTTGATAGAATGTCGATGTTTTTGTCAAGGAGGAATTGGCAATCTTCAAGTGCCAAAATTACAGTTTGAGATGATGATGAGGGTGAAGTTTTCGAGTTTAAGTAACGATTAATCGATTTACTCAATGCAATGGATGCTGTCAAGGCTTTTTTGACGGTTGACCTTCCGAAATCATGGATGTTGGTTGGTTTGTTTGATGGTTCTTGAGAACGACAGAATGCTGGATGAGGAGTTAAATCACAAAGTGAAGCTGAAGAGGAAGAAGAAGCTGCATGAACATGAGTGGAGGAAAATGAATGCATCAAAAGACATAGTAATAGAGTGCAGTAACCGGTAGTATTAACCATCGACATTGCTCTCATTTTGGGTTCTAATCCTAAAGAAACAATCAATGCTTAATTACTAGGTTTTTGGGTTATGAGATTGCAATGTAAAAATATGGGTGGCTTTATATAGTTACTTGTTCAAGGGTCACTAGCTAGCTAAAAAGTAGGGTTTACTTAGTTACATCCATCTCTTGGAAATAACCCAATAGCCCCTAAAGATTCAGAAAATTAGTTATGTATAACTTTTAACATTTGAGTGAAGTTAGAAGGGTATCACTATTATGACCCATCCATTCAATAATGCAGGTTCCATCATTCTTTTAGAGGGATTAAATGTTAATTTTGATTTGTTGGTCTACGGAAACATTAGTAATTTTCCTATAGTTAAAAGGGGTGTGGATAATTTTCTCAAACTTTTGCGGATGTTGCATGTTACTTACTGTTAGCCCCTAGAAATTACGGGTCAACTTGGTTTGATGAACATGCATGGTCCCGACTTTTGTCATCGGATGCGGCAACTCCGGCAATATGGATTTCTTTAAAAATGATAAGTGGAAGAAGCTGTCTGATCTGACTCTCTAAAGTCTAAATTATGACCATAATTCCTATCCTTCTTGGATTGAAAAGCAGAGTTTGTGGCAATATTTTTCAGAAAGTCAAGTTTAAAAAAAATGGAGTTTGACATTTCTTCAAACAGACAATATTAAAGTTCACCGGCAAACAGGTTCGAAATTTATGGCAGTAGAGAACGTAGAAACGAATGGAATTGTTGCATCTGCGAAGCTGCGGACGTGCATGGAAGTCAACGTTTTAAGTCAGCGCTAATATGCCAAATTATTGGCGGTGAAAAAAACGAAAAGAAAAGAAAGGTTTCACAAGTTATTATTTTTGTTATGCCACTATGCAATTGGAATCCAAAACAATTAAAACAGTCATTTCGTATACTACTTGTGTGATATGTTTATAGGGAACAAACAAAGTAACGTATCCGTTCCCTTTAACTAAAAAATTTGCAATTTTCGTTGTCTCCTTGTAACTGTATGACTATAAAGATATAGATCGATCAATTGTCTATAAACCCAAAAAATTAAAAAAAATAAAAAAAATAAAAAAAGGGTTAACAATATTGTATAAGAGGCCTAGTTTACAGTTTAGTTGTCTTCGACTGTTACAAAGTATTTGAACAAAGTAATGTTATTATGTAATGACAGTTGACTATTTGGTTAATTTCCAAAGGAAATATGATTGGCCCAGAGTTGTCCAAGATCCAGTTCATAGTTCGTACGTAGAGAAAAATTCTTTGTCAACTAGGACGATGGGAGGAGATGTTTCTTATTGGCGTAATTGAAGCTCATAATTAAACATCGTCCATAGACTAATTTAGTGTTTAACATACGTTTAACTATGTGACGATAATTTTGTTGACTCATAAGCTCATTGATTCCATCAGTTCATTAAGCATTAGATATATAGCACATTTTTGACCTCAAAAAGAGTTTGCTATATTAGAGCTTAAAAGTACTGAATAACAAATTCCACGTGACAAACAAGTGATAGTCAAATGTACTGATTAACAATCCAAAATTGAGATTTCACCAAATATATATATTTAATCAATTTCCTGCTTGACTAAGCGCGAGTCTTCACAACAAGGAAGCTTCTTCGAATAGTTAAAGCTTCCTCCCTCGCCTGTAATAGACTAAATCTTGGAGTGGGAATAGACTATTAAAATATATAAGATAAATTAAAAAAAAAAGGAGGGTTTTTTTTTGGGGGGGGAAATGGGAGTAAAAAAGTGGTAGGTTATTCTATGTCTGGAGTTAAGGTCTTGGTGGCTTCATGGCATTATTCGGTTAAATGAACTGCGGACAACCGACCTTTACTTACCGAATTCTTACAACTTCTTAGTGATAGATTTAATTAAAGCAAATTAGGATCCCTGGTAGAGGTGTAGGATTGGTTTATTTTATTCTATTTTCATAAAATTCTTTCCCCAGACTTTTCATTATAAGTGCAGGAACCTCCACAAAATTAAAAATTGGTAAACTTACAATCTCTATAAAATATTACTATTTAATTCTCTTTGTTCAAACTTAATCCATATTGCTATACCTGTATAAATTAAAGAGAGTCCTGGTTGAAAACTTACATTGGCATTTGATGACTATAGCTAGGTCCTCCTCTGTAACACCTTATGCAATATAATGCGTTTTCTTTATTACAAAAAAAAAAAAAAAAAAACTTTACAACACTAATTGTAATTTGAGATGACCGAAATTTTAGCGCATTCTATTGGGGTCTTCGTCCTTAGAACTTTATATGCCATGTTTGTGAATAAAATAAAAAATGACTCGTTACTATAATGAGTTATTAATTTATTTTAAATTAATAAAATTTCAGAGCGTCAACGATATGGTTATTGTATATATATGTCCATTTCCGAGATTCTGCATTTGTTCAGTACGTTCCTTACTTCCTCCCCGATAAAAGATTACCATATATATCGACCGGAACAATTTCGTAACTACAATATTAAAGTTTAAAATAACGTATAGCTTGAAGTAACGATATATATATATATATATATATATATATATATGTGTGTGTGTGTGGAAGTCAAAGAAGCAAAAGAAGAAGAAAAAAAAATAAATTTATTAATCTCTCAATTCTGAATCTCCAGGATTCAAATTTCTGGGAGCTTACATTAATCCAACTAAGAAAGAAAAGGAAAAGGAGAAATCCTTTAATACGTGCAATGGGTTGGATGCATCATGCATGATTAGATTTTCTAAGGATAATAGAGTAAATTGCTGGTATAAGGAACTGTCGTAGAAGGCAACCAAAAGTCTCCTAATATGAGACCGGAGGCCGTGACATTAAGAACATTAGCTCCATCAGTAATGATGTGATACCCGGGCCAAGTGACCCGATTCGCGGTACTGGATCCAGGACCCGTGTTATTATACTCGGCATAATAACACGTATCCAATGACTGATTACCAGACCAGATGGACCAACCCGCAGGGTTAATCAGGTTATCCATGTACGATTCTATAACAATAGTTGTGGAATACGTTTGCCATGGCCTTCCAAGGTACGTTTGTGTCGTGCCGATATTCGATGCCAAATCAGCGGCGGCCTTGATGTTACAATCGTGAATAGTTGTGGCGGTGTTTTGGTTTATGTCGGTTTTACCTTGGGCAGTAATGGTGTTGAATTGGCCTGGAAGTGGGAGCCTTGAGTAAATGTTACAGTGTTGTAAAACCACAGCTGCGTTTCCGGTTACGTAATCCACGGTTCCGTAAACGTCGCATTCCCTGTAAAACTGCCTCATTGAATGTGCGTATAGTGTAGCCTGGTAACCTATAAAACTGCATTGGTAAAACACCGAAAAATCGGCGTCGTTTCGAAGGGCCACGGCTTGGTGCTTTGCTGCTCCTGCCGTGTTTTTAATTGTGAGATTCACTCCTATGAACCTTTGTCCATTCACAGCTGCAAACGGAAGGAAACAAGAAACACAACATTGTAAAGGACGAAGTTTTATTTTACAGATTTAACAATTTTTATAATTAATGGAGATAAATATGTATACTACTAGTAGTATCTTTGATCCATGCACGTGAAGCAACCGGGTATGGAGCACTACTTGGAGTCTTGGAGGAACAAAATGAAAAATGGTTGAGTATAATAATTTCAAGAGTAAATGCACTGACTGAACCCTAAATTCTACTCAAGCTTAATGCCAGTTGCATTGAAAAAAAAAAGAAGAAAAAGAAAAACCAGTTGCATTGAAAAAAATATATCATACACAGTAAATAGCAAAGTTTTTCCAAAATGATAAATCATTTAGGCATCCATGCATCATTTTAATCTCCACCACAAAAAGTAAATCATTTCATATGGCTTATACTTGTAACAAAATTTTAGTGCTTCCTCCGTTCCAAAGTTATTGTTCAATTTGGATTTTTATTTTTAGTTCAAACTTCAAATTGTACTAAAAGTAAAATTTGAATCTGGATAATAGTTTTTGGAACAGATATTCTGATAAATCGAGAAACATGCATGATATTCTGATATCAAAACAGCACCACCCAAAATAAATAAATAGTTTTATACAATTTAAAGGAAAAACATGCTGAGGAAAAAAGGAATATTGATTACCAAATGTAGCAGAGTTGAAGGTTGACCAACCATCATCATAACTATGATTCCCAGTGATAATGGTTTTGTCGATTCCATCACCAGCCATCATCAGATACATTTTGTTGGAATCAATGGTCACATACTCTTGATATACTCCGGCAGCAACCCGAATCAAGTAATATCCTTGCCCATATTGAATATTGGTTGGTGCTGCAGCAACTGCATCACTAATGGTTGTGTAATTACCACTTCCATCAGGATTCACTGTTACCCTTTTGATAATTTTAACACCGTTTAGTTGCAGAAGCTTCCTGTGGAAAGATGACGACGAGGAAAGAGGGAATGATTCTTCAAGTGACCTGGATTTGGTACCCGGAGGGGCCCATCCATGCTTGAAGAATGCAAGAGAAATGCTACAAAGCATGGAGCCATTAGAAAGGGGAGGTGAAATGTCTTTCACAATGGAAGATGACGATGAAGCCGCGAAGATTAGGCTGTCTAAGCAAGTGTGTTTGTTGGTTATGGTTGCGCTGAGATGCGTGTGTAAATCCTCATATTCTTTTCTCTCAAGGGTATCTTTGTTTTTGAGAGTTAGAACAATGGTTGATAAAATGTCGACATTTCTGTCGAGGAGGAATTGGCAATCTTCAAGTGCTAAAGCTATGGTTTTGGATGAGTGAGGAATTTTATTGATGGAGTTGCGCAATGCAATGGATGCTGACAAGGCTTTCTGAAAGGCGGACCTTCCGAAATCATGGATGTTGGTGGATTTGTTTGCAGGTTGTTGAGAACGACAGAAATCTGGATGAGGAGTTATGTCACAAAGGGAATCTGATGATGAAGAAGTTGCATGAACATGAGAGAAGGAAAATGAAAGCGTGAAAAGACACAGAAATAGAGTGCAGTAAGTGACGATCATAGGATTAACTATCGACATTATTGGTTTGATATCGGCTTCTAATCCTAACTGATGAGACACTGTGTGTTATCTGGTAGGATGTGGTTTACGAGACAGTTTTACTGGGAGCTTTTTATAGTTACAAGATTACTTAACAATTGGGTTTAATTATATATATGCATCTCTTGGAAAGAATCAGTTTCCCCTCAACTTTGTGAAAATTAGCAATACATTCCTTTCCTTAACAAAGCAGCATACCGTGTCGAAATTAACAATTTCTCTTTTTACATTCTCAAAAAAAAAAAAAAACAACTTGCGCAATTAATGTACTAAAAGAACGTTACAAACAGAGTTTAAATTTGTGAGAAAAACTAACAAAATTAGCCATCATTTGGGAGAAGGTAGCTAAAATTGTTTGTGCAAATTTATGCTTATGTTGTTGTATGGTCTATCATATATATACATCGGACGTTTAAAGGGATCAAAATTCACTATATTCCGAAACATCTAGGGGTATTGAAGATTATACCAAAACTTTTGAGGATAAAAAGATGTTATTGACCTCTAAAAAATACGGTCAACTTGGGTGGTGAAGAACATGCAACAAGGTGCTGAATTGCCGATGATGACTTTTGACTTTTGGATGCCGATGCGTACCGGGATGCGGCAACTCCGGCAACATGAACATATATAATTATATCTTCCTTTTAGCTGTCCATTATGTAATTCTTGCAGACTCAAGTTGACATTTCTGCAAATAGGTAATAAACACATACTAGTTCGTCGGAAACGAGTTGGGATCGAGGTTCGCCGCAGCTGGGACGCGTGGGAATTAAAGTAGTCAACAGTTTGATTACAGCCAATTACTGGATATATCCAAATGAGGTGGTGGGGATTAAATCTTGAAACTATTGCAATTCAATCTTGACACTTTGATTATAATTTCGAAAAGAGAGAAGTTATGAAAAGGGTTTTTTGCAAGAAATCAACAACGCAGTTAGGAATTTCATAAAGAAGTTGTTGAGATTTACTGGAAAAAGATTGCAACCTTAACCTCTCTTCTTTTAGTGTGTTTTTTTTTTTTCTTTTGAGTACTGTACTCGTCGACTATTCACTGTACAATTACTGCAGTGAATTTTACTACAAAATACACAAAATATAAACTAATTAAAATCAGTGACACCGAGGGGAGTTGACAATCCACATAAACGGGCAAAGTTTAAGATCAACAAAAAGGGTCACATGGTTACATGAGACAATGTTGAGAGCATTTCAGATGACAAAAATTATTTAAAGACTTGAGGTTCACCAAGTGTTTCCCTTCTTAACCAAACAACACAGATGAAGATTTAATTAATAAAGATGAGTAAATTGTGGAAAAGGAACACTCATGCTGACTCATGTGCCCTTCGCTTTTGACCTTTTGCTAAGTTCTACTCTTTTTTTTTTTTTGCAGGTGGCGGTTTTACCCTTATATAAACAGTAAACTTGATGGAATTTCGTGGCGGAGCTTCGCTAATTTTCTTTGTTGGGGGGTCTTCAGTGGTGATTGGAATTGAATGACTCTTCTGCTTTGGGTTTCTATCTATGCTACGGTTTTATGGCATTTGGTATGAGATTCCAGCAGATGTTCAATTAGAGCCTTCTAGACGAACAAACCAACAGACAGAAAAATGAGGGAAATTGGAAAAACTCACAGACAAGCCTGGAAATCAACATGTCAAATTCACAAAAGCATAGCGGGTATTCGTAACAAAGAACAACGACCAGAAACAAACATGAAGAAAATCCCATACAAATGTTCAAGATAAATTAATGAACGTAGAGTGAAAATTTGGCAGAAAGATTCACCAAACAGAGAAAGATTCATCAAAAATAAACCAAACCACGCAGTACTACTATTGTCTAGAATGAAGAAACGATGACAATCATAATGCATGCATTAAGTAGCGTTCAACTATGTTGATGGAGATTAATACCACATTAAAAGCTTCAAAGAGGGTCTCAAGACATACGAGTACTAATTCGACACAGGCAGGGAGCATATCACAAGTGCTGATGAATAGGTTGGGTGCTCCTTGGTGCTCTCCTGGAATGTGGAATGTGCAACTTAGTGTCAGGCTTGAGACCCTTACGGCACTTGTTATCCAGCTGACATCAAAAAAGCGCGCACCGCTCCTCTGGCTTCCAACCTGATAAGAGTTTCTCTTTGGTCTCCACAATAGACCACCCTTCTCTCCTCATAGTCATGCACAAAGTCATACTCATCATCCATCCTTCACAAGATAATAATCATCATCGCCGTCGTCATTGTCATTGTCATCATCAACATCATCAACACCACGACAAGCAAATGGAGGAATATCCTCATGACCAAGGACAACAACAGAGTACTGAGCTAGAAAGGTTTCCTTTCTGCTGGAATCAACAAATACAGGTGCTTTGAAGGTAAGATAATACACAGTACTATTAGAAGATTCAGGGCAAAAAACCATGTTCTCAACCTCCATCCCATCATCCATATATTTCTGCAACAAAAGACTAGTAATAAGCAAGATATAGAGTAAAAAAATACGATGGCCTCCCCTGTTCTCCTATTATTATGGAAGTACTATAAATCAGAATGAATCCACAAGCTAGGGAGGTAAATATATATGGGTAGTTACCTGATCATGTTTGTAGTTGTAAAGTTCAATGCATTCCTCAATCATCCTATTGATTTTGACTTGATCATCTTCTTTACAAGGTGAAATAGGTGCATCATTAGGAGCCCAGGTGATGCCAAAACCCTGGAAGAAATCCCAAATTAGTAATCAGATGAACATAATCAAGCGGGTGAAAAAAAAGACCCAAAATCTGAACCAATCAAATTAATCTGGGTCTCGTGCATCATCTCGTAGTACTTTTTCCAATCCTCCTCTTCCTCCACCGAGGAACGTCCATCCCTGGTTTGGGTTTCGGCGCCGCGGCTGGTTTCTTGGCGGCGGCCTTGCGGGAAGGTTTGACGGCTGCTGCCTCCACGGTTGATTTGACGGCGGCGAAGTCCGCGGCAGCTTCCTCCGCTGACGATAACCTAACCGCCAACGCCTCGACGGCTGATTCCGCCACCGTTGATTTCCCCATTCTGGCTGGTTCGTAACAACAGATCTCGACGCCTTTGCCGCTCCATCTTTGTGGGTGGTTCTTCATTGTCTCAGTTCTCTTCTTATCCACCAATGATGATGAAAAGCCCGTCACGTCTCTCATTTCTCTCCTATTTCAGAAACCATAATTTTCGAGGTTTCGTTCTAGAATTTGACCAACATTGTAGTAATTGTTATGAGACTGAAAAACCCGTAATTCTGTGATTTATTATTGTCACTTTTATGAGGGGAGGGAAAAAAAAACTTAGATGCATTCACTGGAAATAATATCAACCAAAATTATTTGATAAACAGGATTAATGGTAATAAATAATCTCAATCCTCATGGATTCACATATTTTGGAGCTTCTACATTAATCTCAATTAAGACCATTGAAGAAGAACTCTGTAATAATGTGCTAATTAATACTCCCTCCGTCCCATAATTATTGTCCAGTTTGAGTTTTCATTTTTAGTTCAAATTGTACTAAAAGTGAAATCTCAAACTGGACAATAATTTTGGGACAGAGAGAGTACTATGAGATTGATTGATTTCAGTGATAAAGTAAGCCACCATTATAGGGAACACTTGTAGGGGGCAACCAAACATCCCCGGCAATGAATTTGGAAACTGTTGAATACTGAACATAGGATCCACTTCTGATGATATGATAACCTTTCCAGGTAACCCTTTTGGAAGTGTCGGATCCAGGACCCGTATTGTTATACTCTGCGTAGAATAACTTGTCCATGGAATGACCAGGCCACGGATACCAACCCGCGGGATTGATCAACCCGTCAATGAACGATTCCATGACGACCGTCCTGGCAAACTCTTTCCAGGGCCGTCCTAGATATGTTTCTGTCGACCCCAAGTCCTCCGCGGCCTTGATGTTGCAATTGTGCAAGGATATGCCGCTGAGTTGATCTCTTCCTGATTTTCCTTGAGCTGTAATGGCGTTGAATTGGCCTGGAAGTGGACGTCTCGAGTATATATTACATCCTTGGAAAACTACGGCCGCATTTCCAAATATGTAATCTGCGGTACCGTAAATGTCACATTCCCTGAAAAATTGCCTCGTTACATCAGCCAATAGAGTGTCCTGATAACCTTCGAAACTGCATTTATAAAATGTCGATTTATCTGCTGCATTTCGAAGTGCCACAGCTGGTCCTTTTGCTGCTCCTGCTGTGTTTCGAATCGTGAAATCACGTCCTACAAAACCATGTCCTTCCACAGCTGAAAAAATAAAAGGATTTATTCTGTTAAATTTGGTAAAATATCAAATACTCATAAAGTGTGTTAAATTTGTATATTCTCTATCATTATTACTCATAAAGAAACTGAATGAAAAAAATATATAGAGTTTTTATTTGGTTACCAAAGGTGGCAGAACCGTAGGATGACCATCCATCACCAACGCTATGACTACCAGTGATAATGGTTTTGTTAATTCCATCACCAACCATCATCAAATACGTCTTTTTGCTATCAATGGTGATGTATTCCTGATAAACCCCGGCGACTACGCGAATCTGGTAGTATCCTCGTCCAGCTTTTGTGTTACTCGGCGCTGCTGCAATGGCGGCGCTAATGGTTTGGTAATCTCCACTTCCATCAGGGTTCACGACCACCGTGTTGGCAACCTTACTGACACCATTACTTATTTGCGACAGCTTTCTGTGAGTAGATGATGAAAAAGGGAAAATTCTGTCAAGAAACCTGGAATTGGATTTCACTGAGGGAGGAGGGGCCCAACCATTTTTGAAAAGAGAAAGAGATATGCTACAAAGCTTGGTTCCATTAACGAGTGACGGTGAAAGGTTTTTTACAATGGAAGAAGGAGGAGAAGATGAATCTGCAAAGACGAGGCCGTCTAAACAGGTCACCTTGTTGGTTATGATGGCACTGAGCCATGTTTCGACATCCTCAATTTCCGAACTCTGAAGGGTATCTTTGTTTTGAAGAGTTTGCGCGACATTTGACAACATTTCAATGTTGTTACTAAGAAGATGTTGGCAATCTTGAAGTGCAAAAGTTAAGGTTCGGGATGATGATGACGACGAGTTTACTGAATTTTCCAAAACGTTGATCGAGTAAAGTAAGGATGTCGAGGTTGTCAGGCATTTCTGAAAGGACAACCTCCCGAAATCGTGGATGTTGGTAGATGTGTTTACAGGTTCTTGAGAACGACAGAAATCTGGAAAAGGAGTTAAGTCACAAAGTTCATCTGATGAAACTGATGATGAAGAAGAAGAAGCTACATGAAATTGAAAAGAAACTGAATGCATAAAAAGGCACAGGAACAGGAGGCAAAAACCCGAAGAAGAATTATTTGTCGACATTGCTTTGATTTCTGACTTCCGAGATAGATTGGAAGAGAAATACAATGTCAGGGTACTAAGTAAATTTAGGCATGGGGAGATTTATATAGGTAAAGAAAATCACTCCAGAATCTGGTCCAATTATGAGACAATTGTAACGGGAGAGGAGTCAGTCAAACTCTCCTAATTATAGAGAGGATAGGCCTCAAATGCAAACAATAAGAACTCAAAAACAAGTGAGTAAATAAATTTATCATTGGAGCCAAGGTTACTATAGTATTGGAAACGAGGTTAAGTAACACAAATTTTTTTCCAATTATATCAAATGAAATATCATATCATAACTTTATTAAGATTTTGTTTGTGCGAAAATAATTAGTAGAAACTAACGCACGCTTACAAACAATATCAAACGAAGGTGTGTATCGTGAAATGCAAATATTCGGCTAGGCGTGAAAAGAAAGGTGTAAAACTTGTAATAACTTGAATAAAAATTGAATTGCTAGTAAAAAATCGAATTAAAATACTTGTAAGAAAGTATCGAAAATAAACAAAAGGGTGCTAAAAGAAAGAAAAGAGCTTTGCAGCTTGTGTTGTATTTGTGTTGATGATGAGTTGTGCCTTGTGTCGCTCCTCTTTCTCTCTTTATATAGAGCTCGGTAATTGTCTAAGACGGTGCGATCTCCGATTCAATTCGGTGTTACTGATTTAGAGTTGCAATTGAATTTTATTTCCGATTTCTTGTTTCCTTTTTTAATTACAACTTCACTTGAACTTGGATTTAGCTTGCTCAATGCCGTGTCAGGCCTTTGATGCTTTTCTATCACTGATTCAGGAATGGACTTTATTTCTCCGTATCGGACCTGGATTTCTTGCAAAGCTGAGCCGATTCACTACTTTTGTTGGGTCGGTTCGATTTTAATTAAAATCGGTGATAACAGATTTGGTGATCATTCGTATAGATGAATATATTTCGAAAGTCAGGAACTCCAATACTCCAAAAAAGAAAAAAAGAATATGCGACTTCCAATATCGTTATGATCTATATATTTCACACAACAAGTTAGACAATATCGACACGAAAATTAAACTTATAAAACGTAGATGAGCCCAAATTGGAAATTGCACGTGAATGATTATGAGGTTTGACTACAAGGAAGGTCCCTTTGTTGGACCTGGTAGGCTGGTAGCCCAGATTCATCATACCTTGAGGTTTCAAGATCATCTTCAGAGAGTTTGTTCCAGGCTAATTAACTACCTTTGTATACTGATTCAGTGATTCGTATCACATTCGCATTTACAAATTTTTGCGGGACTGGATCACAAACTCTGAGCAGATATAAGAAAAAACTTTTAAATACACACATTGGAAACAATAACCTGGAAATCGAAGCAATCAAATGCTTGATCCTTTGATCTCCATCTCCAGGATTCATATCTTGGATTTAAAACCCAAGTAGTAAAACATAAAAGCGAGAAATGGAAAAGAAAGGTGAAGAACATGCTCTGTAAATGCTAATACGTACCCTCTTTGTCCCGAAATCCAGTGGAAGGCAGCCAAAAATCACCAGCTAGGAAATTGGAAACTGTGACATTTTGAACATCAGATCCATTAATTAAGATATGATAGCCTGTCCAAGTGACCCTATTCGAGTTATTCGATCCGGGACCCGTGTTATTATACTCGGCATGGTACAACGTATCCAATGACTGATTAACAGACCAGATAGACCAACCTGCTGGATTGATCAAGGTATCCATGAAAGATTCCATAACAATCGTTGTGGAATACGTTTTCCAAGGCCGTCCCAAATATGTTTTCGTTGTAGTGTTACTAGTAGCCAAGTCATCAGCAGCCTTGATGTTGCAATTGTGAATTGATGTGCCAGTGTTTTGGTTTATGTCTGATTTTCCATGAGCGGTAATGGTGTTGAATTGGCCTTTCAAGGGAAGCCTCGAGTATATATTACATTGTTGGAAAACCACAGCTGCATTCCCGAAAATGTAATCTACAGTGCCCTAAATGTCACATTCCCTGTAAAACTGCCGGTTTATATGAGTAGTTAATAGAGTGTCCTGATAACCTTCAAAACTGCATTTATTAAAATGTTGAAAGATCGGCCGTATTTCTAAGGGCCACAGCTTGGTGTTTTGCTGCTCCTGCTGTGTTCCGAATAGTGAAATTAACTCCTATGAAACTCGGTCCATCCGCAGCTGTCAAAAACAAGGGGGAAAAAGAAGATTGTCCATCGTAGGTTGTCCATCCATCATCGACGCTGTGGTTTCCAGTGATAATGGTTTGGTTAATTCCATCACCAACCATCATCAGATACTTCTTGTTGCTTGCAATGGTGACATATTCTTGATAAACCTCCGCAACTACCCGTATCATGTGGTATCCTTGACCTGTTTTTGTGTTATTGGGTGCGGCTGCAATGGCGGCGTTAATGGTAGTGTAGTTGCCAGTTCCATCAGGGTTCACGACCACTGTGTTGGTAATGTTGAGACCATTACTTATTTGCTACAGCTTTCTGTGAGTTGAAGATGAGAATGGAAATAATTGTAGACGAGACCTGGATTTTGTGCGGGGACGGGGAGGGACCCAACCATTTTTTAAAAGTGCAAGAGATATGCTACAAAGCATGGTTCCATTAGTGAGACATGATGAAAGATCATTCACAATAGCAGAAGAAGAAGAAGAAGAAGAAGAAGAAGATGATGATGAAGCGATACGGCCGTCCAAACAAGTGTCCTTGTTGGTTATGGCCGCACTAAGCTGTGTTTCCAAATCCTCGTATTCCAAAGTTTGAAGGGTATCTTTTTTACTGAGAGTTTGAGAGCAATTTGCAATATTGGAGAGCAAAAGCCAAGGTTTTGGATGACGGGCTTTCAGAATTTAAGTAACGAATGATTGAATTAAGCAAGGCTATAGATGCTGACCGGGATTTTTGGACAGAGTCTCCCGAAATCATGGGTGTTGGGTTATTTGTTTTGAGTTCGTTGAGAACGACAGAATTCTGGATGAGGAGTTTAAGTCGCAAAGTGCATCTGATGACGATGAAGAAGAAGCAGCTCCGGCATGAACTTGAAAAGAGATTGGATGAATGAAAAGACACAGAAACACTAAAATGCAGAAACCAAAAGAATTCACTGTCGACGTTTTTCTTTGGTTTCTGACTTCAGAGATTACTAGAAGAAGAAAAATACAATGAAAGGATACGAGACTGTACATTGATGGGGGACTAAGACTTTATAAAGGTAGAACATCACTTAAAAAGTATGGTCAACTTGGGTTTTTGGTGAACATGAATGGTGCTGACTTTTTTGATTCCAGGCAAACTGTGATACGGTAACGCCGGCAACAGGCCACTATTTAAGAAGGTTCGTACAACAGGAAAGGTATCATTCAGACCGAATTATGCAAAGTTCCAACTCAAAGAAAACAAAACACAATGTGATGAAGGATTAAATAGGATGGTAAAGTTGAGAATTAAAAACTGATTGTCATCCCATCATGGCTTGGTTTCTCTATCATTATGACTTGTGAAGTTTCGAAGCAATCTACATTCAAGTTGTCGAACTCAAAAGCTAAATGCGACTACTTATAATACTATACTCGACAATGTGAATTATATGTCAATCAATGAAATAATATTGTCAAAACTGTTTCCTACCTATCAATACAACAAGAAGTCAACAACGAAGCGATTAGCCTGCACTGTAAAGACATAAAACAAAGTTCAAATAATGAGGCCAGATACAAATTGGGTACATGATTTCTAACGAGAAAATTGACTACGAGCAGGGTCCCTTACTGGACCTGGTGGCACAGATCCATTTCCTTGGGGTTTCAAGGTCATCTCCAGTAACAATTGGTACATGCCAACTACCTTGTTCAGACTCCTGCCACATTTCCATTTACAAATTTCTTGGAAATTAGGACCTTAGAATTCCGACATGAAAATCAGCAGGAAAGGACTAGAAGTAAAAAGACAGTCAGTATACTGATTTACCTGAATAACTATAGAATACTTTGGTGGCATCCGCAAGGTGAACTTCCCATCTGTTCCAAGAGCTGTCCGGACCTGTTGACAACCAAAGGGAAACATCAATCAGAAATGTCCATCTAGCATTGCCAATGATTGCTCATATGTACGTTGCACCGAAAGGTCAATTGCCCCTGTTACAGTTTCCCAACTAGATAACCCTTGCGAGGAACATATCATGCCATAGCAAGATTGAAATTGATCTCCTAAAGGAGCCTACTGCCATGCTTTTGTACTTCCTTCCGGAAAAAAACTCTCCTCTTGCCCAAAGAGGAACGAAAACTTCATACTGGTGATGATATGGCTATAATTTATTTTCCTTGTCATAGCCCATATTGAAGGAAATATAACGACACTCCCTTGGGTCTCCTCAGCACATGATTTTCATTAAGGATGGAAATCTTTAAGCCAACTATTGAAATTGTTCCCCATATGCTTGTTTTAGCCAAGATTCAAATATCACCAAGATGATGAACACGCTCCAAATAGGTGCACAGATGCATTACAGAGATTCTATTTAATACTACTGATTTCCTCCGCATGTCTTCTTTATAGATCTTTTTGTTAAAGCTATTAAAAACCCAAGAAAACCACACCATAAATTCACCTTAAACCAAAGAAAAAAGAAGGCTACCTGATGCTTTTCTTTCCATCTAGGGAAAAAACTCGTCCCTAATAGCTGGAATAAATGGTCTCTCATCTCATCATTTGTCACCAGCAAACACTTGGATTTAACAGCGGCATATAGCCAATACCTGGAAAGAGGAGGAAAATAACCTTGCCAACTCGCTCACTTACTCAAATGAAATTTTGGCATAACAAAACTATAAAATGAGGTGTGAAACTACCAATCATCATTTGAACCAAGAGGAGTCGCATAAAGTGCACCAGCATTATTCCAGCTCTCTAACAATTTCTTGTTAGAAGGATCTTGAGCAGGACCACCAAAGACACGGCTCCTATGCAATATAACAAGAGGCAACTTATTTGACTTACTCCTTTTGCGTAACCGGTTAACAATATGTTTCAGCTGCATGACATAAAAGATTAGAAATAAGCAGCAAAGAACAAGGCTTGATCAATTGATGTTTTCCACAAGTCGTAGTCCAGCCTTTCAACTTTACCAAACTCACTAAAGTCAACAACAACCACCACCCCATAGGAAACACATCTAGAAAGCGGAATCTGTATTACCTGAGATAAATTGAAATTCTTGTAATGAGTGAGGGCTAAATTTGCCCCATCTACAACTGCATCAAATGGGCCATGCTCTTCAAGCCATTTCTGTATTGATGCACATTCTTTGTTAGTATTACAATCTTTTGCTAGGACAAAAAGTCCGAAGCATAAAAGAACATAAAGGCAAGATGAGTCAGGTGCACTTTGCGCTGCTTTCAAGGTAAACTACTAATTTTATAACAGACATTAAACTAGAGAAGTATTCCAGCTACTAGCCATCTCATTGCTCGGAAATATGAGCAAAGCTTTAACATGATTAAGAATAACTCATTTACAAACTGGATAAAGCTAAAAAAAAGACATTTGGAATATGGATTCTCAGCACATGCAGTGAAATCATCAAGACACAGAAAGGTGATTGAAAGATACAGAATACAGTCTTGTTTCGAAGTATTCAAATGGGTAAATATGCTCAGAACAAAAACTAATTCGCCTTAAAGCAGCAACTCACTGTTCAGCATATGTGAATCCTGACATAAAAATACATTCCACTATACTTCAAAGATCTAGTGAGCAAATTAAAGTACAGTAACAAGTCCTCAATAGTTCTATAAGTTACTAATTAGATAATCAATGCCAACAATATGATACAAACTTGTCACTGGAAGCCAAACAAACCGTTCTTATAAACCGTATTTATCAACCCAGAGTATAGTGCAGAATAAAGATGAGTATACAAATGTAGAATATCTCAAACAATACCAAACTTCATAAAGCATCTGTTGTGCTAATCAGTAAACACAAAAGAAGAAGGCTCTCGCTTTCTACATTTCCAGGGCACAACAGGACGATTAACATTGACGCTATTCTTGAATAATGGCTTTCTAAAGTCAAACAACATAGCTGTCACATTTTATGTAAATCTTATAATGTGGCTGCATGCACTTTCTGACCATGCAGACACATATATGCAGTAGAGTGAGTCATTAAAGGCGCAAACAAGAACTAAAAGAACTGGTGGAGGTACTAAAACAAGAAATTACTTCTCCTTATGAAAGGGGCTTTAAGTCTTCTAACAATTGTCACAATCAAGTTGACAACTTTGCATTTGCCAGATGTATTGAACTCCATACAAAGGACGAAAAGAATTCAAAGAGCAGACTGCCCAATGCTAATCATTTTCACTAAAATGCCGCACATTCAGAAAGCAACATCATACCTGAAATCTCATAAAATCAGCCTTTACTTCTCTCTCAGAAGCCAATTTAGCCACCGAGTTTGCAAAATTCTCAGTCTCTTCGGGATCAATATCAATGGAAACAAGTTTCTCTCCACAAGAACTACACACCCCATTTTCCATTATCTCAGTCCTAACCACTCTCCATTTCCCTTTTCCCAGCCATCCTTGCCCGTGCCAGCCTCCTCCTCCCTTCACCATCCCTTCCTTTACCTTTTCCACATCCCAGTTTGCCAACCCAACCTCTGAGGCACCCTCAGACGTAAACCAATCCTCCACAACGGTTGCAGTCCCTTCGGACACCTGTCTAACATTCATTCTAACCCTATGCATCATCTCGTAAACTTTCTCCACAATTTTTGCCTCAGAACTAAGCTTCAGAAGGGCCGAGAGCTCTGGCTCCTCAGCAAACACGCCATTCTCAACCATGTGAGCGTCAACTTCATAGGCCTTATCCGCCATCAATTTCTCACAAAATCCAAGTAATGCCGGCCCGTAAGACCTCAGTTTTGGAACAATCCCACAACTTTTCATTTGCTTCACCAACTGGAAAGCCATATCAGGGTCTTTCTTAGCAGCTGCCAATCTAGCGGCACTTGTAAATGTAGCCTCGTTGGGAGCAACATTATCCCTGCCCATTTGCTCAAAAATTTCAAAGCCCTTTTGCAAATCCAACTCCAAATTAGATTCTGAACAATCACCCTCCTTTCTAGCAGTGCACAAATAAAGCAAAGAATTGTAATGTTGAACATTAAGCTGAATATTATTAGCCCTCGCCTCGTCATAGATACGAAGGGCCTCCTCTAAATCACCCCGCTCAGAACAAGCATTGAGCTTGAAACGTAGCACGAATTCTGGATCTTCACGGCGAGCTTTCCTGGAGTGTCGGACTTGTACTGGTCTTCTTGAAGAAGGCGACGATAAGTCTTGGCGAGAGGCTGAGATGGTGCAAAAATTGGCTGCTCTTTTTATGGGAAAAGAATCGAAACAACTACACTTAGCATTGAGTATGGGAATCAGGGGAACGAAATAGTTCCTGGGGATTTCGTGAGTAAGATTGTGTAAGAGCACCGGGGTTTTGCGGAACAGGGAGAACATTGATGAGGTTTTTAGGAGAGCCATGCGGCCCATTTCATTGTTTTCTGATTATAACTAGATGAAGAAAGCAGGCTACTTGATTCATAGTCTATCAGAGCGTCTTTGAAGAATTACGTCGAACACTTGTTGTGCCTTCCATGATTTTCCATCTCTCCTCCCACCATAACTTCCGTCCTATCTTTCGGACATTGGCATTTGGCACCAATCAATCTGTCAGAAATTTGAGTCGGCGAAACACAAAAGGCAAGGAGACAAAACGATGAAAAGGGGAAAAAGAAGTAGCCGCTTGGAACTCAATTCTATGACGTCGAAAAGAATTTTTCGTACAACAATGAAAAGAATTTCTTTAGTATTGGCGCAATTATTTTAAGAAGTCCCAAACTCCCAATTCTACAGGTTTTATCACTTCACTATCTAGTTGGTTAACATAGTTTTGTTTTATTTTAATACACTCCGTCTAATCTCCATTTGATTGTGATTTTAAAACGGCGAGTTTAATAAACTATTCGTACACATAAATTTGAAATTTTTTTTCTTTTTAATACAATAAATATGACAATCATTTTGAAACGGAGATTAAAAAGATCACGTACAGTACATGATGCAACTAATGTCTTTCCACTATAACTGTTTGAAGGTCAATCATTCTAAATCTGTTTATTATCAACCTAAATAAAGAATATGAATAATCTCAATGTCTCAAGTTGAAAATATATTAAAATATCTTTGAATCTAAACCTTTACAAAAAAAAAAATTCGATCATTTTTCCTTTACACCTTCATACATATTATTTTAATATACAATCAAAATTCATTGACATGCAAAGAGAAAAAAATGAGGTAATTTTTAGTCTTTTTTTTTTTACTCTTTTTGGTGAGGTTTTCTTCTTCTTTTTTTTTCATTTTTGGTGTGATCGAGCTACTTTGGTGTTAAGGGGTTTCTGGCGGATTTTCTTTTTTGGTTTTTAATTTAAATTTTTTTGAGAAATATTTTTTTATTAAAATGTAAACAATATATTAATGGTAAAAGATCTCAACTTTCACTACTTTACAAGGTTGCACTACTATCAGATCACTACTATCTATCACTACTATCTGCTATCTATTTACAAACTATTATAGCAAATTTTCCATTCTACCAAAACTACCTACTTAAAGAACTTTTGCAGCACTTTTGTTTCTCCTGCGGTCCATGTTCTCCTCTGTTTGCCCTATACTTTAATCTTGACTTCATTCTATATCAATCCAATAAATCCTCCACTGAACTTACAACTCCAGTAAACATCCTTATGTTTCTTTCTTCCCAGATATGGTATAAAGCTGCAGCTAACACAAAAAGAAAGACCCTTCTTTGTTCATGCCATTCCCTTACCAGATCTTAATAACCTGTTGTTGCCACCTTTCCAATACATAAGAAATCTTCCTGTTCCCTAACCAGTCCTGAATCCTTCCCAACAATTCAGAAGTATAACTACATTCGAAAAATAGATGTCTAATAGACTCGTCTACCTGAGAACATAGTATGCATCTACTATTCAACACAAGAATATTCATATGAATTAATCGAACTCTTGTCAGGAGTCTCTGTTTCCATACTAGCCAAGAGATGAACGCGTGTTTCTGGACATTCATACCTGACCAAACACATATAGCTCCCTGTCATTTACTTTGCACTCCCATTAGCCATTGATAACCTGAACTGATTGTATTATATTCCATTCCCAACGAGTTTCCATCAAACCCTGCCCTGGCAATGTCTCTTATTTTGAGAATTTGCTTCCAATGCTAATTAGGGGTGTTCACGGTCTGGATTGGTCCGGATTGATAGCAATCCGTAACCAAACCGTTCATTACGGTTTGAAAAAAAAAATAGTCCATGGGGGATTCGAACACACGACCTTCAGCAAGGTCTAACGTCTCTATCCGACACTATATATACAAAACCAATATATTATTATTTTATAATATATATACGATCCGGTCCGATTAATAGGCGATTTGATAGTGCCAAATCGTAATCCGGACTGGATTGACCGGTTTTTAATTTTTCAATCCACCAATTTAAAAATATAATTATAATCCGCCCGTTAATCCGAACCGATGACCGGATTGGACGGTTCCACTAGTTTGAGCCAAACCGTGAACACCCCTAATGCTAAAATATGCACCCATTTAATCAACAAATTATCCGCTTTGACAAGCTCTAAACTTTTTGGGAAATGTTCGAGGGTATATTTTATGGCTTTGATATGATCGGTGATTTTTTTTTTGTTTTGTTTTTTTTTTTTTTTTTTTTGCGAAATAGGTGATCATTCTTTTCATTTGGTGCTATAGTTTTCTTTCTTTTTTTTTTTGGGTGTGAGCGGCGACGTTGGTGTCAGACTTTCATTATTTCATTTTTTATTTTTCTTTTCATGGCATAACCGACTTCCCTACCATTATAGTATATTGTCCATATAGATTCATCAACGAACTTAATCTTTTCCGATGACAACAGAATAATGAATTTAAAAATTAAAAAAGAACGAAACTCAATAAGAATATATACTTCTACAGGTAGCCCATATCTCGGACACATCGAAACCAAGATAAAAATGGACATTGTTAAATGGAATTTGATTTTACTTTACGCAATTTTATAGAGATATTTTAATTTATTTTACAAGTTGCACAAAGTAAAATTAAGTTGTATTTAAAAGTACTCTTTTGATATCATACAATAAAGGATACAACATACACGGTTTGATTGTTTGGTGGTTTGGTAATTGAATCTATCCTTCGGCTCAAAGAGCTGCAAAGAATAAAAGTCTTCCTCCTCAATAAGGCAACCCATTATAATAAGCAATCAAAAAAAAAAAAAAAAAAATCAAAAGGGCCAAAGCAAAAAAACAACCGAGTTAGATTGAGTCAATGAGCCCCGCCACTACATCCAGCCCAAATGTCGTCTTTGCTAAGTCAAAAGTTTAATCGTCTTCGGTCATTAACGCTGAACTCTCTTCGCCTTGGTACTTTGTGTCTGCGTGTTTTTATTTTGCTGATTTTCTTCAAATTTTTATTTCCCTTAACAACCATCTTTACTGAAGTGCATTTGTCGTTACCGTTGCCACACTGACTCTGACTCTATTTCATCGTTGTCTGTTTTTGTCTGAATTTCCCCCTTCAAAAAAATCTATTTGTCCGCGGACTGAACTGTGCAGCACAGAACCGGTTGCAATCCTTCCTACTCTGCCACAGACATCAAAGATCAATCATCATAATGGGTCATGGGAATTCCAAATCAAGTTCCGAGTCGTCCGATGATTCTCCGCCTGCTGCTTCAGGGGACGTTTCAAAATCCTCCAATCCATCTCGTACCCAGAAGCTCAAGGACAAGCTGCATCTTCACCGGCCACACTTCCGTCGCCATGGCCGCCGTTCCCATAACCTGTCCAAACTCCTCAAAGAGGAGAACTTTGCTGGGATAGCCCTCCTCCGTATCATTACCGTAATGCTCATTTTTCTCCCTTTTTCTTTCTCTCTGTGTCTGTTTTTAATTTGTTTTCTGGGTTTTTATGTGCCAACTGTTTTGATGATTTTGGGGTTTGTAGGCGGAGATGAAATTCAAGGACAAGTGGCTGGCTTGTGTTACTCTGGGAGAACAGACTTACAAAACCCACGTCTCTGATCAGTTGAGTAATAAGTATTATGTTCTTATTATTTTTCAAAAGTAGACTTTCCGGTGGATTGGGAATGAAATGTTGACCATTTATGATGGGATGGATTTTGCAGGACTGACAAGCCCACTTGGAATTCGGTGAGTTGCTTTGTCGAAGCATTTATTACTCCTGATGTTTGCCAGAATGTTTCATTTTGTTTGTTTCTTATCTTTGGTTCCTTTGTTTCTGTGGATCTAAAGTTCATTGGCTTCTTCCTTTGCAGGAGAAGAAGCTCCTTCTGGAAAAAAATGGGGCGCATGTCGCAAGAATCTCTTTGTTTGAGGTCTGTAAGATTTGGAATTCGTCTTACCTTAGATTAGTTGTGGAACATGTTCATGCTTTACGCTAGGAATCTAAACATGTTAACAATGCCAGCTTGTTTTTAACTTTGATTTACTTATTAATTTCCTTTTTACCTATCTCTTACCTGAATTTTGAATTTGGATTTGGTCCTCTACTTATTGTTCTACATTTCAGGGTTAAACTTTACATATGTTTGAATATAAAAAAAAAAAAAAAAAATTTCTTGAAATGATTATATATAAACTTGCCAAGATGTACTTGCTGTTCATTTAAACTTGCCCCTGCACTGTCAGCAATCATATGTTTGGCTTTCTTATTTTAGTTTGACAACGTGTCTGATCTTTATCTGGCTTTTGTCTGACTTTTGTTGTTGACTCTTGACAGACGAACAAATTATCCAAAAACAATCTTATTGGGTACTGTGAGATCAACCTGCTTGAATTCCTTACCCAGGTTAGAACGTCACTCTTCTAAAAGATTATGTGCTGATTCCCATGCATTACCTTAATCCCTATTTCCATGAACTGTAAACGTTGAGATGTATGTATAGCTTCCACTTCAAATTTGGCCTTATTTTTGATACTTTCTTGAGAAAATACTCCGCAATGGTTTTTATGAAAAATTGTAGATAACTGAGCTAAGTTGTTAATACATTTGATGGGATATCTTTCTTGATCTGTGCAAGTCCGCTTATCAATTTTACCATCTTTGTGCTTAGTAGCTGAGTTGGTATATTGTCTGTTAATTTGACCCTTCTAATGCTATTTCGTTAGTTCAATATTGCTATTAATTGTTTTCTTTGAATTTAAGGATGAACTAACGATTTTTTTTTATTTACATCTTTGAGAGAATTTTTTGTTCCTGGTTTTTTTGAGTGTTTAAATGAGGCAGAGTTCCCAGTGTCTAATTGTTTCTGGTCCTTTAGTTGATCGTAAATTTTTCTTGTTGCAGGATAAAGATTCTGAAGATGTGACATTTGACTTGTTTGATCCAGCGTCTAAAGCAACAGTTGTAGGAACTGTTACAATTTCATGCTCTATTGAGGTGCACCAGTTGTAAGAATCCTTCATGTTGTTTTGTCTCACCAGGTCCTGTATTTCTGATGCCTTGATCATTGGCTTACACATTGGCAGGATCCTATGGAAACTGAAAAAAGTTTTGTGAAGCGGATCTTGTCTGTAGTGGTACGTTATAACATTTTTTTCTACTTAGTGTCATTCAAGGAGATACGTATTAAGTTGTTAGACAGACTTTTGTATAAAGTTTATTTTGTTCTTTGTCTATTATGTGCCTGACCGTTCTTAAATTTGGACTGCTGCACCTATTCGTTTTGCAATGTAACTGAAGACATGCATGCAGAAAGTTTCACTTGTATTCTTCTTTATAGAAAGTTCAGTATCTTAAAAGAAACAATGAGGCCTAAATAAACGCAATAGTGTATGATATGGCGGAGGCAATCTGCAATAAGCAACGGAAACTTGATTGGCTCGTGAAGTAAATGAGGTCCTGAGCTCAATCAAATGCTTCTTTAATTTCTGCTACCTTTCTAAGCTGTCTTGGTAGGAAAAGCGGGAAGAGTGGTTTGTGTGCATTATGTGCATGTACCAAAGAGGGAGACAGAAGTATGTAAGAACCGTAAATCTACTAAAAGTTTTTCTTTTCTGGGGTGAATTAAAGTAAAATAACCTGCTCAAACTGTAGGTTTTCAGAATCAACGGGTTAGCTTCTGTGGATAAACTGTAAATGAACTGATATCCGAAGCGCCTTGAAAACAATAGTCTGCAAATTTGTGCTTTGGAGAAGCTAGTAGGCATCTCTTAATGATAGGTTTAGAACCTCACCTCACCCAAATTTATCAGTCTCAGGGTTAACTATATTGACAGTACAAAAATGCTATCTGCTGTTAAATGCGCTCTTAATACCAGTGCTTGGATGGAAACAGAAGATAAAGGATTTAACAATGTAGTCTTCATTAAACATATGGCATCATGTAACATATGGAGTAAAAATTATGGTGAGAAGAATAATGCTGGTCGTTTTTTCCCCCCTTTTCTTAGGTTGAAAAAACTTGTTGAAGTAGGAGATTCCCTACTTAACCACATACTATTTTTTTATTTAGCAGAAGGTGGATAGAATAATATTCTAACAATCAAGAAAGAAAAAAAAAAAATTGCACATGTCCCTCTCAAATTTCTCAGTAGCTAAACTTCTACGTTGTGCAGGACTACGATGAAGATGGAAAGCTTTCCTTCGATGAGTTCTCCGACTTAATTGATGCTTTTGGTAATCAATTGGCAGCGAATAAGGTGTGTAACATAGAAGGAATATCTGATATACCTGTGAAGTTTCTGTAGATGTTAAATTTTACTACTTGGCTATTAGAGCCATCATTAGTGTGTTTTGTATTGCGGGCTCTTTGGTTTCCCATTCCTTATTTTCTTTTGGATGAGGATTTGTAAAAGGTATTGCCTGATTTTGTCAAATATTTTGTTACATACTTGCAACTAGATGGATTTCAATATAGAATTTTGGACAGGAGAAAGGTCTTGGTTGGCGTAGTTTAGTGCACACGTGTTCTTATCAGCCCATCTGCTTTGTATAATAGAAAAAGGAGCTTTTCATGGATGCTGATGAAAATGGGGATGGTGTTGTCAGCATAGACGAGTTGGCTATGCTTCTAGCAGTTCAACAAGAAAAGTAAGTGGACTTAAGTTTTCACCAGAATTCTTTGCATTTTGTGGCTAAATTTTCTTTGTGGTACCAGTCATTTGTGAAATAAACATCAAACTAAGATGATGATGCTTGCTTGATGTGCCTGGCACTTTTTCTTATAGCCTCTGAGCTATTCATCGTCCTTTAATGTGGAGCTGAGTAATTTTGAGTTCCGTTATCTGCCGGTTTGACTGTGCTTTATAATGACTTTATTATGCTCCTCAGTTTATAATCTTATTGGCTCTCAACTGCTACTCCTACTTTGCTTGAGATAGACAATTATGTAAACTTATATCGTCAAGGAAATATAGACATTCTCTTTGAAAAATGTTTAGAAATTACTACTGTTTAGTTTATTCGAAAATCTTTGGACAGTAATCTGTGAGTTGCAAAATTTCATAAATTGGTGGGGGGGTACTCTAGTCATTGTACAGGGATCTTGTGAAATTTAAGTTAGCAGCAATTGATGTCAACAACTATTGCATGTTGTCTTCTGATTTAGTGACAGATGCATTCCTTCTAATTTGTTGCTACTTTAGTGGCATCCTCTGTTGCATTTTTTATATACTAATTGGAAAGGATTGCTTTCTTTGTCAGTTTTGTGGATCAACATTTTTGTTTTTCTAGGAAACTGGATCGATATGGTTCAAGAGTTGTTTGTGCCGTACTTTAACGACAGTATTTTAGTATGATACTGCTTGAGGTGTGAAATTCAGCCTCCAGAGTCCCATCTTGTTCTCTTGGTATATAGCTGAAAAATATTTTTGGCACGTGTCATTTCTTTGTTTCTGTTTACTCAGTTTCTTTGGATTGTAAATTTCCTGGTCATGTTCTTGCAGGCCGTTTGGGTTGACTATGTCATTCACCTTTTCTGTTACTAATCTCAGATCTTTGTTATTATTTATATGCAGAGAACCACTGATGAACTGCTGCCCTGTTTGTGGTGATGTTCTTGAAGTTTCTGATAGACTAAACAGTATGATCCACTTGACACTCTGTTTTGATGAAGGGACTGGGAATCAGGTTATGACGGGTGGATTTTTTACCGATAAGCAAGCTGCTAACGGGTAAGAAATTCTCTTTTTATCTACTGTTTGCTTGATAATTCTAGAAGAACTCCTTCATAGAGCTTGTCTTTCAAAATTTTTGAATCGTAAACCTTCTTATGTGAATAGGTGGATGTTGAAACTAACCGAGTGGGCCCATTTCTCATCTTATGACATTGGTTTGAGGTCTGGATCAAGTGCATCTCATATTCTGGTATGTACTCCTTCATCCCTGTTGGTTAACGTTTCTTCTTGCATAATGTTGAATTTAATTGTGGTTCGTTGTTCTCCTTTTTATTTACCATTCCCCTCTTCTCCCTCTCCCCCCCCCCCTCCCCCCCCAACATTTTTTCTTGGATGAGTTTTAGTGAACTCATTATACTCCCATTTGCTCGTTTTTTGCAATTTCTTCTGCATGATAGTTAAATTTGTTTTTGATTTGAGAGGCAGAGGAGTTCTTTATGGTGCACCTTTTTATTTAATGATTTTTTTTTTATTATTATTATACTGATGTTAAAAGAATTGTTCAGGTGTTTGATCGAAGGAAAAAGAGGCTAGTGGAGGAGTTGATTGATAGCAAGATTGTATTATCAATGAGGGCTATCTATCAGTCAAAAGTTGGGCTTGGCATCATGGATCAAGGTAACTCCAGTGACATGGCCATACCATGCAAGCCCTTTAGGGATGCTTATTTAATGTTTACATTTCCATATCTGTCTCATGTATCTTTACTAAAAGTCTCTGACGTTTTTATCTTTTTTTCTAAGTACTGAGTGGAGTTTTTATCTTTGAGGTTCCCGTTCAGTGCTTTAACTGCAAAGACCTTCATAACAAGTGGATAAAGGAATGTGTGTACTTTTATGATAACCATGACATGATCATTTTTGAGGTAGTGCTACGAGTAACATGCTCATCTGAATGTAGGTGCAAAAGAGATCTTACAGAGCATTTCAGAAAAGCAGGGGAAGAAAATGGAGTCTCCAGAATCTGCTAAAGATATCCCAAAGTTCGTTGAGTTTTTCAAGGCATGCAATCCATTTTTTTGAATAGTATTTTAACAAACGGTTTTGACTTTGATGCATAGCTCTTTGGTTGTGCATTATGACCATGTAGGGTTTAAATTTTATATCATTTCCTTCGCTTCTCCTGGAATTGCGTTAATTTGACATTGCATTTACTTGGTCAAATGGTTTTGGGGTATCATCTCTTGTCATAGAGGCTTCTGTGGTTTACCACTTTGCATCGGTACTTTCTTTTATATGTCAATCCTCGCTTTTATCAAATCCTTGTTTTCAAAACTAAGTTGCAAATTTGAAATTATACACATAAATGTTTTGCTTTTGGTGGCTTGAGGTTCTGCTGTATTTGGACAAAATGTAATTTCTTTATGTTTGAGAATTGTTGCTAGAGAATTAATGTGAAAGATATTTGTTGTCTCCAGACATACAGGATAAAAGAATAATGATTAAAAAGTGATGGTGGTTTTTGAGTTATTTGACTGGAATTACTTGCCAGCCACGTCTATGTAGTTAAATGACTGTCTGTTTGCCTCTGAAATTTATTCAAAATAGTGTGCCGTATAGTGTCGTTATCATGAATTGTTAAATCTCGTGAACTGTGTATGTTTATGATTAAGATCTTTTCAGCTCTCTCTCGCTCTCTGATCCTTTGAATTGTCACTTACCAGGATCAGATTAATTTGGAAGAAGCCAAGTACCCTTTGGAGCATTATAAGGTATTCTTACAGATGAATATTTAAGTTTAAGATTAAGATCAGATTGTGAACAAAAATTCGAACAATTTAATTTTTCATTCTTTCACCATGGTCAAAGACCCCACAGATGCATTCTGATTAATTGGGAAGGATTATTACATTGACGCTGCACATACATCAATTTTTATACCTCCTTCTAATAGAGTTGTGCTCTGAATCCATTTTCACATTGTGGATTTGTTTAAACATTCATCGGTTCCTTCCTAATGCAAACTTGCAATCCATGCTGTAAAGCACTTTTCCAGGGTAAGAGGCAGTGCTATAGAATCTCAAGAGTGCAGTACCTTTTATCTCCAAAAGCACAATTGTAGTATGAGAAAGAGTGCTCCTATTGTATGGAAAACCAATTCTAACTGAGATTCTTTTTTGAAGATGCTCACGTTTTGCGATTTACAGTTAGTATATGGGCTACAGCCTAATTTATTCCTTCAATTTACATTCCTGATTTATGGCTTGATATGATTTGGCCCTCATGAGTTATTGTAGCTCCTATTTTAGATAATTTTGCTTGTCAGAAGGTACACATGTGGTACAAAAAACTTTTCCCCAGAAATTATCAAATTTCTCTATTTTATTGGCTTGTAATCTGTATTGATTTTTCAATTGCAGACTTTTAATGAATTTTTCATTCGAGAACTGAAACCTGGTGCAAGACCAATAGCCCACTTGGAACGCAGTGAAGTTGCTGTATCTGCTGCTGATTGCCGTCTTATGGCATTTAAAACTGTTGATGACAGTCTAAGATTTTGGATTAAGGTATATCTCACATGCACCTGCTGATGCAGTTGTGGAAGTACCTCTTTTTTTTCCTCTTCTTTGAGGAAGTGGAATTATTTTTCTGCTTACTGAGTATATTATGGTTTTGGTGTTTATTTGGCTTTAGGGTCGAAAATTTTCTATTAAAGGTCTTTTGGGGAGTGAAGCATGTTCTGATTCTTTCATGGAAGGAACTTTAGTGATATTTCGGTTGGCGCCACAGGTACTGCTACTCAACTGTGTTTACTCATTGAATTCCTTTCTTCTTCAGTCTTGAAAAGTTTATTTTCAATTGTTGCAGGACTATCATCGTTTTCACTCGCCAGTTTCTGGAACAATTGAAAAGTTCATAGAAATTCCGGGATGCTTATACACGGTAATTGGAGACGTATTCTGAACCCGCAGTTTCTTTCTGATGTAGTATTCATCTTGATCTTTTTCTGTTAAATTAACTTGAAGGTAAACCCCATTGCTGTGAACAGCAAGTATTGCAATGTTTTCACGGAGAATAAAAGGGTAGTATGTATCATTTCAACAGCAGATTTTGGGAAGGTTAGTTGGACAAATCAATTTTCCCTAGCATGGGAGTCTTTGCTATCTTTTTACTGTTTCCAGTGATTAACCATTTTTCTGTTTCCGGAAAAAACATATATCTCCATTTCCATAATACAAATATTAGATAACTCTGCTTTTACAGGATAGCTGCTTCATTTGCCATTCCTTGTTGCATGAGCCCAAGTGATTTCTATCCCTAAGTAGAACTTACTCCCTTCTTAACCAGGTGGCATTCGTTGCAATTGGTGCAACAATGGTTGGAAGCATTAGTTTTACCAAGCAGGCTGGTGACTATGTCAAAAAAGGAGATGAGGTTCAGTCCATCTCCTGTCTCTCTTTCTTTTTAATTATTCAGTCGATGCTTGACATTTGAATATTTTGACTGCTTTTACAGCTTGGTTATTTCTCATTTGGTGGAAGTACGGTTATTTGCGTGTTTGAAAAGGTTAGAACCCTTTTCTTAGCATGTCAAATACTTCATTGTTGGATATCATGATTTGGCTTTTACAATAAACTAAACCAGTTTAGAGTTTATATGTTCGTTAATAACGAAAGCAACAATTATATATGCAGGGCACCATAAAGATAGACGAGGACCTTTTGGAAAATAGTGGGAGATCGCTTGAAACTTTAGTTACCGTTGGCATGCAGCTGGGAGTAGCCACTAGTAAGTGTTCTGAAGTTGAGTTGCCAATTATGGATAAATGCAACCTTGATGCTTGAGTTCATTCAGCATTAACTGTGCCATTTAACCCTTGTCAGAGGTTGGATGAACTGTTTAGCATAGCTTCTTGCTCCTCTTTTCTTTTTCTTTTTCTTTTTTTTCTTTTTTTCTTCTTTTCCTTTTCTAAATGTATGGAATGACTCAGGGCATTTGTGCGAGAAATGTTGCTACTCATGTAGTCTAATGCAGCCTGCTCTAGGTTAGGTGTCAGTGATAACAAATGTCGTTGATGCAAACACCATTAAAGGGTCGAAATCTACTGATTAATCATAGTTGTAGATTGTTTCAGGGACTTTATCATAGTCTTAAAATTACACAAATTTGCATTTAACAAGTCGGACACTTGCTTGCCTGACAGTATGTGCACTAGAATATGCTTCTAGTTCCTAGTTTAGTTGGTGTTTCAAGTACCGTTAAGGTGAGTGCATTTCAATAGAAGTAATAACCTAAGCCTCGGAAGACAGAATGGATCTAAATAACACAGTAAAGACTATCACCAAAAATTTCAAAGGTTACCCTGGTAACCTCCTGTGTTTTGCGGATAAGAATATGTCTGTGCCTTTGCTAACCCAACTTGGCCTTGCATCCCACCACTTGTATATTTCTGCCACATTATCTGCTCTTCTACTAGCAGTCTTTGTTTCTTCTCCATCTCCGACATCTGTACGTAAGGTGGTGGAGCTACTGAAAGAGAGGCTGCAAAGGGATCGGCACCAGATGGAGTTGCTCCATCTGCACTTGGCGGTGCAGGAAGTGCTAGCATTGCCGGCCTTCCAGCAGATCCTAGGGCGACACTGCTAGCGCTTCCTGTAGCTGTGACACCTGATGAAGCAACTGCTTGTTGGATCGTGCCTTGTTGATACATCCCATCAAGCATCATAGTGTTGAAACCACCTGGAAGAGCTACCTGCTGGTTAGACAAATGGCTGGCAGATTGTACGAGTGCCGATTCCCAATCTTCCGAGTCATTGAAGGCTTCCCATGCCGAAGTACCTGTTGCTTCTGGAGCGCTTGTTGATAGATTACCATCAAACAAAGCCAACGCCAATTTATCTCCTTGTTCTTCCGTTGTTGGTGCATCTTCACCCAAATTCAATAGATCCCCGATGTCTTGTGTTTTTGGCTTGGCTTTATCGTCATCTTTTTCCTCTTCCTGTTTCTCTTCAGGAGTTTCCTCTTGAAATCCTTCTGGAGGTGGTAATGCTTTGATGGCATTCATATCCTCTTCTGGTTCAGCCTCCTCCTCGGCTTCCTGCTTCACCGGTTGAGGCTCCGGCGTAGGTTCAATCATCTTGGCCTTCCTGTTATGTGCCATTACTGATTTCTCTCTGATAAACTCGTCCATAACATCTAGTTTCTTCTGTGGAATCTTCTCAACATCAGGGAAATCAGCGGCCCGGCAAATTCCAACAGTCTTACACCAAGCATACAGTGCATCGAGCTCGTCATACTGTTTCGAAACACGAGTGAATATCTCAAAAACTTTCACAGAATCAGGAATATCAAGCTCCATAAATCGGTCGATCAAAATGCCCAAAATCTCAGTGATATCGTAGTATAATTGGAAACTTTCTTTCACAATTGGATACATGGCGACAATCACGATCCTATTGTTCCTCGCGTTACCTATAATCCAATGCAAAAATGATCAATAATTAGAAGTTCTGTATTAATGTTTTAAAAAATCCTAAACTGGGGGGAAAAAAAAGGGCTAAACTTTGAAGCATACCTGTAGGACGACATGCTAAAAATCGCTCTAGAATTTGCATTAGATGATGAACCCTGGAAAAAATATGTTCATTTTTCATTTCTCTCACAGGTGTAGTCCTTACAACAATTGCATTATGACCAACTTCTTCTTCTTCTTGATCATACGAAAATGCGCTGCGCTTCCCTCTCCTGGCTTGCATCCTAAACTCGAGATGCTCGTCAAGGTACAACGCGTAAGTTCTTACGAATGCAGAGTAATCCCAAGAATCCGACCTAGAAGTGTCACGAAAATCAGACATGTTGAGAAGGCGAGTCCCCCGCCTTGTCGCGAAAAATATCTCTTGCTCGTAAGCCGGATCACCCTCCGCGAGCAGCCGTTGAATCAACATCAACGACTTGAGCGCGACCACCCAATTTTTCGTCTTGCTAAGGCGCCGGGAGATTGTACTAACGCAAGCCCCCACGAAGGCTCGAGAATAGCAAGTCAGGCTCATTATTTCCCTGATGTATCTCTCATCCGCAGGGAATTCTTCATGCCTGGTGGATTTAACAATGGCTACATCAAGATCAGACAAAGAAGCACTACTTCCTACTTTAGCAAGGCTTATGCTCGTCTGATCCTTGACTGCTCCAATTGCCTTTCTTAACTTGCCTCCACCCATGATTAAATCTGATCTAAAAAGCTTATATAAATGGCAAATTCAACCTGGAAAAGACATGAAAATGTCAGCTCTCTATATGATGATAATACAAAAAAAAAAAAAGTTACAAATCTTTGCATGTAGTTTACAACCTAAAATGAAGGCGATTTCAATTTAAAAAAAAAAAAATCCAAGTAGGATGATCTTAAAGGCAATAAGCATGCACAGATTTAAATACAGAAATATTGAATCACAGCATAGAATTTTCATTAACAGAAGAAGATTGGTGAATGTTACCAGTTCAGAAGAGGCGACTTCCTGTAAAAATTAAAAAGTTTCTCCAAGAGACAGGAGGGAAAGGAGCTTTGTTTTGTGTTGTGATGATCTTCAACCTCAAAGAACTTCGGTATGGTGTTACTATATTGGATCAAAAAATGTTTGCAATAATAACTGGATTTTTTTAAAAAAAAAAATTTGTGAGTGGGAAATTTGAGAAGAAGAAGAAGAGAAGAAAATGGATGTTCTTTTTTATTTATTTATTTATTTTTTTCAGCTTAATGTTGTCTTTTCTGCTCTTCTTCTTCTTCCTTGTTTTTGGCGCTTCCAAATATTTTGCAAAAATTTTCGATGTTTCCTTTCCATCAGGTTTTGTCCAAGTCGCTTCTGATTTGAGAGTGTAGAGGCTTAGCTACCTTACATCCTCCTCTATCTTAGGAAACCAAAACGGATCATCGGTGGAAATCAATAGGCCATGTGGTGGAATAGAGCTATTTTGGGAAGTTATTTTTATTTGCATCCTCAAGTATTTTTATTTGTCAATTTTATTAACAAACTAATTGCAACAACTCCAAAGGTTTTTTAATAGTTATGAAAATGAGTATCAAAATTAAATTTTCCCCAATAAATTCCACTTAAATGTGTAAAATCCCCTCCACGTACTTCTTGGTGGGAAATAAACTCAGGTCTAATACCAAGAAGCACAACATCATAATCACTAAACTGTCATTCAATTCCTAAACTTACCAGGCTTGTCTTTCAAAAACATACAAATAAATGATTCAGATGGCTTAACATTCATTTTTTTTATAAAATAAAAAATAAAAAAATCTCCCATGTACACTCCACTTAAATGTGGGTAAAACACTTGTCATTCAATTCCTAAATATACGGGAAACATGCAAATAAATGATTCAGATAGCTTAACATTTTTTTAAAAAAAAAATCCATCACAGTGGACCCTACTAAAATGTGGATAAAACATCCCTACATATCCAGGTTTGTCTTTCAGAAACATACAAATAAATGATACATTCATTTTTAAAAAAAAAATTACTTTAGTAGACTCCACTTAAATGTGGGTAAAATACATGTCATTCAATTCCTAAATTTACTGGCTTGTCTTACAGAAACATACAAATAAATGATTCAGATGGCTTAACGTTCTTTTTCTTTTTTCAAAAAATCCACCATAGTGGATCCACGAAAATGTGTATAAAACACCCTTTACATGTCCAGGCTTGTCTTTCAGAAACATACAAATAAATGATACAATCATTTATAAATAAAAAAAAATCCACCCCAATAGACTCTACTTAAATGTGGGTAAAACACATGTCATTCAGTTCATAAATTTACAGGCTTGTCTTTCATAAACATACAAATAAATGATTCAGATGGCTTAACATTCAATTTTTTTTTTAGAAAAAAAAAAAAATCCACCACTGTGGATCCTACTAAAATGTGGATAAAACACCCCTTACATATCTAAAATTGTCTTTCAGAAACATGCAAATAAATGATTCAGATGGCTTAACATTCGTTTTTTTTTTTCAAAAAAATCCACTACAGTGAACCCCACTAAAATGTGGATAAAACACCCCTTAAATATCTTTGATGGGAATTGAACTCGGGTCTAATACCCGAAAATATAACATCCTATTCACTAGACTGTTATTCAATTCTCAGCATACATATATATTATATATATGCATATAAAGTAATTTTTGGGAATGAATATATATATATATATATACACACTTTTACAAAGAAGGAGGCTAAAACCTAAGACGTTGAATTACAACATTCCAGTATCACGAATATGACACTCTATCAATATCATGATTTAACCATAGTTTTACTCCCTTCTGTCCTTTATTTAAGACATTTTGATTTGTTTTAGATTTTACCTAATATACATTTTTAATTAAAAAAAGAAGCTTAAAAATATATTTTCACATTTCTTGTGTTCTATTAATTGTTAGGAAATATTTTAAAGGTTATTTTGAAATTTCGACAAAAAAAAACACTCACGATCCACGAAAAGAACACGGCTCTGATCCAACTTATGCAGGCGCAGCCCTAAATTCAATCAGAACGACCTAAATTAGGATCACCAAAAATTATGGAACAACCGTAAATTAGGGGCCAATCACAAATCACTCACAATTATGGAACAAAATATGATTAGAACTAATCAAGCCACCAACAACATGGAAAAGGAGAATTAGTTTTGAGATAAAATCTTTTTTTCATTAATAAAAACAACTGACGTACAAAGAGGCGGCTAATCCCTTTAAATAAGAAAAAACGAAGCGGAAATAAACCCTAATCACTAAACAATAAAATTACTAAAATAGCCCTATGATAATGCAAAGTCCTAAAAAATTTTATTTCCCCGCCTCCATCAATTACGTATGTTAAGCATACAATTATTTTATTTCTTTCATTCAATGTAATATTAATTATATAAACTTATTTGCTTTTAGTCATATAATAATGCTTGACTGCCGTCTTATCATCTATTTCCCCTTTCAATCAACTAAAATTTTACATAAACGCAAATTTTATCTTTTGAATAACAACTAGATTTCAATTGTATACTATATACTAATATGAATTTAAAATACATTTCATACTTTTTACATCTTTATTAATATCGATGATATATATATAAATAAACCCAAAAGGTAATGACAAGTTATTTGCTGAAAATTTTTCCCATTATTGCTATTCTAATGTGCACAAACAATAACAACTAGAGGAAGTATAATTTTTGGTTGTGATGGCGATGACCGATTCGAATTCCTCTTTAGTTTAGTGAATATGGGCCCTTAACTCTTAGTATTATACCATAGGGCGGTCCAGAAAGAATATGGCGTTCGTTTTATGGCCCAATATCTGGTAGCAAAGAGACTCACCATAGACTGACTTCTAGAAAGAGGAATATTGTGTTTATATTTTGCGGCCCAACGACTTTTCCCTTGTCGTCTCGAATTGGAGGAATATTTTGTTTTTAAGTAGTGAGTGGCCTTAGTATTTAATTAATGACACTCTAAATTAAGTTCCATCCATCCAGGTAGTTTGGGTTTAAGTGTTGCCTAAAATTAATCAGAAGCATGTTTAAGTGTAGTATGACTACTTTACTTTCTGTTGTGTTGATTTTCATGATATTGTGGCTGTTTTGTTTGAGTATTGGGGTGGGTTGTATAAGAACAAGAATGCATGTTGTAACTAGTGTGGAGCCGAGTTAACCAACACTTGGGAGAAAGAAAGGCTCAAAAGTCTAATTATACATATCTGATGCACAATTATGGCGTAACATAGGAGAAGAAGAGAGTAAAAAACCAATCCAAAGTAACAGCCCCAGAACTTGATATGTAACCAAAACAGGAGCGAAATTCTGATGATGAGAAATCAACATTTATGACCCACGATCCTACTCAATTGCATTTTGTGGGTACGCAGTTCCTTTGTATTCTTATGCACCAGGATGAGAAAGATTGTCAGGTTCTCAAAATCAACTTAGTACCAAAGATGACACAGCAGATAGTTTGTGGAAAACGAGTTTCCCATTTAGTACAGTTTCTGTTGTATTTTCAGTATTGATTCATCGAATCAGATTAGTACAGACTCCAAACTTTCAGTTAAAGTTGCCTTCGCTAACCATTATCCATTTTCAACTATTGACCTGTTGTTATTCTCTTGGAGTTCTCAACTTCTGCTGCTAATTCCCTTGCATCGATACATATATATCTTATACATTTGATGAAGGCTGTCCTCAGATGTCGGGATTTTGGCCATCACCAAGTGGTCTGTTAGCAGCAAACACCTTTGGGACCCCTTGTCTTCATGTCGCCGCGTCATCTCAGGTAAACATTGCCTCAGCATGTAATATTTTGGCTGAAGAATAGGGTTAAGACTTTCTCTAGACCTCATACCCAAGCTGCCTCTGAACTTACACTGGCGCATATGCTTCCAAGATGTCCAGTGAATGGCTTTGCCTTCGTATCTCCATTCCTGATGAATCTTCCAATTGTTGAGTCTATCTGCTTACATATGCTTTTTGATAATTTTGAAAACTCCCATCAGAGGTTGGCAAGGGGCAAGCACCTGTCTTTGTTCTGGGAACCCGAGTTTCTGTAACACCTGCTGCAGAAAAGAACACAATATTCTTTCATAAGTTTTGCTCATGTAGAGCTTGATGGCTGCCAGTAAATATGTTCCTTGCCTTTCCTCTTTCTTTAGTGCTTAGTTGCTTCGTTTAGCTAATAGAATAGGTTACCCAATGTATCTGCCTGGGACAAACCATTTTGTTTGGCATTTCGCATTGCAGATTGGGCAAAAGTCTGAGGTATACACCATGACCACTTTTGGGACGAAATCACATTTGTTTAGTTTTATTCTTCACTCCAGAACTGATTTCGCAGAATTCCCAATAATGCTTAGGATGCAACTCCTTTACACCACTACATTTGGACCTGGTGACTTCCTTGGCACCAGATCTGTGATGAGCAACCATATTTCTTGGTCCACCGTTTCTGATTTCCGTGCTTCTAAATCCTGCTATGAGACTAATTAAATCCTAGATATTTGGTCCTGTTCCTCAAATTTCATCATCTATTGCCTATTGATCGTCAATGAAAAAGACCTCTTTGAAGCGGTTGTACATTACTGCAGCTTGTCTTGCGAGTAATGCCAAGTAGCTCTGTTATCTTTCAAGGCATTTATCCAACATCTGCCCAGTTGTAGAAAATATTGTGCATGTTTATCTTTGATCTGTGTTGCCATTATGCTTTTAAAATCCTGCAACTTCTTCAAGAAAACCATGGTTTCCTCCAACTGATTTTCATTTGCAAGTAGCCTTCACCTTGCAGCAGTGTTGCTAGCTTTCGATGAAACTATTCACTTGGGTATCTAGATTACAAAATGGGGATGCAGCTGCAGGTATTCAGATGTTTCAGACTTACTTTAGATTTGACAGTATGGTAGAGTTTTCCAAATCATCGCTCACAATTTCTGGAAAAGTGATGGTGCTGGTTCAGTGTTCGACCACAAAGCATCAAACCTGTTTCTTCTGATTTTCTGTTTAAACTACAAGGATGTGTATCTAACGACAGAGATAAATCATCTTCATTCAAACCCAAGCCTCCTTTCTTCATATTATCCTGACTGATGAATCTGATTAAAGTCTGCTAGAACCAGCCAAGGCAGAGTACATCAAAAAATTCCCGACTTGCAACAACTTTCGCTTCTCCTAAGCTGGATGGCCTTCAAATAAAGCTCCCCATACGAGTCCCTAAACTTCCTTGATTCTTGCTACTATCAATATACTCCATGGAGTATTCAACTACTACTTAGTTTCCACGATCAATGGTCTAAAACAGAACTGTTCTTCCAAACTTTATTTTAAAAAGTAAGTGTTATTCTTGCAAACTTAAAGTCTCGCAGAGTCAGGCTTAAAAGAAATCATCATTTTTCCAACATGTTTACTCTACGGGAACAAGCAAAACCCCTGGAGATTCCAACGGTTCACCCTCAAGGTTGCTCTACTCTGGGGGGTGACCACCGGAAGTAGGTTTTCTTGCAACACAGATGAGTTAAAGTTGGTAGCTGGCTTTGTTTCTTGAAGCAATTCTGCGGCCAGCTTCGGTTAATCCACCAGCACATGCGAAGACCCTAGTTAACTTCCACTCCCCAGTTTAGCTGCTATCTTTTCCATATTTCTTTTTTAAAGTGGATTAGTCCAATTTCTTTTCGATGAATTTCATCAAAGACGTCTGCAGGAGCTTGCTTGCAATTTTTTTGGCGGACTCTTCTTCTGCATTCTTCATAGCTCATTTTCTCTCCTTGATACCAGTTCTCTGCACGCCGGCAGGATGATTTGTATTTATTCAGGGGATCCGCCGAAAGGAGAAAATAGGTTCCCCTGGAACTCTGCTTTCATGTTGTCGGAAAAAATTCTGGCTGAGGTCTGTAGGAAAGTCTGAAAACAACACAGCTAGGATTTATGGCAGTAGAATTATGGCCTGTAGAATTATGGCAGTAGCAACCAAGATCAAAACAACACAGCTAGGATTTATGTACTCTCTTAACAGCGTCAGTTTCAACTACATGGGAGCTTTCAATGAGCTGAAGCATCATAACACACCATAACAATTTAAAGGGTCAGATTAATTAAAACAATAGCGATTATTGGCAAAAAAGAAGAAACCAGCCACAAAAGATAAAAAGTGAATCGAAGATTCACATCATCAAGAGATCAAAACTTCGCCTGGAAAAGAAACTAAACATTGGTACAAGTGTATGAAATATTAAACCACAATACTATTTTTCAAAAAATGCCACAGATACAAATAGATCCTACTTGATTTAATAAAAATGAAAAAAAAAGAGAGAATATTTTTTTGCTTTCTTTCATTATTTTGGCATAACAACACCAAGAAGAGTGATTGAGGTAATGACAATGTCATTAAGTATATTTTCAAAAAAAAAATGTCATTAAGTATGAATTTCAAAAATATCAATTGAAATATTGTATAAATAACCACGCAAACCATCAGGGAAAAACATTCATCGCCGACCAAAAATAGATTCATGAAAAAATAACTACTACTAACTTATAGTCACATATTGAAATAATAATGGAAAAAAAACCTTTGTTTCTTCTTTTCTCAATTGATTGATTTGACGATGCCAGCAACGGTGATTCATGATGGTGATGAATTCTAGTAATTTTTCGACAATGAAATTTTTTTTTTTTTTTTCCAAATGAGACAGATTGTCCGATGAGGGAGAGTAGGGTGGAAGATGAGAAAGGTTAAATATTTAATCTTTTGATGGATATATATATATATATATATTATAATTACTATGAAAAATAGAGTTTGAATGAGAGAAAAAATTCTCTTTAAAATCTTATCCCAGTTTTCCATTTTATTTCCTAGAATATAGGAATAACAAGCGCAACCTACACACCTGAGTTCACATTGCAAGATGAACCATGGTTTACTATATAAGAATTGTCCAAACGCAAGAATAATGTAAGTTTAATTCTAGTCAATTCTTAAGATCTTTCAAACAAAAAAATTAGTATTGAATTATAATCTTAATATTTTACTTTTAATTCAATAGTATTATATTTTCAATTCAATTACAATTCAACCTAACCAAACGGAAACTCAGAATTTCAAAGTGGCTGAGGGAATAGCAACATGAAGAATATAACTACTACAGTATTCTAATACGAATGTTGATGGAATAGGTGAATTGCCTTTTTCAACGCTAATTGGATTTTAACTTTTCGTTTTTTTTTGTTTTTTTTTTCCCCGTTAATCAAATCGCAAAGCAAGACGCGGGCCCGAAAAGAAGAAGTATGTGGGCCGGATTCAGAAAATTGGAAGCTAAATTGGAATCGGATTAGGAAGGTCTATAAAAAAAAACAAGGCATCATCGAGGAAACACATAATTCATCATCAAATACATTTTTTTAATTGGTTGAAATCCTATTTTGAACAGGACAACACATAAACACCATGGACCCCATGGATGTGGACGACACACCACCATTACCATCGGCAACAGCAGCATCATCATCATTAAAAGGGGTTTTTCCTTACTGTATGAATCTGTATAACAACTTCGATAAGCTGAGTGAGAGGGAGCGTAGGTGTCTGTATCTTGGTGGGGAGGATTCTTTGTGCCCTATCCCTGCTGTTGTCCAGGACAAGGATAAGAAGCAATGGGACAAGTACTGGAAGCTCATCCACGATTCCCGGGTTAGTTTATAATTTTAATTCGATCCACCTTCTTTTTTTTTCTCTGATCTTCTACATAATTCATTCGGGGTTTTTTTTTTTCCTGAAATTTAATGGGTTTAATTGTTTTCATTAGGGTTATGAGGCGGATCATATTCCGTTTGATTGTCCTGATTGGTGGCGAATAGCAGAACATGTGACCGTTCATTACAGGGTCTCTCCACCACCAGGGTTGAGCTCAGATGATTTCCTCAACATTTGTAAGCAAGCAATTGTAGGATTCAATAATAGCCATCTGGAACCCAAATACCAGTTTGTTACGATTGAGAATGTCACTTACAGAGATAGTATGCCTTTTTTGAAGTTCTACATCACTTTTGGAGCTTCTAGAGTTGATGATCCCAGCGTCACTGAAACCTTTATAACTAAGTACGTCAAGTGTTATCATGTCGGGTTGGAGCATCTGTCAGGGATCAAACGTTGTGAACTGAAAAGGGTGTTTCTCGACAACTGGAAAGCTGCAGAGGCTAATGGTATGCCTTGTAAACTACCTTGCTGCAAGCCACGGACAGGAACATATTAACTTTCCCGATATATACTTCAAAAAATTAGTCTTGTCATTGGATTCTTGTGTCGTTTTGAATGGAAGTTTCATCCTTTATTTTTTTGTAGTGCAAATATATCCCCAATGTCCGAAAACAAAAAAAAAGAGAAAGATACCAGAATGTAGCTTTATTTGAGTTTAGTTGTTGATTTCACAGTTATGAACTGGTGATAACAGGGGTCGATTGGTAGGAGGAGGTTACTTTTGCAGGCAGACATGATTGCCTCTAACCAGAGTTGTGAATCTTCGATGCGATGTAGTTATGCATATATTGAATCCATCATTGTTTCCTATATAGTTTAGGTGAAATTGGGTCCTTGCCTGATATTTCTTCTAGGTTATATCTCTTGCCACTGTCTTGTTTCTTCTATTGTTTTCTTTAATTCGACAGTTTCTCCTCTTCATGCTTCAACTCTCTGAAAACTCTAAGGAGTTGAAACAAAAACAGAATCCCAACTGAATACTTTCAAGAGTGGTCTTGTTTTATTAATGTCTGGTTCCTTAGCAAGAAAACATACATAACATGGTCATAATTTTTGAGATGACTGGTGCGTATCTGAGCTATATTGTCTGGGAAACTTGCTTCCCCGGGATTCAGGTTCGAGTTTTCCCCTTATCTTTAATAGCAGATACTAAGTTGATTTCAAAAAACTTGCATCTTTCTTATCCTGATGAACCTGATCTATTAGGATCTCATTAAGGGCCTATGTGCCCACAAACAATGTTGAAATGTCAATCAAATCTTTTCCCATCTTGAAGTGTATGCTCGAATTGTTCACATGTAAAGAACTGGATTCATATTTCCTTCATTCTTGGGCAAGGGATACTTGAGTTTTTACAGACTAATAATTGGATAGAATCATACTTTAGAATGGTTGTACCGAGCGAATCTCAAAAAGAGTTTTGTGTTTGCATCTTGATGGATTCTGTATAGAGGATGCTGTTTTGGGTTGATGAACTTCATGTCTTGCATGATGCAAAAAGCCATCCTTGAGGAATGCAACGTGATTGGAAGCTCAATTTTGAAGAGGGTAGCAACTTAAACAACGCATTTTCCAGACATTGTATTTTACAAAGACCGGCGATAATGCCAAGGTATTTCACTATTTATTAGCCTTCACCACAAAACATTTTTTCACCTAAATCCTCCGTTGAGCAAAGGGCAGAGTTTTGCTCACACCCCTTCTCCCTATGTTTTTCTCTAGCAAGTTCGACATTCATTTCCCCCCTGAAACTAGTCATTCTTGAATCGTGGTCAAAATTGGTAAGAGTTTCCTGTGGCACCATGGACTACGAACGTCATTGCCACTGCCTTTTCTGAAGCCTCACAACCTAGTCTTTGCTACAAAGCAAGGAATTATAGGAAGACTGCTTAAATTTGGTTTGACATTTTTAGGATTTGTTTTGGATAGCTTCTGCCGAATCTGGGAACTCATATCTCTACCACTACAACAAAAAGGTTTTGATAGGACACTTCTTTTGTGTCCTTAAAAGTTACATAATAAGACACTTTGCATGTAGGACACATACAAATAGTGTCCTCTATTCTCTAGTCACAATAAATCTATACAACACTTAAAAGTGTCTCATTAACTCATTCCTAGTGAGACACTTCATATATGTTCTATTAAGTTATGGGACACTTATGAAAATAGGACACTTTAAAGTGACCTAATTAGTGTATTACTATTAGAAATTTTTAAAGTGTCCCAACAAATGTTGATTTAAAATAATAAAAATAATAATAATAATAAAAGCCAACCACTTGCAATAAAAGTAAAAATAAAAAATTCAATCCTTTCACCTTATCTTTTTCATCCTGTGTCAACAAGTTCTTTCCTCTACTCTTCGTGCTGAAATTCAATCCTTTCCTGGTTTGGGAGTCAAGATCAGCCGAGAAGCTCCAAGATTAAGCCACCTTATATATGATGATGATAGTCTCTTCTTCATTGAGTGTACTCCTTCGGCGATTCAAGCACTTGCTGGTCTGTTAGAAAATTATATAACTTACTTGGGTCAGAAGATAAATCTTCATAAATCTTCACTTCTGATAAGTGCAAATACTCCACTGGCGATGCAAGATTTGATTCATGATACATTCAATATCCCCCGGGGATCTTTTCACAGTAAATACCTTGGTATGTCTTTGGATTTCTCACAGCATAAGACCACTATTTTCCAGGATTTTACTATCAAGCTTAGCAACAAATTCGCGTCTTAGAAGACCAAGTTACTTTCTTTATCAGGACGTGTCACACTTGCTGAATCCACACTTTCCTCCATGCTTGTGTACCCCATGGGCGTTTTTCGACTTCCACAGCACACTCTGGCCAAAGCGGACAAGATTATTGCTAACTTTATCTGGAAAGGTGACACACATGATCACAAGATTCACTGGCGTGCCTGGAACAAGATTACCAAATCCCAATTCCATGGTGGATTGGGTCTGAAGACTACCAAGGAATTCAACCAGGCTCTGTTAGCTAAACATGCTTGGAAAATGATGATGGAACCACATTCACTATTAGCTAGATTCTTCACGGTAAAGTATTGCCCCGATGACACTTTCCCTCCCCTGCATACGCCAAAGAAACTTTCTTGGGGCTTTCGAAGCATTCTTTGGGGTGCAGAATTATTACAAGGCAATTTGAGGTGGAAGATTATATCTGGCAAGGATACTCTGCTATCTTCAAATTGGATTCCTGGAATTACTAATTCGATTAGCAATCAATCTGTTTTAACAACAACAAACATCCGAGTCAACAGGTTTATTGCTCCAACAGGTCAATGGCGTGTCAATGCTCTTAGGAATTTTTTCCCAGATCATATCATATTTATCATTAACGGTATTTTTATCGATCCAGCAAGGCATGAAGAACATGATTGTTTAGAATGGATCCATACGAACCATGGCCGGTATACAGTCAAAACTGGTTATCAAGTGGTAATCAATTCCACAATCCCACAGCCTACACCGGATCCTGCCATTTTCCAATCAGAGAAGCTTGCCTGGATGAAGCTATGGAATTCCAAAGTACATCCCAAGCAAAAATTCCTTTTCTGGAGAGCTTATTTAAATGCTCTGGCCACTCGTTCTAAACTTCACAAAAGAGGAGTCCCCATAACAACTAGTTGCCCACGATGCTTTAGAGCAGAAGAAGATAGTACACACTTATTCCTTAAGTGTGAGATGTCACAAGCACTTTCGACACTTGCTTTCCCTTGATTCAGTTCCATCTTCAATTCTTCCTATCACTCCCTGTTCCAACGGTTCACTGCATGGTATCGAACACAGCCATCCAAACAGGATGTTGATCTCCTACTCCTCATTATGTGGCGAATTTGGCTTGACCGCAATGATAAAGTCTGGAGAAACCAAGTTCATGATCTCACCACTTCTTGGAATCTAATTCAATCGGACTTTCGTTCCCTTCTTAAACTCCAACGACGGATCAATCCAACATCTTCCTCTACTAATCATTTGCCTACTCAGGGATCATCATTTTGGATGCCTGATTCTACTTTGATTATTTTTTATGGTTCATTTAGTCATCAAACACGCCAGGCAGCTAGAGCATGGAAAATTATATCCCCAAATGGTATGGTCATGCAAGTCTCAACCACAGGGATTAATGCCCTTACACCGCTCCAAACCGAAGCTACCACATGTCTTCTAGCTTTACAACAAGCGGCAAATCTTGGTCTTACTCGGATTCAGGTTTTCACGGATTGTGAAGTGCTATCGCAAGACTTGCAATCCCTTTCGATGCCATCCGATTCCCGAGAAATCTTTTCACTATTAAATACTTTAATTTCCTCATTTACTTTTTATACAATCACCAAAGTAAGTAGATGGGATGTATGAGATATGCATAATTTAGTTTTCAATCGTATGCAATGTAATAGATTAGTACCTTTAATATAATAAAACAGGTACTATTAACAAAAAAAAAACAAATTAAATTGTCAAAAATCTTGACAAGTTACGTAAAATATGAAATATACATTCAGATTAAGAAAGTATAGCAGATGCCTGTTTTTCTTCAACATTGTACTATATCATAGTACCTAACCCCCAGATACCTAATAACTAATGAAGAATCGAACACCGCAAAATGGAAGAACTTCTTGACTAATCCTTCCAATCTGTTCTCATCTTGCTCAACTGGAGAATGAAGTTAGACCATTAATCAATTAGAATTTGGACATACTCATATAATCAATCGAAGGTGGTAGCACTTACAGCTAAAACTGAATCCTTCACACAAGATATGGGCTCTTTCTACTTGTTCCAGGGTTGTCAACATTTGTATGATCGTTTCATTTGCTTCTGCCTCTAAAATGCTCATACACTTTCAACTGCGGAGGTAGATGGACAAGGTTCTGCAATATTCAATGGAATTTTAAGTAAGAGCTAATAAACATGCCAAACAAGAAGCTGCATAGGCAGAAAACTCCACAAAAGCTCAAAAGTAGCACTACATACCTGAAAAATAATGGCAACCTGTACGAACAAAACTGTTTTCTTCGAAAGACTGAGAACCAAACCAATTGGTTATTCGTCTCATGGGCTCAAACTGTTTTCTTTTGTAATTAGTTTCGAGGATGTATATTATGGAATAATGACTTCCAAACTACCCTGCGACCAAAGGAACAGAGCAATATTTTCACAGGGAACAATAAGCACCAATAAATCAACGATCCACATCCATAATCAAATAGGGAGGGAGTAAGTACCTGCTTAATCTAGTAGTGACCTCTTACTGACGTTCACTTTCATATCATTTCCTGGAATTGCTGCTAAATGTCCTGGGATTCTGTAGCATAAAAGTAACAAATTCCTGATGTATTCATCTAAAGATTCATCAGACTTGCAAAAACTGAGGCAGCTAGCCTTTGATAACCAAGGAAAAATTCCACAGAACAAGGGGACGTGGGAAAACAACCTCGAGAAAATCAGAAGATTAATGTAGCATTTGTTACCAAAACTCCATATCTCAAAAAAGAGGTCAATAGCATGCCAAAAAAGAAAGTGGATATGCAAAACACTCCACAAAAGCTCAAAAGTATCCCTACGTACCATATATCAATCCTATATTCATTACAGGGAGCTCAAGTTTCCATTTGACCGAGCTCAAGTTTCCATTTTAGTTTTAGGCATATCACCACCAACAGTCAAAGGGACAAAGGATATTTGAAATATCCAATAAAACCATAAACATTAGTAGACAAGAAAATTTCTACACTAACACTAACCTTATCTCTATACTCATGGAGGAAACAAAAAGTGAAAGAATGTGCTTAACACATACCTCATTATCAGTGCCACGACCAAGCTGAACAACATACCATTGAAGACCAGCTATTCTAAAAAAAAATAGACAACTTGTGAGTTACTGAAATCATCAAAAAGCTAAATGAAAACAAATTAACATAAACAATTTCTCATGTACATGCGTTGTTGTAACAAACCAAAATCTACAAACCTTACAAAACAGATAGCTTTTTCCAGAGAAGTTAACCACACAGTAAAACCACCAACAATACATTGTAGTTCTAGCATCAGATACAGGCCAGAAAATACGGGAGGGTTTCAACCTCTACAACAAGAAAGAAATTGACAAGATTGTCATCCTAGTGTTATTCTTAGATTACATAGCCATGAACTTAACCTATATACATGCAAAAACTTAGGAAATAAGATCTCATTCTTAACACAACAATGTTGTCTTTAATTAAACCACTCCATTTCAATGGAAATGATAATCATAAAAATGGAATTATATAAGCAAAATCACACCAAAAACATTTGTCTAGTTGACCTCCTAATACTAGTTGAGTGCCTATCAACAAGACCAACAAAGGTTAAAATTTAAAAACCAATCACATTTACGATGTGTTTCCACACATTCAAGTAATTTTGCAATAGTACACTTTTATGTGTCACATTAAATATTGTAATGGGACACTATGAAGTGACTAATTTGTTATGTTTTTATACACTTTCAAGTGTCCCATTAAATAATCTAATAGGACACAAAACTTATGAACACTTTGTAATTGTGTATTATTATGTTAAAGACACTTATTCAAATTTTAATGGGAGACTTTTTTAAAAAATATCCTATTATATGATAATGGGAAAGTGTCCGAAAGAAAGGGTATTAATAGACCCTTTTTGTTGTATTGACTGATTTCATTAATGTTTAGTATTGTGTGAGTTCAGTTATTTTGAGTCCTAGAATTAATTTCTACAGCGAATTCCTCCACCCTTCATCCCTTGGTTAGTACTGCCAAGTTTCATGAATGAATAATATGGAGTCTGTGGTTTGAGGGTGTTTATCTTTCTTGCATGAATGTCCGAAAATAGGACATCCCTATGGCCTATGAAAATTTTTTTTAATTCCTTTGTCCCAAAATTATTGTCCATTTTCAAATTTCACTTTTAGTACAATTTGAACTAGAAATGAAAATCCAAATAATAATTATGGGATGGAGGGAGTATTTAAATTCGATCTGATCAAACCAAAGTGGTTGTGATGGAGTGGAAGGGATTCCTCTACCCTTAACCATAGGTCGAGGGTTCGAACCTCGCTATGGGCATGGAGCAACTTTAAATAATTTGGTCAGCTGTCCCACCCATTGAGATGCCTACAATTCAACGAAGGGAATAGTTACTGTTGCGTGGACACCCTGCAAATATGCGGAAAAAAAAAAAATCGACCTGATCAAACTGAAAATGGTGGTTTAGACTTTAGAAACGAGAAGGAGGCAGTCGGTGGTGGTGATTTGGGACTGGAAACTAGGAAAAGGCAGGGATAATGTAAAAATGATAGTCAAATAAAGGGACAACCGGACAAGTGATTTGTGAACAAGCCGAGCTCGCTAGGGCTATTTGATAACATTGAGTTAATAGATAAAATAATACTCCCTTATCTTAAGATTATTTTTCATTTGTATTTTTAGTTCATTTTGTATTAAAAGAGTGAAAATGAAAATTGTACAATAATTTTGTAACAAAAAAAATACTAATTTGATAGTTAATATAGATAAGCTCATTGAGTATGATTTCAACTCAAAAACTAACCCCTCTCTATCAAATTACTGGTAGAATACAAATATATTAGTCATAAATATCAAACTTTGCCCTTTGACTCTCTCATCGAAATTTTTTTTTATTCTTTTATTTTTTTGTGTGTACTCCAAGAAGAGGAGCTAGCCATTAAGGAGAGGAAGGAGATAGCACCATCATCATCATCACATGTGAAGGGGAAATCATTTGATATACCGCCATGTTTAGTTTAGTCAACCGGAGGAAAATAATTTCTATGAGAAATGTTTTTCGACGCCGTTATCATCACTACCGTCAGCATCATCTTCATCTGTTACTAAAGAACCAGAGGTGGAAAGGGATTTTTCTTTATTGTCTAATATCAAAGGAGGAATTATGTGAGCATGATTACTGGAACCTGCTGCACCAATCTCGGGTTCGCTAGGGTTTTTTTTTTCCCGAAATTTCATCGATCCGTGTGGATGATAAATTTGATTGATTTGTTCTTCAGGGTTACCAGGCGGAGTGGCAGACCATAACCTCCGGAATTTCATCGATCCGTGTGGATGATAAGTTTGATTGATTTCCTTAACGTGTATTGCAAGTCATTGCAAGATTCAACGAAATTCATGATTATTTTCATGATCGTGGATTGAGATTGCGTTATTCTTTTGGCATTTTAATTATGGCAGGTGTTAGTCTGTATAGAAACCCGACTACGAGTTTTGTGGTGATAGAGACCATGTCACTTACATAAATTGTGGTGGTGAACTTAAAAGGCTGTTTCAAACTGAAACTGGAAAGCCCGCAGGAGCTTAATTAATTAGCAGGCTGTCTTGCAAACTTCCTTGCTGCAGATACAGATATACATAAGTACTTGAGTGTTGTAACCGTTAATGCCTAGCTGTTGAGGGTTTCAGTTGGCAGTGAATGCTTATAAGAAGCACGAAATTACTTGGGAGCTGCATCCTGCATGTGTAGGAGAGATGTTGCATGAGCAGACTCCTGCTCTGAATTTTTTCTTTCTTTACTACAATTATAGACATATATCAATGCATCCAACTATACGCTGATTTTACATATTGTTTGTTTCAAAATCATGTTATAAACATGTATTTTATTGTATACTACAGTCCATGCGCAGTTGTAAATCTGCTGATCAAGTGGTTAGGTTTGTTCGGTTGATCTCAAAAATAAAAAAAATCCGTACGTGCATGAGCTTCAAAGTACGTAGTTGATCCTTTCCAGTACTGCTACAAGGCATCAATTCAACCCAAATTGTCTCTTGAATCAATGGAATCTTCAGTGTAAGATTTAAATAAGGATATCAAAGGATGTTTGATGGTGAAAATCTAAGGTGTGGTCTCACGAAAAATCAGCTGTAAAAGAGTCAATGGGCTCGGATATTAGTTAAGGACATTGTCTACTGCAATTACGGTTTAAGCAATTTGTTTCGGTGCAAAGTTGATATAGCTGAGGGAAAAACATACAGGTTTGTTCCGAGTTGCCAAGGAATCTGAGCATGCGCAAGAACTGCCTTAATAAAGCTAACACACTACAGAATGGAAAGAACAATAATCAAAACACAGCAATTGAAAATTGAAATTGCATTAATATAACAATTTGTTTGGGGGATGGGAATTGGGATAAGGTTTATCAAGAGCTCCAAACAACAATTCTAACAAAGGATAATTAACAGAACCCCCAAACCCTACAACAACAACAACTACTCAAATTCCCTCAGATCAAGAAACCCTAAACACAACAACAGATTAATAATTCGGTTAATCACCACCACCGCCCATCATCATGTTTCCACCACCACCACCAGCCATCATCTTTGAAAGATCCATGTCGGGAAACTGCTCCCTCAACTTCTTCATCATCTCCTGCTGCTCCATCTCCTGGCTGGTCGGACGCCCCATCTGTTTCTGGCGCTGGTCAAACATCATCTTCTCCACCGCCGCCCTCGTCTCCAGATCCAGATCCGCCAGCTTCGACGTCTCCGGCTCCACCTTCTTCGTATCGATCTCCGGTCCCCCTTTCACCAGGCTCTTCCACCAGTTCGAGTTCTTCTTCGCCTTCGTCAGCAGGACCGACACGTTCTTCTTGTCTTCCAAACTCCAGAACGAGTCCTCCGGCTTGATGGGCTCCAACAGTTCTCCTTCCAGAACCGGGTCCTGATTTTTCAACCCGATTTTGATGTGGTTCTTCTTAATCTCGCAAACCACAGACCTAGCATTTGTACCCGCTGGAACGGCGACGTTTATCGTCACCTCCTGAAGGGTTTGGCCCCACGTGTAGTTTTCCATGTCCAAGCCGTTCTCCTTGTTCGGGCGTTGGCGTTCCGGCTTCTTCTCCTCTGCCGCAGCCGGCTTGGGTTTCTCCGCCTCTACCGGCGGGGATTGCGGGTTGCCGGATTCCTTGGGCTTTTCAACCGGAACGGATTGCACTTCAACTTCTTCTTCGGAGATGATCACCATGGTTGTTTGTGTTGTTGATTTAGAGAGAGATCGTAACAAAAATTAAAATCACAAGGGTGAATTTGATTTGCTTTTGAGCGCCGCTTTTCTCTATGAATGAAGGAAGAACTTAATAAGATGTGTGTGTTTGAAGAGACGGGTGAGTGGTGGCTTTATATAGTGAGGTCCGTCCATAGGAAAATCCAATTCCCAAGTGGTATTAGGATTTTCTAGAAGTTTCCCCTTTTTCCTCTTTTGTCCTTGAAAACCCGATCCCCGATGGCATTCGTATTTGTGAAAAATCAGAAATAATCTGATTCCCAATGGGAAGTGGGTTGGTATTTACTCCCAACCGTAATTATTATATGGTGATTTTTTTCCATTACAAATAATTAGAGTAGTAGTGTTAGTAATTAAACAAATTAATAAAGACTTTTTTAACACGAAAGGTAAGTTTTATGGATTACAAAAAGCTTTCAGTACGTAATTAATCACCTTTTTGCTTCCCATTCACCATGTCATAAAGAGAGAGAGACAAAATGGTGTTGCACTCCCTTCATTTTAAAATGTAAGTTACCTTAGACGTAAATTACAGAAACAATAATTCAATAATTAATTTATGTGTTAAATATCCATTTTACCCCTAAATGAAAGGGTGAATGAGTAAATACATCCCAAGGTTTACACCAGTTTGCCAATTCTTTCCAACATTTTAAAATTCATCAATTACATCCTTAGGTTATCAAAATTGGACAAATTCATCACATGACCTGCAAAATATAAAAAATGACCTGATACAACAGATAAAATTGGGTCACATATTTATTTATTCTTTTATCATTTTCTATATTTTTTCATTTTTAGTTCATTAACAAACAAATTTTTTAAATAAAAGAACCTTGAAAAACTTAATTAATTAATAAAAAAGAATTTATTCTTCACACATGAAATAACTTACAATTTAGAACAAACTCAAAATTAATTAATTTTTAAGTACAAAGATATCTATGTGAAATCTTAATCATTCTATTTTTTTCACTCGAAATAAAATAATTCTTTTTGAGAAACTTTCTTAAATTTTATCATAAAATTAAGATGAATTAGATTAAGAAAATATTAAATTCATTAATAATTAATTAAATTTTTTTAATTTCTCTATTTATTAATATTGTTTGTCTTTCAATAAACTAAAATAAATTTTAAAATTTTTAACCGAAATAAAAACATTGAGTATAGGATCCAAATAATTTTTACCTGTTATACCAGGTCAAATTTAATTGTTTGCAGGTCATGGGATAGATCGGTTCAATTTTGATAACCTTGGGACATAATTAAGCAATTTTAAAATTTTTGGATGAATTCACAAGTAGGGTATAAGCGTTAGGATGCATACACTAATAGATTGACATCATTTATTGAAGGTAAAGTTGGAAAAGTAGCTATTAATTTACCTAGAATTTGTAAAACGAACCACATTTTGAAAAATCTCTCCAAACTTAAAACGACCTACAAATTGAAATGAAAAGAGTAACTACTAATTCGGAGTTTTTTTTTTTCTCCTTTTTGACGCTCCGTTATCTCGCAAAATTCTTCCATTATTATCCCGTGGTAAAAATAACACAAGACTTATAAAATTAACAAATACTCCTCCATTCCAAAATAAGTGTCGTTTTGACAAAATGGAGAAATTTCAAAATAAGTGTCGTTTTCGGATTCCAATTCATTTTTTGTCAAAAATTTCCAAACATACCCTAAAAAAGAATTAATATTATTGGTAGCATTTATTTTAATGGGGTTGGTTGAGGATATTCTAGTAATTTAATTACCTTATTTAATGTTTTCTTAAATTATGTGTAAACTTTAGAATGATATTTATTTTGGAACGGATGGAGTACTATCCAAATAAAGCAGTGTATTTTTAAAAAGGGTGTGTTTTTAATTTGTACTCAAACATTGGATTCACAACACTTTCTCAATTAGTGCTCAAATTTTAGATTAATTATATACGAATGTCTTCCCTGCATACTTTGTCGCTCTTGTTTATATTTTTTGCCACACTTTCCAACACTGGATGGAAGTTTTTTTTTATAAAAAGATATCTACATTAGATTAAGATAATATATTTAAACTATTACATCGTATCTTGTTATAGACTATTATGTAATCATTTCTGAAGGGAAGTGATTTCAGTTATGATCACAAGCTGTAGTAGGATTGGATTGCGTCATAATTCTGATCAAATGGAACATGTTTTGGTGCTTGTAATTGGATTCCATGAATCAGATTTCTTTGTTAGTGCTACTTAGTCGATCGGTCCTTAATGATTTTGTAACAGTTACACTTGGCAGATTGAAGAATCATATGGCTATTTGTTGAAAGTCTGAAATTTATTATGCCAAATTGTCAAATTTGCATGAAATGAACTTGACACGTGCATTTTTACTATTATTTCCTTTTTTGGTACACAATGAAAGAGGCCAAAGCCCCGTGACAATAAAAAAAAGTACTCCCTTCGTCCCATAATTATTGTCCACTTTGCTCAAAAAATTTTGTCCCAAAATTATTGTCCAATTTGACTTTTTATGGATCAAGTTACACATTTTTCCTTAGTAAAAAATATTATCCATAAAATCTTAGTGGTTAAACAATTACATATGTAGGGATATATCCGGTTATTTAAGGTAAAATATAATTAAGTTTGATAAAAATAAAATCTTTCATTTTAGTAAAACTGGACAATAATTATGGAACGGAGGGAGTACATTTTTATTATGATTGCTCAAGTTAGAGAGGTATTGCTATTTTTCGCTGCCCAACAAATTTGAAGTGATTAATTAAAACACTTCTTTTTACACCACAGTGTGTACCTTTTTCTAACTCAACGTTTATCTTCCTTTTCCCAGGATCCTTTTTTATTCACTGAGCTATATATTACTCTCTTCGTCTTGAAACATGTTAGTGGATCAACTACAGTGATAATATATCCATGTGTAATTGGAACATTTCTTCTTATGATTGAAAGAGACATGAATATGGTGGTTGTTTTTTGTCCTAGAATTTCATTTGTGATAGAGCCCTGATAGTAACATATATTTGCTTATGATTTTAGTTCATGTTGCTTAATCTATGATGTAATAATTTGCATGTACTCAAGCACTTTAATTTGTTTGTATATCATCTCCTTTTTGAGAAACGAGATATAGAATTTCACTTGTGAGGAACGCAATTTTCAGGGTATTGATTGAGATTTCATAAGATCTTAGAATGTTCTTTATTTTTAAGAAAGAAAGAAGAAAAAAGAAAACTAGAATGTTATACACCACGAATGATATGGATGGTAACCGATCACAATTCGAAAAAACTCGAGAAAAATAAGGACGCAACTCGAGTGATATTTATATATAGAGCAGCCCAATTTTATGTACAAATATTTTATGCCCCATAGTGTAATTAACAATATTGCACCACCTCACTAGTAGTTTCATATCAAAGTGTTATTTGTTGTGCTATAAAAATAAAACTTATGAACCGGCGAAGATTTAATCGAAATTTGCACAAACACGCCGGATGGTTCCCTGAGACCCTGTCTTGACGCCGATCCGGCCCAACTTCACCATTGCATTAGCAAAATCATCCTCAAATGACGGCCCAAACATGGGAGCAAACAAACTAAAATAAGAATCCACCACCGCCCGTGTGGAAGCATCTTGATACAGCTGGGCGTCCGACCGGAGAACCGCCGCGCCGCTTCGGATGTTGTCGAGGATGTGGTTGTCGAAGGTGTCCTCGCTGCCGCGGTCCATCGGCAACCGGGTATCTACGTCGCCGCCGTTGGGACACGTTTTGGTCAGCTCCGGTAGAATCTGAGGGTTTATGGAAGGGTCAGAGCCTCCGTTTGGCGTGAACTTGTACAGCCTGTTTGTCATGAAGAAACACGCCGCGGTTCCAATTGTATGTGCAGCTGAAAATCAAACACAGTATTTTATTTTTTTTATTCAATTTTCTTGATCAAACAATCAATAATCATCAATAGAACGAGAAAATAAAAAGGACCCATATTCATATTTTTAATAGTAACTAAAATATTGCTGTAAAGGCGCACAAAATGCAGTACTACAACTACAACATAATGTGAAGTTGATCGTTGACAATTGAATCTCATTTAATCATGGATTGTAGTAATTGTATCCTTCATAAATGTTCTTTGGTGGATGGTCCACAAAATGAGTGAACACAGGCATGGGTAATAAATTAAAATCAGACGACTTTCGGTAAGATACATTTATAGCACCCCGAAACAACCTTCTCATTATCTGAGTCAAAATCTTAACTGGAAAAAAAAAAAAAAAACCCTACTGTGATACTTTATGATCCTGACAATCAGTCTAGAAAGGTTGGATGGAGTATACAGATATACACAACCAGAACTGGAAGAAGAAACAAATTAAAAGACACCACAAAAACACGGTCACAAAACACACATACACGATTGCATTTTTCTGGAAAATAGTCCGGAATCCAATTTTTAAACACAAGAAGATTAGTGAACCAGCAAAGAGGAAAAAGGTGGAAAACCAAATTGAAATGAAATTCTAGTGCCCATAGAGAAACCTTTGCAAGAATAGTACTAGTCGTCACACCTGGTGATGCCTACCAACTTAAAACTAACACCGGTTCCGCATGTTGTCTTTGGCCCTCGTGGGCAGAAACAGAGAGAGCGTGTGTGTGTGTGAGAGAGAGAGGAAATTAAAGGTTACCGCTGAGAACGACGAGGTCTTTGTCCGTGAGGCCTTTCTTCCGGAATTTGGTCTTGAGTACATCAATTGAATCATCAACATCCGGCATATCATCCGCCAGTGACACCTCCGAAACTAGCCCATCTCTTCTTCCCGTTTCAACTTCATAAGAAGGTCCATTGCTCTGTTGGTACCCCGCCATGATTTCATTAATTAGTCACATTGAAACCAAAAGAAAACGCATTCAGAAAATAAAAATCGAGGTTTCTAATTACCAGAACAATAGCGTCTCTAGCAGCCAGAGCTACAATATCAGCGCAAGAAACAACCCTTGGACAAGCGGCTTCCAGCTCTGCTTTTGCTTTCTCTATCACTTCAAAACCTCCAACACCCTGATGCCCAAATGCTCCTTTCTCAGGATTGGAGCCATTGTCAATTAGGATTGATCCCTCGCAGCCCTGCAGGTATTCTCAATTGAATTAATATTGTCTTCTTTTTGTTAGCATGATTTGATAAATAGTTCTAAAGAGGATGCAGAGGGGAATTCAAATTCAATATCTGACCTCAACAAAACAATCATGGAAATGCATCCTGAGCAACCTCGCAGCTTGATTCTTGTCGGCGGAAATGGCATCACGAACAACTTGTCTCACAATATTCTCAGCATCCGGGCAAGAATCGACATAGAACCCAGTTCTAAGTTGGGCTTGCGAGACCCCCACCATACAGAAAAAGATGAGGATGAAAAGATTCGGAACAAGTAGTACCATTTGCTTTATTAATGCTGTGTTAGTATCTAAAATGCCAGTCCTACACCAGCTGTGTATAACTATGATGTGTTCTGAAGCTCTACTGTTTTCCCCTGTATTAATTCTTCACAGAAGAATTATGTGATTGAACAAAAGCTTCGTGATGTTATTATATATATAGCAGTAGTAGTAATTGGAGTTCAGTTTGACTGTTGAATACTACAACTCATAGAGCTGATTAAGACAGACCACCATCATATAAAGCTGTTTATTAAATGTCATAATCATACGTACCGTTAGTAGTAGTCGGGTGAGATAACTGGTTAAAGGATTTAAGATTGCTCTAAATACGTAGCAGGACTGAAATACCAAACAATCGAGGATGAATGAGAAGTTTTTACCACTAAAATATGATTAATTCAGTTTGTCAATATTTTCGACGGTAGATACCATGCGATATAAGTTAATTATTTTAAAAATTATTTTTCCTCAATCCATTTTGGGGTAGATTGTACTTTGTAGCAAACCTCTAAAATGAGCAAAGCCACTGGGCAGCAATTAAGAGGGGGGAACTATGCAATGTGTCAAGTATCTTTTGTTGAGTCATTCATGCATGTTTTGTTTTGGTTCACTAGCTCATTTGTTTTTCTTTTTTTTTTTCTTTTTTTTTTCTGTTTTTACTTTGCAAGATTGTATTGATTACAGAATTAAATGCAGATAAGATCATGAGAGTTGCATAGCTTTTCGGGTCATTTCATTCACAAGTCTTAGCAGTACATCGGGTTAATCAAAACCAGAATCTCTGTCCATTTGTTTGGAAGAAATGCAAAATACTCGTGTATTTCTGCAACTAGCACATGTTCGTCTCAAGTCTCAGCTGTCAAAGTTTTCATTCATATACATGCACTAAATTTTGGGGAAAATATAATTGATTCCGGGGTAGTTTGTTAATTTTTTTTTTTAATTTCCAAAATAACTTTGTAACTTGTCACTTCTTTAAGATTATGAAGTCCTAAAAATCATATTGATGAACAAAATAAAATGTTGGGGTCTATCTCGGTCGTAGTCAACTTTCGCACTTGTATTTTTCTCCGGGTAAAATGAATGGAGTCATAAATATCATATTGATAAATAGAATAAAATGTCGTGGTCTATCCCGGTCTAGTCCACTTTCGTACTCGTGTTTTCTCCCGGTAAGAATATATTATTTCCTCTGTATCAAAATTATTGTCCAGTTTGAGATTTCATTTTTAATACAAATTGAACTAAAAATGAAAGTCCAAACTGGACAATAATTGTGAGACGGAGGGAGTATTTGATTTCCATAAAAAAAAAAAGAAAAAAGATACACTAATACAAATGGTTGGTGTCGCCCAAACAGAGAAACTCTAGTTGTCTTAGTAATGTGAGTTATACACCCAATTCCAATTTTCATGGTAAAATATGTGATAGAAAAACACTAATACCATTCCAATAATAATTGGTTACCAGTTAAAAGAGCTGGTAAAATTATCTTTGTCGGGAAATACAGAAAAGTGAACAACCTAATCAGTTGTTACATATTCCTTATGTCCTAAAAAAAAATATGCATTATACTTTGTGATTTGAATTTTAATATAACTCACAAATTAGAATAAAATACTTTTTTTTTTTTAGGACGGAAGGAGTATTTATTTCTGAAAAAACTTTCAATTTCCGTCAAAAGAAATTATAGTCAGAAAACTGCAAGTGGAAAGTATTAGTCATGGCCTGAAGCTGGAAACGGATATAAGCAGATGGAACTGGGAGAACAGCACTTAGTTAAAAAAATGCCTTCAATAATTACTGCATTATAAGAAATTGACAATGATCGAAGAGCTGAAGTCAGTAGCATGGGTCTCCAAGATAAGAAAGAAACAAAATGTCTCCTTTGAAATCCTTATTTTCCCCTTCCAAATTATATAAACAAAATGGTCCTAATGTCACTCATATAGAATATATAGACCCCATTTATTAATTAATTTGGAATGATTATTGCTACATACCAAATTATATGCACTGTGGTGTGGTCTTTGTCTTTCATACAAATATACAATAATGAACTTATAAATTTTGTGGTACAGAAACCATGCATGAACTAATTTTAAGCGGAACATATCACACTTAAACAATCTTCCATTCGAGTTAGATTGGTCCGTTGTATTAAACACACATCTAACCACCATGTATGGCCTGCAAAGGGTAAATGTATTGAAGTTTCTTGATACCATGTACTAGTTCTCTTGCTTGGAGTCGCTGTCCGGGAGAAGTTTGTGTTAGCTGGCTCTGTTTCTAATATAAGGTCCAACAAATTGACGAGTTAGAACGAAATGTAACAAAGATGTTCATGGTTCATATATGAGAATGAATGGACTTCTCATCTCATTTTTTATCTTACATTATTATCTTCATCATTTTGTATCCACGCCAATAATGTTTCATTATTGTTTGTGGTCCAATAGTTTAATTGGAATTTTAATTTGATCGAAAGAAAAAAAAAAAAAAAAACACTAAGGGTTTTGTTTAGACAACATTTTATTTTCATTCTTGATTTGAATTTGGAAAGAGATTTAAAATGTGATTTAAGTGAAAATTTAAAAAGTTATTTGGATTATATATTAATTTAAATAATATCTTTTATCTCCTCCACATCGTTGGCCGCCACCCACCACTGCCGACCGATGCCGGACCGATGACCGATCGGTCAGATTCCGGCCAAACTTTTTAAACTTTCATTAAAAATACTCTATATTTATGTATTAGAGGACAAACAAGAGTCCGACCACGACCAGTGTCTGTTTAGAATATCTTATGATAGACTACTATATTTTGTAAAGGGAAAAAAAAAAAAATTGAAAGATCAAAGATATGAATACAAACTTGAAACTAATAATGTTGTGGAAAATAGGGTTGTTCTTTTACATAAACTCGATCCGAACTGAACCTGAGCCGAACCATTACTTTGGATCGGTTCAAAACTAGCACAACTTTCTTTTGGATCACTATGGTTCGGTTCGGATTAAATTTCGGGTCTGATCGAATTGAACCGAAAAGAACTATTTTGTATCCGATGGTGTTATCAAAATATTATGATGACATCATTTTACCGGCGTCGGCCATCAGTCGCCGGAAAAATCGATTTTCCGACAATTTCGCCGAAATTTTTGGCCAAAAAAATCAATTTGCAGGCGACGTCGCCGGAATTTTCGGGCGGAAGTTGTTTCCGGCGGCGGTCGGTGGCAGTCAACGTCAGAAACTATTGAAATTTATTATTATTATTTTTGGTTTAAATTAATTCGGTTCAATTTGAATATTTACTTAATCCGAACCGATCCGAACCATTTCACTCTTTTAAATAATTGATCCGATCCAAACTGAACCGAAACTAAATTTTCGGATCGGTTCGGTTCAAATCATCGGTTCGACCCGAACTGTGGGTCAAAATGACCAGCCGTAGTGGAAAATTTTGTTGTAACTAAGGCTACGCTACTCTACCATTCTTTGTAGGATCCATAGTTTTGGAATTTTGGTCACTAGCTAATTTCCTAGGGTAAATGCTAAATGAATTGTTGAAACCTAACACTTTCGGGAGTTTCAACTCAATCATTTGGCTCATGGATGCTGCTTGAGTTAGCCAAGATCTTGCCACGGACAAAGGAACCGAAAAGCTCCAAGGCCCTAGCTGGCTGTGAATATGGTACCATATGTCCAGCTCCTCTTACTGTCGCAAATGTCAAATAATCTCCATATTTTATTTGCCATCCTCCAACCTATAACCAGATTCATCAAAATTATTCGTTAGAAAACAGTATTTTGTTGTAAGATTAATTTGTACATAACCATAATGAATAGAAATGGTAATGATACTTGATCTTTGTGAAACCAGGTTCGATAATCAACTGCGATTTTCAGATTGAGATCTTTAGCTAATTCCCGCATCAGTGTCCTTGTTCCAATCAATGGCACCACTGAATCTTGATCTCCACTGCATTTTTCAGTAACCAGAAAAATCATGATGTCACCATTTCTAAAAAGAGAGAAAAAAAAATGGTTCTGATGAGGCATTGTTGATTGATGTACCTGTAAACCAAGAGGGGTATCTTGTGTTCAATTATACTCTTGAGTAATGGAATCATATCTCTGTTAGCATCAGTGGAATTGTAGTCCAATACCCCATTACTGGCAAATCACCCAAGAAACAAAAACACATTAGTCTCCTGCCAGCTAAACAAATGAAACCGAGGTATACTTTTCCGTCTCATTTTAATAGTCTAATTTCGATGGCTAAACTTTTAAAATGGGATTGGAGAGAATAGTAAGTGCTCTTACGAGCTGCACATGGACCAAGGGTAAGGGATGTTAGTCCTGTTAGCATGAAGAGCCTTCTGAACTTCGGGAAGCTGGAAATAGAATTTCCTTTCTATAGTCATGCATACATCCACTCCCACACTTTTCTTAGTCACCTGTCCAATGCCAAAACCGATTTTTTCAGAAAAAAATGAAATCAATGCCATCCAAATATGATCAAATTAAGATGGTGGATATGGAAAAACATTAACATAAAACTTACGAGTTTTCGCAATCTAAGTTCTTGCGCGGCAATATTGTCGTAGCAAACATCAATGAACACGTCGTAAGGATCAACATAGTCGCTGATCACTTGGTAGGCTTTGTTCATAACCTCGTTACATTGGCTAGTTTGATTATGATCACCTGTGAAGGTATAATCGTTAAAGTCGCAATCCCGGCTCACTTGATCCCAAAGTTCATCGGACATCATCCCGTGTGACCAGTAATATTCAAAAACTGAAAGCGAATCCTTATCAAGCCTCAGCAGTGGGTTCCCAATCTGTTGAATTGTAGAAGATTAATCTTATAATCTCAAGGATCAAAATAGTGTAAAATATTAAGCTTATTACGCTGAGATGGTTATGGTGTTCTTACCGCCACTCCTTTGATGTTGAACTTAAACCCGTTAGATTTCTCATTATACTCCAGCAGATGATTTGTTAACTGTGGAATATAATGTCCTGCCAGGAAGTAGGTTAGTTTAGATAGTTGGAATTTATTTATAGTCCAATTTCTGGATGCATTAATATTCATTTTATGATGGTTGAAGCCTAAATTAGATTATTATATACCTACTACTGGTTTGTTAATTTTTATTTCTCCCCTCGTCCCAAAATGATTGTCCCAAAAAAGCAGGGCAAATACATGTAAAACAGAGGATTTCTTCTAATACAGAGGAAAATGTGAGGCTAAAATTTTACTATGAAACACAAAGAAATGAAAATGTCAATGTGAGGCTCCTGATACACACAAACCTGCGTAGCTTTCACCAGTGAGAAACAAGGGGCGAGATTTGTAAAGAGGGAACTTTTCAAACCATCCCAGCAAAAATTTAACAGTATCTTCAGCTGCAAAACAAAATGGTTAAAAACACATAGAAGCTAATTCTCATGGCATAATCAGACTCACAAAATACTACATAGTCGGCTGATAATAATAATAGTGTACCAGTATCATCATCTCCACGTTGGTAATCAGATGATGTATTTGAGTATGACCACCCAACTCCGACCGGAGATTCCACAAACAGGAGATTCGAAACTGAAAAATTTGAGTTCAAAATTAGTGACTAAGTTGGCACACTAAATTGGATTCATAAGTACAACTTTTGAATACTACCTCTGTTCCAGGACTTCTTGTTCCTGCGAAGACCTCGACCATCGCCCGTGGGAAAGAAGGGGCCTAACTCCGTAAAAGCTCCTCCACCAACAGAAGAACATCCCGGACCTGAAATTTAGACAGCTTCTCTAATCATTTTCTTATGATCACGAAGAAAGAAGTATTGAATATAATATATAATAATTAGCCCACAAACCAAAAAAGATGTATAACCTCCATTTAACCAGAGAGTAAGGGGCTTATGATTAGCATGCTTCTCTGCTTCAGCAAAATAGTAGAACAAACTCCTGCCAGCCTGCTTGTCTACATCAACGTAACCAGCATATTGCTTGAAAGGAACAAAAGGTTGACCCGGCAACTTTTCGACCAGGTCTTCAGCGCATCCATGGACTAAAACAGCACCGAGAATCAGCAACCAAAAACTGAGTCCAAGAAGAAAGATGATCACTTTTCCACAGTGATTTGTTCCAGCCATGTTTCAATCCAATTTGTATGGAAGCAGGCAAGCAGCCAGAGGAGCTGAAATACAAATAGTGACTGTGAAGAAATTCTGAGGCTATATAAATAAGATGAGGGAAGAAAGATAAGTATGGAGTGTCCATGCACAAGAAGAATAGTAAGGGGATGAAGAAACTGTATTCTCTTTTGATAACAAATGCAATTTATTCGGGATTCTAATTTTGCACTTGTACTGGTATACGGGTAGGATTCTACAGAATCTAATCATATTCAGGGTCAAATGAACGATCATCCCTTCCTAAATTGTCGCTGTTATTTTCCCATCTGTTCTTTTCCATTTCCTGCAACTCTTCTCTACCCAAAAAGTCTTTTCTTTAACAACCCTGTAAATAGTTTGACCGGCTTAAGCCCCCAAAATTGAAGATTTGAAGATTGTGGAATTTGTTTGCCACGCCAGATGAGCATACAAAAGTGGCCCGGAAGTGTATCGTTTTAATACCCAAAAAAATACAGGATAGCAACTTTTCATATCATCAGTTTTGACAGAGTCGACCATATTTCAGTATCTAAGGACTAAGGGTTTAAAATTTTGATAACAACAACGCAGGGCAAGCAATGCTTAGTTCTAAGCCCAGACTAATGAACCTCTAGCTAGACAAATTAGTACAGTGATTCCCGTTGACTCAAAATTAAAAAAAAAAAAGCTAAAGGTGTAAATAAACTCGATGATGCCCGCCAACATGATTTATATATCTCCACTCAAATTAGCTGCAGAATCTCAAGCCTATACATACTTGCCTCTGTATTTCAGTTTACTGGATTTTGTATCACCTGAATCGTTACTATGAGTGTCAATGGGACTAAAAACAGCTGAACGCAGATTTCCATCTTCCAACCACTTGAGATGGTTTACCCTGAACTCCAAATGTTTAATCCTAGCTGCCTCTGCAATCTCTTCTGTGTATGGCGCGATCTTCACCATGGTCAGTAATACACGACTGTACCTGAAGCTAAGGATCTGTTCACAGGTTGCAACCAATTTGAAACACGGATGCTCAGGAAAATTGATATCAGTGGATTCTTCGTCTCTCAGTACAGGATAGAAATACACAAGCCTTCCTCCAGTAACAAGCATCTTAGCGGCAAGATCAAGCAAATCATGCACACACTCCACTAAGCTGTATGGTGCAGTTGATGGTATGTGGTCTGTCCTTTTGTCATCTGGGACTGCATAAGGACCAACAACTCCTTTTAAAAGTTTACGACCACCAGATTTACGCCCTCCAGCACGGACCCCATAAGGAGGGTCACATATTATGGCATCAAAGATCTGAACAAACCACATTGCAAAACCTTAAACAATGAGAATAAGGATTGAACTTTTAAATAGCAACTTCAGTAAACAATGGAGCTACCTCTTTTAATCCAGGACGCCATGGAGGAAGATTGTTGTCAGCCCTTAACAGAGAAATTGGCATTGGTAATCCATACTGCAAGATAATAACCACAAGAATGAGTATGGTATCAGGAAAAAAGAAAGACATTTGATGCCAAAAGTTGAATTCTGAAGCCTTGCCTGTTTAAAATTGCTCCAGACATTGCAATCAGGACCACGGCCATCACGCACTACACGTATATCAATATCTGCACCCTGAAAATTTCACATTAGCATACTAAGCAAAAACAACAAAGGTATCATTTGGAACCAAACTTAGGTTACCAACCACATGGATCAGAGAAATTAAATCCCAGAAAGAGAACATCAACAGAAGAAGAAAGTAACAAACCATTGTCATTGCACCAAAATGAGCAGCTGCAACCAGTATGCTTCCGGTGCCAACAAATGGGTCATACACAAGTTTACCAGGTTTAACCTGAGCTTGATTGGCCATCAGGAAAGCCATTTCTGCGTCCATGGCTGTGGGACCTAGATATGTACGGCTTTTTAATTGGTAGGTAGGCAAAAGCTTCCTATCAGCAGCCCCAATCTCCCGACCAAAAAATATTCGTCTTTGAACAATGGGGGGAAGCCCATTGTTAGATTCATAATTATCAGTTTCCATGAGCCAGAATTTGTGATCAGGTTCTCGTAAATTGACTCGACCCTGGAGGATCAGAGATTATTTAGCATTCGAACAGGAGATCAAGAACAAATGAAGATGTGCATCTTAAAGGAAACACATTTCACATGCAGTCGGTTTTAGCGGAAGTTACTAAGGATATGAAATGCCAATTCCACTAGATCAATGCACTAGACTTCCATAGATGGAAAAATTTGATATCATATGACAAATAACTACGAAACCAAAGACAAATGCCCTAGTATGGTAGATCTTACTCTAAGATGGAATTCTATGAAGGCCACAATAGATGCCTCAAATGAAGCAAAAGAAAATAGAGCTAACTATACTAAATATGACTTATACGTTACAGAGGGGTATAAACTAATACTTGATCAACAGCCTCCGACTCTTGAGGAAATCAAACAGGGAACATAGCCTATACAACAGGCCCATATATAAGGTTTTTATAGGGAGTCATACTGATCTGGGAGCAAACATGGTGTACGAGTTCTTCCTTCTTGGTTTAAACAATGATTACTGGAAAGAGCAATTTAAAACATACAACATTGCAATAAATTGTAATGTGATGATATTAGTCAAAACCATCACAATGGTATCCTCCAGATATCAAGTGATGGTACCTCACAAAATATGTTTATTACCTAACAAAAATTACAGATTATCACCTGAAAGATATGCTTATCTGAAACCATGAAAATGCAAACCAAATACATATAGCAATCGGAAAAAGGGGGGGAACAACTCGATATTTACAAAGACAGGAAAAACCACATCGATAAAACAACAGGAAAAGGGAAATCAAACCTGAAAGGGAATGTAAGAGAGCTGTTGAATACGCTCCTTTTGTTTTTCAAAGCTAATAACTTTCCCAAAACTGTCTACTGTAATTCGAAACGTACTTTCAGGTGTAAGGTAAGGCAACTTTCTTTCATCAGGATAGCTTCTAATAGCCTCTTCCAGCTCCTCAAAGCTACCTCCTTCTCCCCAGAGTTCATAAATCCCTTTTACAAGAATGCCTGAGCAACAAAGATATGATAATTAATGAAACATCAAGACAACCACAACTGAAAAAAGGGCCACGGCCATTAGTAAGAAGTTCATACACCTCTAACGAGAAAGACAAAAAGTTACATAACTTCCTTAAAAAATAACTACTAAAATGAGCGAACGAAGAAAAACCCAGGAATTAAACAAAGAAAATTAGAAGAAATTGAATCAATGTTACAGTTATATTTGAGATGATAAACAGAGACAAATGCTTACTTCGATTGGCTACATTGCGAGCAATTTCTTCAGAGGGAAGATTAACAAAATGGAAAGGAGAATCAGGGTGGTGATTCTCCGGAAGCCTCCATTCAAGTGATTTGTTTTCCGGGTCTTCTTTAAAGGCACCAAAGAGTTCAGCCAGAGATTCAACCTCAGGTTTCCTGTAGTCCAGCAATCTATGGTAGAAAACGCACAAATACCACATTATATCTTCCTTTTTCTTTCTCTAAATTCCAGCTTAGCCTTAGAGAATATTTAAAGAAAGAAACGAAAATGAGCCCTTTCCTAGGTCGGAGAGATATTAGAAGGTGGTCGCCGGAGAAGAGTTTCACGGCGGAAGGCTGAAGAAATTTTTAGTTACCAAACCGGTGGAAATTCCAAAACCCCCCGAGGCTAAACCCTACTAATTTACGGAATAATAAAGAAAAAAATATTAAATTAGAAAACGACTTAAAACGGGCCCATGAACTTTATGTATTAACGGCTGTGATCAAGCGGTTATCATCATCCACCGTCCATTGGATAAAAGGCTGGGTCAAGACTCTATTGAGATATTTAAACGCGAATCTTTACAGATAGAGAAGGATAAATAGAAAATTTCCAGGGTTTGGTGCCGCTAGACTGCTGAGCTTGAAAACCTTAGCAAAGTCCGAGGAAATTGACCGAATAGCTTGTCGACGTCGTCGTCTTCTTCTTCTTCTTCTTCACTGTAAGTAACTCTGGTTTTTGTTGATTTACATTGAATTGGTTGTTGTGTTGTTTGTTTGATTGATTTCGTTGCTGGAATTATGTAAACAAGAGTATGTTGAGTTACAAGTTTGATGGGAAGTAATTCCAGATCTGTTTTCGGTTTTAGGATTTTGAATTCTGACAATTTACTTTGCTTGAATAAAGTGTTTAGCTTCTTAGATGTAACCGTTCGGACTTCGAATTTGGTTTTGGCTTTGCTTTGCTATCTGGGGTGGACTTAAAAATTTGGGAAAAAGCATACGTTATTACTGCTGGAAGATTTTTTAGGTTAGTATCTATCTGATTATGTTTCTTTGTTTATCTGCTTGTGTATTGGCTTAGAACATAATTACTTGAGGCCATGACAATGATCCTCTGTTTCTGATTGAATCTGTATTAATTTATCCTGCTCTGGCAGAATTAATTCGTAGTGCTCAAATATGTTATTGTAATCTGGGTTCTAAAAATTCCACCCTTTTCTTCTAGCTAGAGGATTTGTTTTCCTTGATTATATCCCCCTCTTCCCTGCGCAGAGAAGCACTTGAATCATGTCTGACGAGGTTGAGTACCGCTGCTTCATTGGAAATCTTTCCTGGTCGACTTCTGACCGAGGTCTAAAAGAGGCATTTGAGAAGTTTGGCCATCTTGTTGATGCAAAGGTAATGTTTTTTCTATCAACTTGTTCTTTAAACTACCAATTGACATGACTTTCCCCTTGTTCGATGTGGTTTTCAACATTGCTGGATACCCTAAATAACCTAAAGGGGGGAAACATCATAAGAGCCCTTTTTGTAGGCAGAGGTTGATTCAACTGAGACTATGTGTTATTCTGATACACGACTTCCTGATGAGACTATTTGAATCTGTTGAATGTGGTAGTCTGAGGTTGATGTAACTGGCGCTAGGCCTACTTATTTTTGCTTATGGTGTTTATTACATGATTGTTGAACATGTGAGTTTGAGTTTTGAGAATTGTGAGGTGAAATCTCAGTAATCTTTGTCTTACATAAAGTTTTATGTTTTTGAAGGTTGTTGTGGATAAGTTTTCTGGACGTTCCCGTGGGTTCGGATTTGTAACATTTGATGAAAAGGCAGCAATGGAAGATGCCATTGAGGCAATGAATGGGATGGATTTGGATGGCCGATCCATCACTGTTGACAAAGCGCAACCTAACCAAGGTGGAGACCGTGACAGTGATCGGCCGCGTGATCGTGATCGTGGCCGTGATAGAGATCGTCGTGATTATGGTGGTGGTGGCGGTGGTGGTCGTGGATCTGGTGGTGGAGGGGGAGAATGCTTCAAGTGTGGTAAACCGGGGCATTTTGCTAGGGAATGTCCTGAAGATGGTGGTAGGGGTGGTAGTAGATATGGTGGTAGGGATGACAGATATGGCGGCAGTGGTGGCGGTGGAGGAGGCGGCGGCAGAGGTGGTGGCCGCTATGGACCTGAAAGGAATGGCGATCGTTTTGGTAGCCGTAGTAGAGATGGCGGTGGTGGGGGAGGTGACCGTTACAGTCGTGATCGTTCTGGGCCCTATGATCGTCGGAGTGGTGGCAGCTTTCGTTAAGTGCACACCTGAACGCCGCGGCTGGGTATCATGGTATTGCTATCAGCCCTAGTTGTCATTTTCATTCCCTCTTTCCATATACGTACTTGACTTTCTAGTTGTGTTTTGTCGCGATTAACTGACAATACCTGCTCATGTTCTTTGCAGCTGAAGAATGGAACTGGTGCTACTTCTTGGAAGCAAATGGCTTGAAGTTCTTTTGCAAAGGATATTTTCTTCTAAGTGTGCTGGCAAAGTGGATCGACCTTTAGAATTCATGAACTTGGCTCTAATAATCTACTGTTTTGTGTCCTTGAATGTTCGACTTTGGTTCGAAGGGTTTTCTATCAGTTTTATTATTGCTGCTGGTTGTCTGCTTTGTTGCATTGGCCATTCACTATCCTTATTTGCTACGGGGTTCATAATGATGTTTTACACGGGCAATAGCACGTTGCAAGTATTGCATTGTATGTGTGGTTTGACGACTTGTGGTGTGAGGCCTTAAATTCGGTGTTAGGGAAACTTGGGCCAGACCTTCAGGGTTTCCTGTTTCTTGAGGTGTAGATGCTCCGTGAGAAGCTGTTTGTTCTATGTTCTGGGTTAGAAAGATTTTAACAAAAAAGGAAGTTACTCGGGTAATGTCTGTTTTTCTTCAAATATGTTGTCAAGCTTGCATGACACTGAAACTCTCTGCTCTTTCAGTCTTTTGGTTATTAATATCTTTAACCCTTTTGGCAGGCTACTTGGCTGATATTGGCTCTCTTTGCTAATTGGATAGTTTTTTAGTTAATAAAATTGAGAAAGCTTTTTGGATGCTACAACTTCTGGAAATCACCTTGTTAGTTATACTTAGCATCTGGGAGAATTGGTGAAGGGAGAGTCATGTCCAATTTAAACTTGCCGAGTTCAGCAACTTGTGTCCTCTATTTTGTTGTGGTCCTTCCTGTCTTTGATTCGGTCCGATCTCTTTGGGACAACATCCTTCTGATCATCTCTTTGGAACAAGATCCTTCTGATCAGTTCTTGAACCGTCCTGGTTATAGTTGCTGAGATCCAAACTAGTGATAAATGTCTGTTCGAAATTGCAGTGTTGCTCCTAGTTCAGCTCATGCTCTTCCAGATACCACTCGAGGATGGATCCATGTTTCTAAAATTTCTTCAAGTTAGTGTGCTCACTTCTTGGCCAGAAATGAGGATTTGGGTTCTTGGGATATTTGCCTGTTCAAACTTTTTGTTTGTTTGTTTTTTTTAAAAAAAAAAAACTTGCATGTTATTTTATGTTTTTCACAGATTATGTCCCTAGTTTTTATTTTGTTTTCCTGTTGTCTTGTGAAGTGATTTCTTCTCCCTACAAGGAAGCGGAAGGATGCATTCGTTTTTCTGTGATTTTGTTCTGGTATTTCTTTTCCTTTTTCTTTGTTTTTTGGTTTAAGTTTGTGGTTATTGTCTGAGATTTTGTTCTGACAATGTTCTTGGTTCAGTCTCGTTGTCTTGATGGCTGTTTTCCCTTTCTTGCATATTATTATCCCGTTTCAGTCTCGTGATACCAACCTGCTTTTGCCAAATTGTTAGTTTTAGGAATACAAATATATTCAAAACTAGAATGATCTACTAACCCCAAGAAAAAGAAAAAAAAAAATTACCACCAAAAAATTATTGTTTGTTTTGAATTTTTATTTTTAGTTCGAATGGTATGAAACATGAAATCTCAAATTAGATAATAATTTTGGCACATCAATACAAACTTTCCCAAGCAGAATTAGCCTTTTGTAAATCAGCTGCTGGACTCTGTTGAACTGAATGAAATGTATTAATTATGCTACACGGATCAACCCCTAGTTCTGGACGACTGACCAACCCAAATATGATGCGCGGATGGAGGTAACTCATTCCATTTAATTTACCCAAATCAGATGTGCGGACGAGGGAACCCATTCCATTAAATTTCGGAGAGCCATTTTGTGATAGTCACAGTGATTTTTGAGGTTTGCAACAATTCTACAAATATACTGTTAACTCATTGTTAGCAGAGACTGAGATTTATGTTCTGTATATTGCAAAATGATCATTTTTTTGTTGCGAATGAAAAAGAATAAAAATTAGATAATTATTTTGCGAGAAAGAGCAAAAAGAGAAAAACAAATAAAAAGAAAAAGCTTAATTTGAGCAAAGTATCACACGTTAACATTTAAAAGGTGATGCAATATTTGGCCTCTCCATAAGAAAGATAAAAACGAACTCAAAGTCTCTTTGTTCTTAGTTTAAGCCTCTCCAAATAGTAGCTGATCCTTTTTTTCTGATTTGTTTTTCCAAGTATTCTTCGTATCTGATTTATAAGACACGAATTAAAATTAAATCTAGTTTAAATTGGTGCAGAATGGACGGAATCCGGATTGAGAAAGTGAAAGAATCAACCAAATCCACCAAAAAAATCGAAAGATGATCACTAGACCTTCCTAGTTTTTGTAGTTGAAAACTTGGTGCCATCTTTTGTAACTATATATACTTTCATTGTGATATTAGTAAAATTTTTCAGTTTAACAGCATCGCTTTCTGTCTTTTATCTTCGGTTTTATGCTTTTGTTGATTCCTAGGACCGTTCACACGTTATTTCACTTCTACAATAGGGATGAAGTTATGTTTCGGAGGTTGTTCCATCTCACACCCTCCTCCATCTAAAAATAAATAAAAAAATTAAAAAAAAAATGTCACTTATGTTGTAATATTTTAATTCAACAGACACGTTTCTAAGTTATTAGAAAGAGGGGAAGGATACTATCAACATGGACTCCCCAACAAACAAGAGAAACGAAAACCTTCTTTTGAAGAAGAAAAAGAAGAAGGGACAATGAAAATTTAGATAATGCAAACATTAGGTTATCTATCATGCAAACTTATGAAAGACTTAAAACTTCGTCCGTGATTTTTCCGTGCAAATTCAGATTTCATTTATTTGTCCAATATTTGACATGAAAAGGAAGAAGACCAGATCAGAAAAATGGGAATCTGAGCCAACACTTATCCAAGTCCACTGGCACTAATGGACTTGGTAAGTCCAAAAGTGATAGCCATAGCCAACCAGCCTCCAACCAACACTCTCCCACAGGATCTTACTATTGAGGTGTTGCCAAGTTTTGCACCAACCCAACCAAATGCGACCAAAGCAAAACTCACAGCAGCGACGGTGGAAATCATCCGGTCCTTATGATTTCCGATAAATGCCGCGGCCAAAAGCGGTACCATAGCTCCCAAAGCAAATGCAAGAGCCGAAGCCATGGCAGCAATAAGTGGATTAGGCAGCTTCTCTTTCTTGCTTCCTCCTTCATCAACATTTCCATTCTCAACATCTCCACTTTGTGTTTTTGCTTCCCTTTTGATCTGGGCTACTTCTATTTCAAGCTGAGAGTAAACAGAAACAAACTCTCCGATTGCCATGCTGGAAGCGCCGGCAACTAGGCCTGCGAAACCAGTCAGGATCATGGCTTTAGCATCGGTTTTAACAGCCCCGATACCCATCATCAATGACGCGATGGATACCAATCCATCGTTGGCTCCTAGCACCGCAGCTCGAAGCCATTGTGACCTTTGTGAATAGTCGAAGTCCTCCTCTTCTTGTGCTTTGTTGATATGGCTTTGAATAGCTGGATTCTTTGCAGTAGAAACCTGCACGGCAGAGTTTGTGTTTTCCATGACAAATTCGTGTTTTAATTAGGTAGAAGAAGAGTCTGAGATGCAATGCAAGATGCTTCCCTGATTCTTAAGGATCCATTTTCCTCGTGCATTTATAGACTGAACAGTGATCCTGTGAAAATACCTAAGCGCAAGGGTTGATTGCGACAGAAAGCATTTTCTGGTTTAAAAATCCATTCTTGCTGTGTGGAAGGCACAAGCCAACAGTGGACGCCTTAAAATAATACGGCATAAAGAATCCTTACCCTGTTATCTGGGGCTCCCAAAGTGGACCAATTTGTCATTTCTGATCAGATTTTACCATACCAGAACAAAAGAAATATCTCCATTAGGAATCAGAACTATATCTTCTCACTGCCTCCGTTTGAATGTTTCAGTTATTAGAAAAAGAAATGATCCCCATGTCATCAATGGTATAATTAAACAAACACAGATTTCATTGTGACTAATGGTCTGAGAATATCAATTCTCAGGAGTTCTATAGTCCAAGCTTATGAAGGTTTGCTTCAGATAAAGAGAACAAAATGAACTAAATCTTTTGAACAGATGGATCCTTTCCTTCCCTCATGATCCTAAACAACAATTTCAAATTTCTGGAAAAATGGAACCTTTTCATGTCTTCTAGAAGCACTGAACAGTAATAAAGTCATAAAGTGCAGTATGTTAACTCATGTTCATGGAGAAAATAAGCATTAACTTTTGATGAGTGGGTCTCTGAGTGGGATAGCATTTATACAGGCAAAATACTTAGGTCAAGAAGAAACAAGATATGCTATGAAATTGAGGAGTGTGCTTCCCACACGGTACATTTTGGAGATTTACCATTATAAAAATCAAGGGGAGTGTGGAATCCACACATAAAGAGCTCCAAATTACTTCAACTGAAGCATAAACAATAGCCGACTTCAATGTTTCTTCTTTTTTTCAGCTTTCTCCACTAACGGCAGAGGACAAGGACAACATAGGGGTTACTCAGTCCTCCTTCGGTTTCTTCTGTAGAAAACCAAAAACTATACTTATCTTTACCCTCCACAATCTGCGCCATTAACCAAGTGGATGTAAGGAAGAGAAAGGACACTTCAAGTTAAGTGCCTTTGAAAACCTAACTTTGCAGCAGCAAGTCCTCTCTGCATTTGGAGATAGACTTGCCAGACAGAAAAACTTAGTCCTAGAAGACATTGAGAAAAGAAAGCCCAACTATAATGAAACTGTTAGAATAAAGATTGATAAATTTGAAATATCTTCATCAGAACTGCAGTATATCAGAAGAAAAAGGTGCAGTAATCCCAAAAAAAAAAAAATTAAATAAAAAAAATTAAAAAAATAAAGCAGAACTAATAAAGAAGACCTGTACGAGACAACTTTTCCCATATGATAATCCTTGCGGAAATTGGGTCACCAAATGTCAGAACTTTTCCCATATGATAATCCTTACGGAAATTGGGTCACCAAATGTCAGAATGCTAGATCGGTATGGAAGATAGAAAAAGAATGTTACAACACTTATGAGAAGTCCGCCTAAAGACTTGGAAACATTGATGCATCGAGAATTATGGGTGCAAAATTTACAACAAATGGATGTAGCTCATTCTTATAACAAATTCATGGACATTACATTGAACATACAATGATCACCTAACAACTGCAAATTATACTGGGTACATCTCTCACTAGCATCTTAGTCTTCCAGTAGGCGCAGAAGAATGTTACAACAGCTTAGGAGACAGGTTTTGCAATACTTGTAACAAGGAAACATGGCCGCAGACAAGTCTCGGAAAAATCACATGACATCGCCAACTGAAAGCTTTCCTATAATCAAGCTTGGAAAACGCCATGCATCCCCCACTTCAATGGATGCAAGAGAATTCCTGCAACATTACCTAGAGCCATTAAATTCGTTTACTTATAAGTGCGACAATATCGAAAAATAGGCAAGCTAAAGACTTTCTAGTACAGAGTCACCGGAGCAGAATCTTGAGCAAAAAGTAAATACAAGAAGATTGTCTCTCCTCCTAGGAAGACAATGCACACAGGCGAAAAAAGTAACTTTCTCCTTTCCCAAGCAGAATAGATATACCTTCACTCTTTACATATGTTCATTGGAATTTTTTAGAGTTAACATGATAAATTAGCTACACGGCATGTTCATCATCCATTACAAGCACTACTTCCTCTTCTCCATCGTCTCATAATGTCAGTACCATTACATACCACAAACTTCTAAAATGGACAATGAAATATAACTTTCACACCTGTTCCACTCAAATCTTCCCATTTTGATAAAAGTCTGAATATCTTGTAATAAAGATTTATAGTGAGGCCACAACTATCAATACAAAAATCTAAAGACTTCTAAGTCCATGCAATCATTACAAACGTATGCCTTTCTCTATCTTTCTTCAGTTAAATTTTTGAAGAAAAAGCAATAAAAATATAACTGCCCCAGGAAAAAATTATGCCATGAAAGTAAAGATGCTGGTACGCAGACATAATTATAAAGACAAATTAACCAAGAATATGAAATAAATAAACATGAAATTTGAGCAAAGAAAAAACATTGAGTTAAGCATAACTTCAGAATTCCAGGTGTTTAAGCAGACTCAAAATTAATTTAGCAAACAGAACAGAAAATATGAATGATACAGGCTATCTTAACAGATCTAACATTTTTACTGCCAGAATAATTTAGCAATAGAATGAAAAAAAAGTCGCATAGAAAATGTTAATAGTTGGTTTAAAAATAACAGGTCTAACCTGAACAGCACAGGAAAACAAATGAAACCCGAATCACATGATGAAGAATCCAAAGCTAATAAACTTGAGCTGCAAGAACATATTTTACCTGTATAAATGAGCCTGCTCCTTCCACAACACAGCCTACCGAAGGTTGCCAACGTATGATCTTAATGAAGCATCACATGATCCACTGCGTTCAATTGCGCGAACGGCTGGCAGACAAAGGACTACTTGTTTGATTTCGTTTACGGGAGATGTAATTCGAGAAGAGGTCTTCTTATGTGAAACTTGGCTGGAGCCCTTCATCTTCTTAGTGAACTTCATAAAATATTTATCAGAATCCGCATCACCACTCCCTTCTCCCTTAACTTTGGGATTGCTCTGCTTAGGGGGAGGAAGCTGACCATTTTTCCTCGCAAACCTGGGATTACATGCATTTTGAAAATAAGATTCCTCGACAGTTTCTGAATAATATCTCTTCAAATTGCATCTGTTATAAGTCATCATAACTGATTTTAACCTGCCAGAAACTACTTTAGACCGAGTTCCTTGACAGCTTACATCACCAGAAGCCTCCAAAATGCTTCCATCATGATCTAACTCTGAATTATTACCCACTGCTACCAGCCCATCTTCAGACCTGCTTAAACCCATCCATTTTGCTGAAATTTTTGACCCCCCCTTTTGATAAAGATGCGAACGGCTCCTATTCACCGAGCGCGTGTTCTTTGATATCCTTGGTGAACTATTCATAGCACGGTGCAATTGAAATGCCAATCCGGTATCATCATTAGCGCCATCACCTTCATTTGCACTGTCACATAGATCCTTCCTGTCAGCCAGGTGCAATGCACCATTAGCCAACTTCACAGCATTTTGCGCCGCCACAGCCTTTCTCAGAGCCTTTTCCTTGGCCTTCTCAGCGAATGCAATTTTGTCCTTCACATCATAATTTGCTTCCTTCATCATTTCCTCAAAGGACTTCTCCCCAATATCGCAATTAACCGCCACACCATTATCGTTCTTATACTTCCTAGAAACTCTAATTGAACTTTTAAGCAATTCAGGCAACCAACAATCAATACAAACCGAAAATCCTAACTCCAACCCTAATTCAGAAGAACCTCTACAAGAATAAGACCAGGGGGGCGACTCCCCAAACTTCTTAACACAATCCTTATGAACTAACCGCTCACAATCGGCGCAACTCAAACAATCGGATTCAGAATACATTGTATCTTTGAAGCAATAAAGACACGCGTGGCCGGAGTTTACCTGTTTGAAGCATCTTTTACAGAGAAGAACAATCCGCCAAAAGCTGTCAAGCGGTTGAAGCCGTGCTTTGGGGTTGCTAAAGTCGATCCGGAGACCGCAACCGTGGCATTCCGATAAATTGGGTAGGTCCCGGGTTATCTTATCTTTGAAGGGCTCCAGATTTGGGGTTTCATCTTGGGGACCTTGTACTGGTTTTGGGTTGGCAAGGAGGCGTTTCTTTGACGGAGGAGTGATCGGAGGTGGGGATGGCGGTGACGCGGTGGAATTGCATGACATTTCAGATTAGGCCGGTGGTGGTAGTGGTGGTGGTGGTGGTGGTCGCCGGAGGCGGATCGGCGAGGGTTTAAGAAATTAATCCCCTTGTTGGTAAACTTTAAAAAAATAAGATAAAAAGGACAGCTTTCATTTAAAACGACACAGTTCTTAACTTTTGACTCTAGTTCTTGTTCTTGAGTTCCCTCCATTAAAAAAAGCTCCCCAATTCTCAAATCTCCATCGATTTGATTTGTAGTCGAATCATTGGACTTCTTCTGTATCTAATTAGCGCTTACTGTCCCTTTTATTGGTCGGATTTCATCGGTTCCGGCTGAATGACTTGATCGATGGAGTGGTCTAACTGGGATGATCAAATTCCTTATTTGGAGATGACATTGGTTTGATTCCTGTCTTGGAATCCGATGATAATGGCGGAAATCCCTGCTTCCTCAGGAGACTATGTTGGATTATGATTGTTGGAGAGATCAGGAGACTGTTGGATTATGATTGTTGGAGAGATAGCTTGAGCTTATCTCGTTGCAGAGTACCTGTTTGAGGAATTGTCACAAAGAAGTACCATCTTCTTTCTGTAAATGTGCAATGAATTCAATGTGGAGGAGACTTCATTCATCCCTTGATTCAGGTTATTGTCCTGGTTATTTGAGGGTCCAAATCATGCGTATATCTGGTGGAGGGGCGAGGCCGAAGAAGAAAGTTTATTACAGGGTGCCTGAGCTGGATAAAGTAATGGACCTCCAAAAGAAACCAGCAATGATACTGAGGCTGAAATCCATTGTGGAATCTCGAAAGCACAAGTTTCTGCTTCTTAGAGACCTTGAAAAGGAAGTTGGATTCGTGCACAAGTGGAATTTTATGGCTCTCATTGAAAAGTACCCTTCAATTTTCAAGGTTTCTGGAGGTGACGGAACACCTCCAAGGGTTACGCTCACGGAGAAAGCTGTAAAGACAGCCGCTTTGGAGGCAAATGCCAGAGATGAAATGGAGCCCATTTTAGTTAAGAATTTGAGGAAATTGTTGATGCTATCAGTTGATTGTAGATTGCCGTTGGAAACATTTGAAATGATTCAGGATGAATTAGGTTTGCCCTCTGATTTTAAAAACTCTTTGATTCCAAAATATCCACAATTCTTTTCGGTAAAAGGGTTCAATGGGAGGGATTATCTTCACTTGGAGCACTGGGACTCTGCTTTAGCTGTAACTGCAAGAGAGGAGCTAGCACACCTGGAAAGTTTTGATCGTGATAGACGTTTTAACAAGGTTAGAATATCCAAAGACGGTAACCTTCCAGGTCCGTTTGCATTTCACGTAAAGTTTCCTGCCGGTTTTAGGGCCAATAAGGGCTATCTTGACCAACTTCAGAGATGGCAGAAAATGGAATTCCCTTCGCCGTACTTGAATGCTAAGAGATTCGACATTTCCTCTGATCCGAAAGCTAGAAAGAGATTAGTGGGAGTGCTTCACGAATTTCTCAGTCTCACCATGGAGAAGCGGTTAACATCTGCTCAGTTGGAAGCCTTCCATTCGGAGTACAGATTACCTGCTAGGCTATTGCTTTGTCTCATTAAGCATCATGGCATCTTCTACCTTACTAATAAGGGTGCAAAGAGTACTGTAATCCTGAAAGAGGGTTATGATGGATCAGATTTGGTTGATAAGTGTCCCTTATTGCTGTTCAGGGATAAATTTATAGCACTCACTGGTAGGAGAGATATGGTGGATCGTTCAACGTTTGCACCATCTGTATCATATGATTTTGCATAACTTTGTTTATCTTAATCATATCAACATCTTTTTCTACTGTTAGGTTCACAATAACGCGAAAATAATATCTATTTTCCTGATTAGAGTAAGCATCATACCATGTGGCTCTAAGGTTGTTAATAGAGAGAATGCTTATGAACTTGTATTGATCTCTTGTATGTCTCTCCTTGCCCTGTCAACTTGATGATGTCCCTTATTTCTGATTTCCTGCCCTCGTCATGTAGTGTGTCTAAGGAATCAGTAGGGTCCACTTTGATTTTATGAACACTTCAACTCTTTCCCTGAATCAACGCACAACTAATTCGAATTCAAGTCGAGTAAATAAAAGTACTTTTAATAAATATCTTGATTACAGATCAAATGGATCAATCTGTTGGCAATGAGTTTCTATTGGTAAAAGAACCAATCTAATCTTGTTCTTGGTTTACTTTCCCCTGTTAATTCCTCCCTAGGCGCCTCCTCGTCTGTCGTCATCATCCTTGTTGACTTACAATGGTTGCCACACTCCTAATTAAGATGAAAATACCATTTCTATTAAAAAAAAAAACCCAATTCAAAAGCCCCATAGGTTTCAACCTCTCGTCAGCATAAGTATTATTATCTTGTACTTATTCGTTCTGGGGTTCTCCCAGTTGCCGATGATCTCGAAACATTAAACAAATCAAGAAAAATTCAGACTTTGATACTTTGTTTTCCGAACTTCATCGTAATCATGTACATTATGCATGCTCTCAGTTTACTATTCCAACTGTAATAATGTGATAAAATAACCACAAAGTATACAACTTGTACTTGAGACAAAATTAAACAAACAAAATTCCTATTGTACAAGAGTTTTATCCGTTCTAAAAGTTAGTTAGTATATTACCTTGTGGTTCTATCTTATTTTAAAAGACAAAACGTTCCTTAATTTCATAATCGAAAGGAGCAAAAAAATTATCACTTATGTACGATTACCCACGACCAATATTACCCATAGTGTTGAGAACAAATCAATAGCATAAAACTGTAGTAATTAACTAGTAAGTTAAATTTTAGTTCACTTAATGAATAACGATTGCCAAAAAAAAAAACCATTCTTAAAGCTGCATGCATTCAGTTGAGGGTGTTTTTAAATGCTTCACCAAAATTCTTCAGTGCGGAAATATCAATTCAGCTGTCGATCGACAAACAGGAAAAAAGGTTTAAGGGGGAAAAAAGAACAAACAAAAAACAAAAAGTTGTTTTCAAGCACGAAACTAGCTACCAGAAACCACAGAGAATCGTTGAAGATATGGATTTAACGGCATTTGGATTTGGCTAAGGTTTTAATAACGAAATCGAAAGCATGGGCAGAAGCGTACGAACTACATTGGCAAAATCTCAAAACGTAAGGAGATCATCAATCGGAATCTGTTTGAGCGGTTTTGAGTGTGTTGTCTTTGTTTCTGTTAAATTTTGTATCACGGGTTTTGATTATTTATTTTTCGTGTAATTTGTATAAAAACGAAAATTCAATGGACTATCATTATAGAATGGAGGAACATAGGGATTCGTTTTTTCTTGAAGAAGAAATATTTAACCGCAAAGCGACATTGGTAAGATCAGGATGACAAAAAAAATATATGATATCATGTAATAAATTTCACGAGAACTCAAAATTTTGTAACAGATTATTTAATAACAAGAGACCGAGCGTTCAGCAAATTTCAGTCTATGGATTCAAGTTTGGGTTTTGTCATGTTACGTAAGGTACGTTGTTCATTCCATAAGAAGTTAACGTTTTAGGTATACATAGTAGCACCGACTTTGTTTCAGAAGGGAAAAAAAAAAAAGAAAAGACATATTAATCGGTTATGGCATACAATGACAAAAAGGAGGTAACATCTAAATCAGCTGAAATATTTTACTTGAGGCCGTTAAATTACTAAATTGATGAAGAAAATGCGGCTTGAATCGTTGAGCTATAAAATTTAGAGTAAATAAATGAAAATTGTAGGCTGCTACAAATATTTAGCACTTTGTTTCACATTTGTTTACTGACTAAAATTTTATGACATGTGTATCTTATTGGAGTACCATATTATTAAATACTCCCTCCGTCCCAAAATTATTGTCCAGTTTGAGTTTTCAGTTTTAGTTCAAATTATACTAAAAGAGAAATTCCAAACTGGACAATAATTTTGGGACGGAGGGAGTAACTAATAAGGAGTAATTCTTCAAACATAGAGAAATTGAATACACTATGAGAGGGAGTTCGATTAAAAAAAAAACACACATAGTGTATTAAAGGGAATCAAGATGCAATATAAAAATGTACTCCTGCCCTAAGAAGAATTATCATTTGTTGTGAATATTTGGTATGAACCCGCATCAAAAACTGAGGCTTTCCACGGTCAATTACAACTAACAGATGTGAAATAATCAAACATTGTCATCATTCTCTCAAATTTAATCACCACTCCCGCTGATTATATAAATCAACACAGTTTTTCTTATTACAAAGATTGAAAAAAATCTTGTGGGAGGCTCTTTTGGTTCATGGATTAATAAACCCGTATGCTTGATGTATAACATTCGTAATTTAATTAATTAGATAAAACATATAGAATTTTATTTCGAATTAATTTCAATCGAGATCTCATTTTTCAAAGACTATTTGCTGGGATGATGATGGGAATCATATTCCCACACCTTTAAAACCTTTTGACCAAAACCATATGTACACCATCATTTGATTTTTATTTTATTTTTTCCTTCTCCTTTTTTTCTATTCTCTGTTCCCATCTTTTGTTTTCCTTTATGAAGATACGAATTATGCGATACGTGACCCGCATGTATTATCAAGATTGACAACTCTTCAAATTTTAATTACAAATAAAACAACTATATATATACATCTTAATTCTAAGTAATAAATTTTTTAAAAGTTATCAATCGACAAAATTAATTAGTTGTAATTGTTGGTACATGCAATCACATATTAGATCTATGATATCTGAATGATTTTTCATCTTTTAATCTTTTAAAATCTTACACCATTAACTTAAGACTAATTATATTCCACTCTACTTTTATAACTCTACCTATAATTCTACTGATATGGCAATCCTAAGTATACATCCACATCATTTATAATAATAATAATGGAATTGGGAGAACAATGAATTTCGTGCATTGATCTATCCATTTTAAAACACCAAAATGAGTATTCAAAAAGTGTATTCATATTATTTTTTCACTATTAATACAAGGTTTAATTGGGATTAAAAATAATTATGGACCTAATGTAGGTAGCATTTGTTACAGCCTTACAGGTTACATAATTAGATTTCATCAAAGGAAAAAAAAAAAACATAATCAAACTCCAGTTTTCTGACCAACCAACTTCGTAAGGCCAAAGGTGATTCCCATGGCTGCCCATCCTCCAAACAAAACCCTCAACGAAGATTTCACAATATTTGCCCTTCCCAGAAAAGCCCCTATCCCACCGAATCCCAAAAGCGCAAAACTCGAAGCCACCACCACCACTCCAAGCCTAACATGGTAATTTCTTACAAAAGCAGCCGCCAGCAAGGGCACGGCTGCGCCACAAGCGAAGGCGAAAGCCGACGCGGCGGCCGCCTGAAAAGGGCTGGGCAAATCTTTCTTTTTAGCATCGTATTCATTTTCATCCATCCTATCAGCAGCTCTCTCCCTCTTCATCTGAGAGATCTCAATATCATACTGCGAGTAAACGGAGACGTATTCTCCGATGGCCATGCTGCAAGCTCCGGCGATGAGTCCGGCTATTCCTGTGAGGGTCATGGTCTTGACGTCCGTCCGGACGGAACCAACACCCATCATTAAGGAAGCAGTTGAGAGCAAACCATCATTTGCACCCAAAACAGCAGCTCTTAGCCACTGGGCTCGTTTTGAATAATCCTTAACAACAACATCATCATCATTTTCCAGATCATGATGAACATTATTATTGTTATTATTATCAGTACAAATGGTTTGTTCAGAGATTTTAGATGAACCCTTTTGAAAAGATGGGATTTTGTTGGGAAGGATGTTGTTTTGTTGGATCTGAACATCAAAATAGGAAGAAGGAATAACGGGAGAATCATCCATGGAAAGTGGAGGGGCCATATTATTATAGAGAGAAGAGGCGTGTGGCAAACACAAGAAGGAAATAGAATTTTTAGTAATGGATATGAATGAGTGTGGAGGACACACGCCCAATGACACATCATTTTATAGGCACAAATTGAAAATCTTTTTCTTTTTCTTTTTTTAAAATAAAGTTTTGGAAGGAATCTGATGCATTCACACTTTTGTGACATACCATCTTACCATTTGTTTAAATTAGCTAATCAACAAAGCAAAATGATAGAAATTTATACTGTTAAAATAACAATAAAACTGACCTGACAAATGTATCATTACTACTTTATCTTTTATATTGATTCATTATCATGTTATTAACCGTGTCTCCCAAATCCAGTTACTGCTTGATGAAATAGTCAGCCACATGTGTGATTGATTTCTTGAATTTTGTTTTCTTCTTTTAATTTAATATATCTAGTTTTCAAAAAGTTTTACGTCTACTTTCACTTTCATTGGTTTCAACTCAATCGGTCATTTTTTTTCTTTCAAATTAATAAACTGAATTTATTAGTCAATCACTTAATTCTAGTAGGTGCTCCAAAGTTTTTTTTGTTTGGCCAACCTTCCATTTTACATTTTGTCTCATTTTACCTCTTAAACACAAAACTCAATGGAAAAAAAAGACATCATCCAAACAACGGTTTGATTTACATTTTAAATTCCAACTTGAAACACTTTTTGTTAGTGTAATGACCATTTTAAAACTACAAATAGTTCAGTGTCAAATTTGGTAGGATTCCGTTGTTGAGTGATTGTTTTTGGAAAAGTTCTTTTTTGCAGTGACTATAATTGACAGTATTTAATTGTTTAGTGATGATTCGTACTTGATATTTTCAAAATATAGTTCAAAATATTTTTTTCAAAACCAACATCCAAACAACTTTTTGCTCAAAATACCATCCAAATAATATTTTCATTTTCCATTTAATTTTCAACTTGAAAAACTTTTTATTTTTAAGTGGCAAAATGAAATGTAAGCTGACGTACAAACAAGCTCCTTTAGTTTTTAGAATCTACTTTATAGTCACTTTTGATTTGGGTATATTATAATTAAATGCAAAGTTATAGATTTTTCTTTCTTTTCACCTGATGCTCTTTGGGAAAGCATATACTAAAATTGTGCCTAATTTGATCTCGGCCCCCGTGCACTCAAGTCATCAATTGAAATCAATCTCTCAAATGGAAAAACAAATGCAAAAACTGAAAAGATTGCAAAAAATGGACTATAGCCAAATTGACATGCCAATATAAGAAGGAATCAATTTTTTTGGGGGCTAGTACATTAATTAGAACCAGTTTTAATTAATATCATTATACGATGGATATGGTGTTAAAAAAATAAATAAATACTCCCTCCGGTCCTTAATATAAGGTATTTTAATTTATCCTAAGTTTAATTTAGTACGTATTTTTAATTTACACAAAAAACTCAAAAATATTTCATAACAATAAAGAGAATACAACGAATATGAAAATATATTTTTAAGATTTTTTCGTCAATTAAAAATGGATACTAAATAAAACTTAGGACGAAATCAAAATGCCTTATATTAAAGACAGGAGAGAGTACTAAGAGAGGCAAACTATACAAAAATGCGAAGAGAGGCAATCTATACAAACGACTATTTGGTTTCATGTTTGCTTATTGCTAGGTTAATGGAGATATATAATTCACCATAATGGCCTCTTGCCCGTTGCGACGGTTTAATGATGATGTTATTGTAAATATTGTTTGCCCTCGTAGTGTAATTGTTTAATTACTTTTTGCTCTTTCGTGCCAAGACAAAAAATAAAATTATTAAGATGATAGGTACACATGACTTCAAATGCATATAACGAATTTCTAAATTAAATTAAGATGCACAAATTGTAAGATTTATGTTGATTTAATGCACTAATAATATATAAGGAGTATATGGACTCAAATGCAAATATATTGATAGGAAAAGTGAATTAAAATATGCGACGAAGATGAAAAAATAAAAGTCACTGGTCACATCTTCGATCATTTGCTACTTTCTTTGTTTAAAAAAATTTAAAAAAATTCAAAATGACGATAATATTCCTAAACTCAAAAGCATGTGAAAAATAATTTTCTGACATGGCCAAAATTAATAGAATGACATTATGTGGTTTTTTTTTTTTGGGGCTTAATACAATGACCTATTTTAAGAATAAATTTGATTGATGACATGTAATAAATAAATAATAGTTCAATAACAAAACTCACTCGAATCATTATTATAAATTATAATTAACTCTAAAACTGATAATATGTATAGTGAATTTGCATGCAGTCGATGATAGTGTTACTTTATTCTTTCTTTGACCAATAACTCTGCTTTTCTTTTAAAAGGAAAAAAGAAGGCAAATTATAAAGGCACCGACTCCTGACGAAGCATGGATCTGCACGGTGCCTTAAGACGGGTAGCGATGATGATCTAGGCGGCGGCGGACAGCCTAAAATCTGCAAGACAGAGCCTCGGGTGTCTCCCGAGGATAGACTCTCCGATGCTTAAGTCAATAAGGTAATAAAGAGAATAGAGAGAAAATGATGTGTATCGTGTGTAGAAAGTGTAGAAGACAGGTAGAAGATATGAATTATGAGAGAGGCACCACCTCTTTATATATAAGTGGTGTTGCCTGTTTCCTGAAACTCAGCGGAATAGGTTTAAGCGGTAGCTTAATTCCCAAGTAACCTAATCCTAGACCCAATAGACCTAGGGTTAATCTATGACTCGTCAAGTGCCCCTAGCAAGCCATATTCTCGAGACTTGATGAGAAGAATATGGCTTGCTACGAGTACGAGGCTGGAGTGTTGACGGCTTCTCGACCTCTGTAATGTTGCCCCAATTCTCGAACATGATGTTCCTGCAAGATGAACAAAGAGTGATGGTCGACAGAAAAAGGTCCTCGAGGGGACAAGGGTCGACGATGACGGGGTCCTTGGAAAGACAAAGGTCGACAAAGGGTGGTCCTCGGAAGGACTATGGTCGACAATGAAAGGTCTTTCCAAAGGACAATTTTCAGGAGGACAAAGGTCTATGAAAGATGGTCTCGATGAGAGATAATGGTCCGTGAGAGGACGGTCCTCGAATGGATGACGATATTCAAGAAAATAAAGGTCTATAAAAAGACGGTCTCGATGAGAGACAATGGTCCGTGAGAAGATGATCTTCGAATGGATGAGTAGTCGTTGGAGAAGGGTTCACGAGAAGACAATGGTCGGTAGAAAGAGGTCCTCGGAAGGACACTAGTCGATAAGTGATGGTCTTCTCGAGGAACAAGGTGCATAAGGACTTCTAGAAGATTGAGCTTAAGTAGTTCAAACTTGTGGATCCTGCCATTAAACTCGACAAAGATATTGCAATAATGATAAAGGAATGACATATAGTAATAAGATGCTCAAAAAAAATATCAATTCAAGCAGAGGATATTAGGATGATCCCTCAAATTCCTTGCCCCAAGGGTATGTCCCTGTTTGTGCCCCCGAGTACGTTTTTCTCGTTGAAGGGTGATAAGATTTTACCGCGAGAGGATTGGTAACTTAAAGAACTCCTTTGATCGTGCTCAAAAAGATATCGTGATATGATAATAATATGATAATGATATCAGATATTAAAGCATGAAAAGGTTTTAGAAGTACCTCGATCCCGTAATAAATTAATTATTCGAGAAGGTGTTATCTCGATTCAGAGAAGATTATGAAAGTCGAGATACGTCTTCTCGAACACTTTGAATAGTAACGTATTGCTCGAGGGATGTTGGCCCCTTCGAGGAGATGTATCTCTCGAAACTTCAATCCTCGAAATTGCCCCTTGCTTCGAATGACTTGAGAGCTTATATGGATTTGCACATCAAATCGACCCGATGATCATCGTAAAGCACCAATAATATTTCAGCTTCGTTTCAAGAAATTTATTTGGTTGTGAAGGCCAAACAACTCGGTCCCACTGGGCGTGCCACTTGACGAAGCACGGATCTGCACGGTGCCTTAGGACGGGTAGGGATGATGATCTAGGCGGCGGCGGACGGCCTAAAACCTACAAGACAGAGCCTCGAGCGTCTTTCGATGGTAGACTCTCCGATTCTTAAGTCAATAAGGAAATAAAAAGAGTAGAGAGAAAATGATGTGTATCGTGTGTAGAAAGTATAGAAGACAGATAAAAGATATGAATTATGAGAGAGGCACCACCTCTTCATATAGAGGTGGTGTTACATGTTTCCTGAAACCCTAGCAGAATAGGTTTAGGCGGTAGCTTAATCCCCAAGTAACCTAATCCTAGACCCAATAAATTTAGGGTTAATTTATGACTCGTCAACCCCTCAATCCAACATGGTCAACTGATTAACTCCTGGGTTTATCATACTCTTAAACTTTGTCGGTTTCAATCTAAAGTATATAAGTATTAATTACATATATACAGTTCATATAAATCTCCAGTGGAAGATCTTACTTAGGTATGTATACATTTTCGATTCGTACATGACCATGTATAAGTCCCCTGCAAGCGTACCATTGGAACAAAATTTGCGGGCAATTTGAGAATTAAGGAATAGCCGTAGTGATCGCATTGACAGAAGTTGCATGGATTAATTCAATCCATTTATTTGTCCCAAAATTTCCACCGCATTGTTGTAGTGATCATGAAGGGCTCAAGATTTCGTGTCCTTTTGGGTTTGGGGGGGGTGGGGCTCAAGATTTCGTTGTAACGGGAATGAAGGGCTTGATCTTTTATTTAAATACTCTCTTTCTCCCAAAATTATTGTTTAGTTTATATTTTTATTTTTAGTTTATTTTATACTAAAACTGAAAATCCAATCTAGATAATAATTTTGGGAGGGGGGAGTATGTCATTTTGGGACAGGGTCACACTACAACATGGTTCAAGAAAGGATTTCAGATTTAGATTTAGTTTGAGCTTCAGTATAATTCAGTTTGACATGACTTCAAATGGCCCAGTGATAAATTCCCTTCTATGGTACATATCATGCAAGTGACTACCTAAGCAAAGAAAGATTTATCAACCTAAAATTATGTTCGCATTGGCATTGCTCAGACTCAGAGCCTCAGACCAAAGAAAGACCACGAGGAATGATCGAGAAATCCACTCAAACCAAAGATATTGGTCATGAAATCAATTTACACATTAACCCCAAATCAAAACCATATATTAAACGAAAAAAGAAATCCAAATTTTCATAAGAAAACGAGAGCTACGGGACTTCCTTTCTTCTCTGCTTTATGTCCTCCCTTGAAATCCTCCCACTTCCCATGATCAAGACCGCGTAGATCATCAAGCTGTTTTGCATTCAGGTAATGAGCGAGTTTGACCAGCTCAGTCATTTATATCATAATTGGGGAATGGCTTCGTAATGAGGCTATTCTCGGTGGATTCATTACGCACATTTCTCGCAACTGCAAAATGTAGTTGGAAATATGTTTAGATTATAAGTGCAGATATGCTTAGCACACTTCCATAATTGTTGAATCTAAGAATGCAGAAGTATCTTTCTACCATGCACTGATAAAGCACGAAATAAAATACACACCGGAATATGTTTTGGCAGAGCACAAACCTGATTCACGCAAGATCCTGTAATTTTTGTGGTCTGAATCCACCACATTAGAAAGGAATTCTAGAAAGCTTGAGAACCGAAACGCAGACAGCCTCCAATTCAGGATCCATCTCACAGATAAACCAGAGGCTGTAATGATTCTCAAAGTCAAGCTATGAATAATGGTGGGTGGCTAAAGCCATTTCAAGCCAGGAACTGAATTCGCCTTCTAGTTCAACTCTCTCTGATCCCATTCTATATCTAACCTCATGAATCTACCACCAAACCGGAGGAATCCCCAATATTTAAGAACACCAAATTTATTGATGGTGAATTTATTGTTCCTGCCAACCACCCACAGCTACCAGCAACCAACAAACAAACTGTCTTAAATATTGCGGAGAAATCAAAACAAAAAAGATGGTACAAGAATCAGTCAACCCAAAAAAAGAAATTAGAAGCAAGATTGTTAACTCCCACCATTCTTGTAAATTTCAGCCACTAATCAAATATTCGGCTACAATCTCAAACTAGTACACATCTTAGTCTTTTACAGTTAACATAGACTTTTATCTTAGCTTTTTACAGTTAATACAATGCAGTTCAGTCATCAGTGAAGAACTTAAGGATACATTCATGGTGACCATCTACTACTCATATATGCCTCTTGAGTGCCCGTAATCATAGCAGCAATGAATTTACATATATGCCTCTTGAGTGCCCGTAATCATATACTACTCATATATGCCTCTTGAGTGCCCGTAATCATAGCAGCAATGAATTTACATTAACAGAATGCAGCAATTTGAGATTGAGGAATAGCTGCACAAACAGTTTTTACAGAGTTGCTACGTTCAAAATCCAATTGTCCAAAATTTACACAGCATCTTACGCTATAAACCGCATTAGCTGAAAGGCTAGGATGCAACTCAAATTTGCAAAACTACCAGATCTCTGATGTGCCTAATATAAAAGGGGCTAATTGCATAAATCATACTACAAGTTATGGATAGACAACAGATAATACCCTATCAGGCTCCCTGTCAGCACTACCATTGTGGTCTACCGTCAAAGACTGCAATTCGTCCAAGGTCATTGGTTCCTCACTGGACGCTACTGCTTCCACCACAGGCAAGTTCAAATCACCTTGTATGGCTTTCAGGAAAATGTAGTTAAACTTTTCCTCAGCAGAAAAATCCATGCTTGACCGTAGCTCAGAAGGAACTTCCTGGATATCAGCAAGATCTGACAAGGCAGAATGGCAGCCCCAAGCCTTAGCTGGAACCATTAAGTTGGCAACAAAATCAAGAAATCCCTTGCTTTGAAATACTTTGCGGATGTACAACCGCATGAATTCGCCCCGTTCCTCTTGAAAGCGACGGACTTTCTTCTCCAAAACAGAAATCTGTTCTTCCTTACAACGTAAATCCGCTGCACTGCAATCACAAAGAAGTTTCATCTGATATTCAGAATCTTTCAGGTCGCGCCGACTCTGCTCTGCCTCAGCTTGAACTTCTTTCAGTTTCTTTTCAAGCAATTCAGCACGGGAAGCACGGTTATAGAGTTCATTAACAACTCGCAGAGTCTGTGGGTTATATATAGCGCAATGTTATTAAACATACATAAGTACATAACAAGAAAATAAAAGAAAGATAGGCAAGCCCCGCGAACCTCAGGGAGAGAAGTAAAACAACGTCTGCCCAGACCCGCAACAGACAGACTTGTGAACGATTCCATTCCCGCACAAGACATTGAAGGGGGCTCGGCACAGATAATGAATTTGTTCACCACGGCATCCACATCTTGAGGAGGAGTTAAAACTTTTGCCTTCTTTTTTGGGTATTCAAGGTCTGCAGCAGCAGAACGCTTGTTCTTTTCAGGGGCAGGAGGCTTGGACTGCTGAATCTCAGTGGAAGACAGATGAGCAGGTGAATCCTTTTGTTGATGAGAAGTAATCACTATTTTCTCAGCATTAGTTTTCTCCTTGCTACTCATTTCTGAAACAGATGCTACGGTGCTTCGGCCTTGTTGAGGAGCAGTAGCAGTAGCAGTGGCACTCTTCAGAGCTACTACTTGAGAAAGGGTCATGTTATCTGCAGAAAAGAAATTAAAAGAGTCATAATAACAAGAAAACTGATGAGCTAAAAGATTAGCCAAGTCATCTCCTCAAAATCAAAAAATAACTAGAGAAAGAAGTCAGAATTTGAAGAAGCTAAAGGAGGTTCACCTAAGTCAGGAGAATATTCCCCAGAAGGTGATCCACATAGCTCCGCACTAACACGGTCCAAAGCCTCCTCAGTGATCTCAGCTAGTGATATGCTAAGGCCAAGTAGTTTCTTAACATCAGGAAGAAGAGAGGAATTAGAGGCCAAGCCCTCATCGTACATGGGATCAGATTTCCTCGAATAATTCCATTCCAACGGTAATCCTAAAGCATCAGTCCGCACCAAATAAAACCGCTCTTTCCAACCAGGGTTGGAAGAATTTTTTCCAGTTACCAACTGGTTTAATGCCAGCTCACCAAATTTGGATTTGGGGTAGAAAGTGAACCATCCCACAAACTCCTTGGAACAAACCTGTAATCTGTAAAAACATCTAAACAGGTCTACTGACGCTGTGACACCCCTACGACTACAAAGAATTGAAAACCCAGAGAGGATTACCATGGCATTTGGGGCTAATTGGGCTAAAGCTATATCGTAATGCGACAAGACCCCGGAAACTAAAGGAAACAGAGGAAATCTTAAGCCAAACTGAAAGTGCAACTCATAAACTGCGGCGTAACCAACAGGCGGGTAGCTAGCCTTCCATTTCCCAAAGGGAGCAATAATCCCGAATTTCTCAGGGATCTTATACTGTTCCGCTGCCCTAAGGGCGTCTTCCTTTGAAACCTTAGAACAAAACTCTTGGGCTGATGGGATATTACCAGCAGCCAAAGGTGGCATTTTTCTCCGTTCAAGACGAAGAGAAGTCTCAGTAGCTGAAAAGTAAACATTCTTATGACAGTAGAATGAAGCATTGCGCAAAAGAGAAGAGAAGAGTCCTTACTCCCAGTACTTGATCGTCGGCAAATTAGAGTCGAGCAACAACGAAGATGGCATGGAGGCCTCGGAGAAGATAAAAGGAGGAAATGCGTGACATCATCTGCGCTTTGCTCCTTCCCCCCGAAGAAAAAAAAAATAATTCACAAAAACACAGTAAAATTCAAATTCGTTTCCCGCCAATCCCTCCAAAATACTAAAAAGAAACTAAAAATGAAAATAAAGAAAATCTTCTCCCGGGTGGTATTACTACAGAAGCACCTTTGCTATGCATCACTAGTCACCCACGTCATTAAAATCCATCATTTTTTAACTCTTTCTGAAGTACTCTCTCGTCCCACAAAAATAGTTCACATTGAATTTTGAGTTTAGTATTATTTTTAGTACAAATTTAAAAACTCAATATGGACTATTTTTTAAGACGGAGGTATTTGGTACTATTTTTAGTACAAATTTAAAAACTCAATATAGACTATTTTTTAAGACGGAGGTAATATATAAATTTACTGGTATTCAATCGTCTCGTAATTTTTTAATGAGTGCTCTTATTTGATTGTCCCCCCCAAGTCATTTGTGGATTCAGTTCTCATTGTCACGTATGCTTCCCTCTCATTTTAATGGTTTATAAAACAAAAAGACCCAAACAAATAGACTATGAAAATTAAACGCTGCAAATGGTTATGCCTCTTTCTTGGCGCGATGATGTCTCGTCCATTTAGGGAAGGGAACAACCAGAAAAACATGCTAGTCTTCGCTGCTTGATGAAGAAAAAGGATTGCATCCTTCTGAGTCCGGCAGTTTGATCGAGCAGAGACACACAACTAAAGGCCGAGAGATCATGCTTCATAGTGGATACGAAGGAAAAACATAGTAAAAAACTATTATAGTGAATAAATTAAGGGAACAAAGGCTGATGCATTAGTTATAAGCAAATGGAGCACAAAATCAGAGACAGAGATCATTTCAGCAGTAAGTACTGTTTCATTCCATCTAACAAACTATTCTGGTAAATCTAAGTTGTAAGGTGGAATTGGATCGCCAAGGTTCAAGTCACATTCTAAGTATATAAAATATGCTACCACGAACAGCTTTCATGCCAGTATAAACTAAAAGGAAAAGCTTACCAGCGACTGTTGACTGTTCATCCAAAAAGAGTAGCCTACTCAAAATCTAAATAGCATGTCAGTGATTTCATTAAATCAAAATGAATTCGCAAAAGGTGAATGGAACACTGGCATTGTTTCTGCCGAACTCTAGCACTTAAAGTTTACAAAATAGCTTATAGGTACAACCTGCGTTTCAGAACATATACTACATAAGCATAAATCACTAACTACGGAAATATTATTTTATCCTGAAAATGAAAATTAAAAAAAAAAAAAGCAAAAAAAGATTAGCTTGGGCTACATACACATTTGTTCACACACTGTCAACAATTAAAAGATTGACACAATTGAGGTTTCTCCAAATCAATCAACAAATCGACAAGGAGCAGTGGGGAAATAAACAACACACTTAAACAAAATCTCAGTTTCTTCACCATAGGTCAAAAGGGATTCGATTTAACGATGATGTATCAGACTTCATATATTAGTATTGCTCATCATTATTTGCCAACTAGTCACCGTATCTGCTATCTAAAAACTATTTCTAGAACCAATTGTTAACACAGATCACTACCACCAATCAAAGAGCACATGTTCAGACATTCCAAAGAAGAGTTGTGCCTTTTAGTTCTGAAACTAAGGTAGTAGTCTCAGTTTCAATTCAACCATAATTATAATTCACTAGAAAGCAGTCAATCAAATTGATCTCTGACCATCACAGAAAACCGAACTCCAAAAGGCATTTTCACATGAATAGTTGGCTTAGGCAAGAACAACAGACCATTAACAGGGAAAAGAAGAAGTTATTTGCTAGTGGATTAAAAAATAAACAAAAATGTGTCACATGGTTGAAATTGGAGAAGTGACAATGGGCACAAAGACACCTGAAATTCCTGATTAAACAAAATTGAATATTCAATAACTTTCTATCTTTGATAGCAGATCAAGAAAACAGGTTTTGATGGATTGAGAAATATGGAATTTGGGAAGAGAGAACTATAAAATTATTAACACTTACAACTTCTGGCGTCCCACCTAATAACCAATTTAGCCAACAACTAGAAACTCGGATAAAAAGATTACACCGATATAACATATAAATTAAGAGACATTAAAAAAAAACACCTGATTTACAAGCAGACAGGAACAAAGAAACAAACAACACTGTTGGTGGAAACTCTAAACCATATAATCAGTATCTTCACCATTCATCAAAACAATTCAAAACCTAAGGATGATGTAACAGAATGCATACAATGTTAAAACTCATCATCAGTGACACTCGCCAACTAGTCACAGTATATGCAAGATAAAAATAAGTCAATCAAACAGATTGCAGAGTTTCACCAAAAATAAAACTTCGACATGAATTTTACTCATCAAATCACTAGTTAGCTAAGTAAGAACAACAGACGACTAACAGAAACAAAGAGAAGAAAAAAATAATAAAAAGAAAACAAACAAACAAAGTTCTTTTCTTGCAACACTGACATGGTTTGAAACCAGAGAAGCGACAATGAACTCCAAGTTATCTAAGAATCCAAAGTCCTGATCACACACAACCAAAAATTCCAACTTCAGGTGGTTCGGGCCTCGGGCATGGCGGTAAGAATCGGGCCACATGCATTGCATTGGCGGTACCAAATTTTCACTGCAGTTTGAAATAGCTGCACTAATAAAAATCATTGACAAAGTTCCATGAGATAAATCTTTCTGTCCAAAACACTCATAGCATTAATTTACAATGGGAATGTACAGATGGTACTCTATTTGGTCCCCTGTCAGCATCAAAATTATGGTCTACCACCAAACAATTGCTGCGTATCATTCAGGGTGATATGTTTAATCACCATACCTGATCACTAATCAGGAAGAACTTGCAGAATTTTCAGCAAGATCTGCTAAAGACAAAACGACATCCCCAAAGCCTCAGCCAGAAAATACAGGTATCGAGAATAAATGAGTTTAGGCACAATGAAATACCTTTGAAAATAGCGGCATATTGAGGAATGACTGCACTAATCTATTTTTCCAGAACTTGCATATTACCAATTTACAAGGCGAATACAGGTTTCGAAGAGAGTTTGTGCATGGAATCCCATTCGCAAAAGGGATAGGATGCAACTCAAAACTCACAAAACAACTGTATCCCTGAAGTGCCTAATTTAAATTATAAACAACTTTATCCCTGAAATGCCTAATTTAAATCATGTTTGGTTTCAGAGAATTGATGAATATGAAGTTCACTATCAGGATCCCTGTCATCGCCGATAATATGGCCAACCACGAGAAAGCTCAGAACCTTCCAGCTGACACTGAAGCCGCTCCGCAACAGCTTGAGTTTCTTTTAGATCCTTCTCGAGCTGCAGGAATTGACCCCGTTCCCCTTTAAGGCGGTCAACTTCCTCCTCCAAGACAGAAATGCGACCTTCCTTGGAAAGTAAATCTGCAGCACAGCGATCCCGAGAAAGTACAGAATCTTTCAGCTCACGCTGAAGCTGCTCCACCATTTCTTTCAGTTCTTTCTCCCGCTGCAGGAACAGACCTTTCTCCCCTTTAAGGCGATGAACCTCCTCCTCCAAAATTGAAATATGAACTTCCTTAGCACGTAAATCAGCTGCACTGCGATCATAAAGAAGTTCAAAACCTTTCAGCTTGTGTTGAAAGTGCTCCGCCAAAGCTTGAAATTCTATCAGTTCTTTCTCCCGCTGCAGGAATTGACTTTGTTCAACTTTGAGGCGACGAACTTCCTCCTCCAAAATGGAAATACGATCTTCCTTAGCGCCTAAATCTGCTCCAATAAGATCAGAGGCAAGTGCAGAATCTTTCAGCTCGCGCTGACTCTGCTCTGTCCCAGTTTGAATCTCTTTCAATTGTTTCTCGAGCATTTCAGCACGGGAAGCACGGATAAATACCTCATTAACAAATCGCAGACACTGTCACAAGCAGATATAATCATGGTTTTATTATTACGCTTGCAAGGTAAATAAATAATAGAACGACAAGAAAGACGCTGGGCGAACCTCAGGGAGTGAAGTGAAACTTCGTCTGCCCAGTTCCTCAATAGGTAAAGTAGTGAGCGATTCAGGTCCCTCACAAGACATTGGGAGGGGGAATTTGTTCTCCTTGGCGCCCACATTTTGAGGAGGGGTTGAAATTTTTGCCTTCTTTTTTGGGTTTTCGATGTCTGAAGCAGTGGAATGCTTGGTCTTTCCGGCCGCAGAACTTATACCCTCCTCAGTACTCCTGCCAGAAACAGACAGTAAACTGCTTCTGCCTTGTGCGAGATTAGTGGCAGTGTCACTCTTCAGAGCAACACATTGTGAAGGCGTCATATTATCTGGAGAAAACGAAATTGAAAGTAAAAACAAGAAAACTAATTTAGCTAACAAATTAGACAAAGCCATCTCCTATAAAATCACAAAATACCAAGAGAAATAAGCCCAGATGTGAAGCTGAAGGAAGCTGACCTGAATCGGGAGAAGATCCCCCAGAAGATGATCCCCAAATCTCAGCAATAACAAGATCCAGTGCTTCGTCAGTTATCTCATTTGATGATATGCTCTGGCCGAGTAATTTCTTAGCATCAGAAAGAATAGAGGGATCAGAGGCCATTTCCTTTGCATCCCAAGCTGGTTCAGATATCTGTGAATAGTTCCACACCAGAGATAATCCTAAAGCTTCAATACGCACCAGGTAAAAACGCTCTCTCCAACCTCTGGTCGGAATAATTCTATCGGATACCAAAGGCTTTATTTTGAACTCGCCAAATTGGCGTTTGGGATATGCAGTGTACCAATCATCCGACGTATTGGGAACGGCCGCCGGAGAGGTGTTTGGAACGGCCGGAACGCGACGCAATTCGTAAAAACATCTAAAAAGGTCCACCGAAGGTTTTGCACCCCTACGACTACACAGAATCGAAAATCCGGCCAAGATTAGCATGGCCTTCGGCGCCAATTGGGCCAAAGGTATTTCGTAATGTGACAGAATCCCGGAAACTAAAGGGAAGAGAGGGAACCGCAAACCGAATCGAAATTGCTGTTCATAAACAGCGGCGTAACCGTCAGGCGGGTTGCAAGCCCTGCAGTTCCGATCGGGAGCAATAATCCCAAATTCCTCGGGGATTTTAAACCGCTTTGCAATCCTAAGGGCATCTGCCTTTGAAACCCTAGAACAAAACTTTTCGGCGGATGTCATATCAGCAGGAGGGGGTTTATCAGAGGGATCTATTGTTACTGGAGAAGTAGGAGGAGGAGAAGACATTGTTACCTTTGGTGGGAAATCGGGAAAAAGAGAAGAGGTGAACTTTGAAGTCGGTGGGAAATGCCCAAAGCTCAAATTTCTTTTCTTCGGGGCAGACTGCAGAGGGACTTCAGGATTTTTCGGTCAAACTAAATTCTGGACTGGACCGAAATAATAAAAGGCTTTGGCCTTTTTACGACGGGTGACTGATATTTAAGTTCATTCAGCTGGGTTTTTTTTTTTTTTTCTTTTGAATGAAAGGGGAGATAATATATTAGAGCCTTTAATCAGGTAATTACAACAACACGACGGTAGTAAACTCCAATAACGTACAACCGATAACAGACTTGAGGAGGTGAATCCAGTCGACAAACTCTCTCTTAATTCGTTTCTGACAAACTAACTAGACAGTTCGCAACAAAATTTAACTCTCTATGGATAGACAAATTCCCCACTATATGTGTCTACCCCTAACTAGTTAGACACTCCACAATAAAATTTGACTTCCTATGAACGTGAGATAAGGTTAAATTACAATCTCTATATAATAGCTCCCTAATCGCTCTATATATGTCACTTGATAGTAAGTAATGATAAAACTAGTGAATTTATTAAAATGAAATCGTGACATATTTGAGACCTTCTAATGTATGAAACTACAAAATTACAAACTCTATTTTAAGAAAACGAAATATAATAAAGGCTCCAAGCTATCTTTTATATACCTTAATAAAGGAAAATCTAGAGAGAGAGGAAATTGGGATAATTTTTCACTTGTCACGTAAGATTAGCAATTTTTTCCATTTTTTGATTTATTAAAAAGGAAAAAAAGTTTTATTTTCGGTTTAAAAACTCTAAGAAAAAAAGATATATTACTTAAGTAATCATTCGATAGAAGATTCTATTTTCAAATACTCCGGAACAAATCTTACCCGATCAAATCTTATCTTACCTAAATCTTCTATTCTAGTAAGAAGTTTTTTAAATTTAAATCATACTCTGTTGAGTTAATCTATTAAAAATTTTGAAAGGCTATCGATTGATTTATTTTCTTGCTCGAGAATTTGATGCGATGGAAGAGTTCACCGCAATTTGAACACAAAGAGAAAGTTGATGATGTTGAAGGACCACTCCAAATAACAATTGATTGATAATATGATTCGGCCATATTCCAAAATTTTTTTCCACAAAATCATGTAAGTACGCGTTCATGGTTTTTCCCCATTCGTCTATATGTTAATTTTTTCATAAAGGGATGACATGTCGGACTGTTGTTCCATAAATTGGGCGATTATGTTTCGATTAATCCAATTTCTCCGACTGTTATGGAAAAACGCTACGAGATTTGGCCTGAAAATGCCTTTATTTGATCTTATTACGCGTATTGAGATCACAAATTCACGTTGCCTTTTGTTAATATGCAAGAAAAGAAGGGGATAAATGTTCTGATTTATCACAAATTGCAAAGGTGTTCTTCGATGCAAGATATCTTACTCTTGCAGAAAGTATAGGATTGCCTGATATTTTGATTCAAATTAAGTCTCTATCCCAAGCGGCAAGTGTTTTCTTAATTGTGGAAGCCATGAAATGCATTTTGATAAAGATTTTTGATATTTATAGTCGGATTTGTAAAAATTCATTACTTATGGAAATCTGGAATAGGCAAATTTACTTTTCCAAGAATTATATAGTTTTCTATGTTATAATGAATGTTTATCTGCCATTAATATTGTTATCTACCTTATGCCGCTAAAACATGTAGACTTATGAATAGAGTTGCGCATGGATGTCGGACTTCAAGATCTTAAGCAGCAGTATGAATGATAATATATGCGATCTTATATTTCACTTTGTCCACAGGTATAAATTACCATTTTAAAATGAAAATAATTTTATTTGGCCATCTCTTTTATAGTATTAATCAATGAAAGTTAGATTCACTCTCTCTTTTGCAAGTTATATTATATGAACACCACTCTATTCGTGATTAATAATACTTGAAATCCATCTTATGTATATTTTCATAGATATTTGTTTATAAAGTGATATTTATTTAAAGCAGGATACTTTAAACTAACACTGTACATTAATCCATCGAACATGTTTGAACACTTGGGATAGATCCCATTGTGAGGGAAACTCGTAAACTACCTTATAAGCTTTTGAACTCGTTGATGAGCTCCCCCTTAACTAGAAGTTACACTAGAAAATTGCGGCGAATTATGCAGCACTAATCCATCCTCCATTCTACAACTTCCATTGCACTAATTTTGGAGAGCCTGTGAATCAAATCCCATTTGCAAAAAGGTTAACAATATGGATCAGTGATCATGTTTGGTTTCAGAGAATTGATGTATAGGGAGTACTCTATCTGGCTCCCTGTCAGCTCCGAAAATATGGTCTACCATCAGAGACTTGAGATCGTTCAGGGTCATCGGTTCCTCCCTAGCTGCTACTGCTTCCACGACAGGCAATCTCATCAACTCACTTTGTATGGCAGTAAGGAAAGTTTGGTTAAACTTCTCCTCAGCTAAGGGATCCATGCTATGCAGGAGCTCAAAAGGAACTTCCTGAATCTCAGACAGATCTGACAAGGCAACATGACGCCCCCATGCCTTAGCTGGAACCATTAAGCCGGCTACAAACTCAAGAAATCCCTTGCTTTGGAAAACGTTGCGGATAAAGAGCCGCAGGAATTGACCTCTTTCCCCTTTAAGACGAAGATTTTCCTCCTCCAAAACAGATATAAGTTCTTCCTTAGCACGTAAATGTGCTGCACTGTGATCACAAAGAAGTTTCATCTTATCTTCTGAATCTTTCAGCTCGCGCTGACTATGCTCCGCCACGGCCTGAATTTCTTTCAGTTGTTTTTCCTTAGCACGTAAATCTGCTGCACTGCGATCACAAAGAAGTTTCATCTTATCTTCTGAATCTTTCAGCTTGCGCTGACTATGCTCCCCCACAGCTTGAATTTCTTTCAGTTGTTTTTCCTTAGCAACTAAATCCGCTGCACTGCGATCACAAAGAAATTTCATCTTATCTTCAGAATCTTTCAGCTGCTGCTGACTCTGCTCTGCCAAAGCTCGAACTTCTATCAGTTGTTTTTGGAGCTCCTCGGAACAGGAAGCACAGTTATACACTTCATTAACAAAAAGCAGACACTGTGAAGACCAGATACACAGCTCAAGGTTAATCATCAAACTTAAAACGAAAATAAAAGAACGACAAGCAAGACATTGGGCAAACCTCAGAGAAGGAAGTAAAACCTCGTCTCCCCAGTTCCTCCATGGATAGACTCGTGAAAGATTCCATTCCCTCACAAAACATTGAAGGTGGGTCCGCACAGATCATGAATTTGTTCACATTGGTGCCCACATCTTGATGAGGGGTTGAAACTCTTCTTTTTTTATTGAGGTTTTGAAGATCTGAAGCAGCACCATGCTTTTTCGTTTTCAGACCATGCTGCCTGGACCCCTGCATCTTAGAGGGTGGACAATGAACAGGTGATTTTTCACCCTGAAGAGAAGGAGTCGTGAGTTTCTCCGCAGAAGTTTCCTCCTCAGAACTCAGTTTCTGAAACAGACGGTACAGTGATTCGGGGAGCAGTGGCAGTGGCATTCTTCAGAGCAATAAATTGAGAAAGATTCATATTATCTGTGAAAATAAATTAAAACAGTAAACAAGAAACTATGAGCCAAGAAATTAGAAGTCATGTCCTCAAAATCACGAAATAACTAAGGAAATAAGACAGGTTATGATACAAATCTAACAAGCAAGTTCAATCCATCCACCTGAATTGGGAGAAGAAGATCCTCCAGAAGATGATCCACAATGCTCAGCTCTAACACCATCCAATGCCTCCTCATTTATCTCAGCTAGTGATATACTGTGGCCAAGTAATTTATTAACATCAGGAAGAAGGGACGATTTAGAGGTCGGCTCCTTCACATCCCCAGCAGATTCAGATACCTTTGAGTAATTCCATTCCAGCGGTAATCCTAAAGAATCAGTACGCACCAGGAAAAACTGCTGTTTCCAGCCTTTATTCGAAGAATTTACATCCGTGGTCAGCAGGTTTAATTTCAGCTCACAAAATTTTCTCCTAGGAAAGAAGGTGTACCATCCAAACCCAGTGCTGCTACAGGGCTTTATGAAGTAAAAACATCTAAACAGATTTACTGAAGGTTTTACACCCTAACGACTACACAGAATCGAAAACCCAGCTAAGAGTGCAATGGCATTTGGGGCTAATTGGGCTAAAGCTACTTCGTAATGTGACAGAATCCCTGAAACTAAAGGAAAGAGGGGAAATCGTAAACCGAACATAAATTGCTTCAAGTTAACTGCCGTGTAACCGACTGGCGGGTGGCAAGCCCTCCATCTCGGACCGGGAGCTCTAACTCCAAATTTCTCAGGGATCTAATACACTTTCGCTATGCTCAAGGCAATTTCTTTCGAAACCTTAGAAGAATACTTTGCGGGTGATGGCATAGGGGTACCCTCAGGTAGAGGTGGAAATTTTCTTCGTTCAAGACGAAGAGAATTTTCAGGTAGGGAATCAGCTACCGGAGAAGAAGAGGAAGACATTCGTACCTCGGAAAAAATGAACAATCGAGCAATAGAAGAGAAAGGTTCTCTACTTCAGAAATCGGCCGATCAAAGTTTGGGGCTTCATTCCTTCTTTAGTCTTCATATAGAGATCAATGGGCACGGCCAAAGTTTCAGTTGCAGAGAAATGCATGACAAACCGATTCGATTCAAGGCACTGTACAACTAATTTACTTCAAAATCAAAAGAAACACACAGGACCGGAATTTCCTCTATCTAGGATTGCAAGAATTTCATCTTTCCCGATTGTGCGTGATTGACCCTTTTTCAGACTTTGGAAGAAGAGAAATGGAGTAGACGTGATAAAGAGGCCTTTGGGGCTTTCATTTCTAATAACTGAATCATTTGTAAGCAAGACAAGATCCAAATGAGAAGCCCCAATATTTCCATCAGTTGCAGATGTTTTGACAAGTACTTTTAATCATTTATATGTGAACTTCAAATTTCTTTCAGTGTTAATCATTTCATCCCAGGATCTCGTCCAGTGACCATTACGTGTTGATTTATACCAATGAGCCAATTTTTTTATTTTTACCAGTAAGCCAATTTTTATTTTTTTTTTTGCGTTTGTTTCCTGCTTTCTTTTTCTTTTCTACCTTTTGCTGTAAACCTGACGTACACAGAAATGTTAAAATGCAACCTGCTTTCTTTTTCTTTTCTTGCTGTAAAGCTGACGTACACAGAAATGTTAAAATGCTCATGCTGCTCAACACACAACCAGAGACTCCTTCCTGGTGTCAATTCTAAATGATACTAATGTCAAAGAGTGGTTTATGCACCCATCTCAAACGGGTTACGCCCCGGTTGTACTTCGCAATAGGAGGTGTCCTGGAAAGGGAGCTGTAAAGTAAGGTAGTGAGGGAAAATGGGAATGGAAGAGGGGGCCAAATGGCTGATTCAATAGGTTGTGTCGATGTGACCAAGCAAGAAATTGATGGAACAAAACAATTGCAACATAGACCATCCCATTCATTCAGTCATTATTTCACTCATCTAACAGAGATATTCAACTGAGTCATAGCCATCCGGATCACTTGATCGAACATGTAAGGCAGAATAAGATTGCTAAGTTTAGTCCATGTTTAACAGCTCTTCACCACTAACCGCCAACTACTAAGTTGGAATTCTACATGGTCCACAAACGAAGAACATGAAAATGCTATCACAAAAATTATGAAAACAGTGTTCATGCCACTAAATTAAGAAACAAATATTAGCACAGATTGTTCGACCAATGTAGCCTATAAAAAGCACGAGCTTCAAGTTCACATATTTATTAACCCGATTCAAAATCTTCATAGCTTGTGATTCATCAAGTCAATTGAATTTTCAAAAGATGAATGGAACACTGCCATCGTTTATGTTGAACTCTCTCACTTAAGTTTTGCAAATAGCTTCGGAGCAACCTGCATTTCAGAACATTCACAATAATGAAAAGCTGAACTAAAAGGAATAGTGTATTGTGTAAATAGAAAAAGCCAACAAATTAAAGACGGATGGATACATACGCATTTGTCCACACAGTGCCAATAATCAAAAGATTGACCAGTGCAATGTTTGGTCCCGGTATCATCATCTTTGATTCTCAACACACAATCCTGTACAATTGAGGCTTCTATATTAGTCGCGGATTTGGGAAACAATCGTAAGCAGAATAAGATCTGAAGCAAATCAAAACCAAGAGAGTCATATGAAGAGCCAAAACCAAGCAAGATGCAGCCGCCTATGTTTCCCTATCAAACTAAAATCATAGTTAAAATCAACAAGATAAGATGCCATTATCTAATACCAGTCAATGCATCAGTCTATAATGCCTGTTCCATGACAAAATGATAATACTGTTTGTCGTAGACTCATTTTGAGACAGTGGGAGAAATTTAATATCTTAATCAATACAGCATTTCTGCCATTTGAATCAAGCAACAGATTTTATGAAAACAGGTCCTAAGCCACTAAGTCAATCTACCAGTACTGTCGAGGTAAAAACACGACATGACAAGCATAAATCAGCAACCAATTTTCAATCAAACATTCAGATACAGTTCAACTGCAGCATACACATCTCACAATGTCAAAGCAAACACAAATGAACCAGGCAACTACTAACCATTTTCAAGTACACATTCAGTGACAGTTTCAAATACAGCACACATCCCACAAAGTTAGCGCAAAAAAAAATGAACTAGACAACCATGTAGTGTTCTTAAGAAAATCTGCTAGTTAAAAGATTGAAGTCATCCAGCAAGGATTCTCATCATTATAACCTTCTTCTACATACAATAACCAGGCAACTACTAACCATTTTCACAATGTCACAATGTCAAAGCAAACACAAATGAACCAGGCAACTACTAACCATTTTCAAGTACACATTCAGTGACAGTTTCAAATACAGCACACATCCCACAAAGTTAGCGCAAAAAAAAAATGAACTAGACAACTATGTAGTGTTCTTAAGAAAATCTGCTAGTTAAAAGATTGAAGTCATCCAGCAAGGATTCTCATCATTATAACCTTCTTCTACATACAATAACCCTCTTCTACATACTGTACACAAAACGCCAACTGAATACAATAGCACCACAAACAGATAACCATACTCTTCTGTGATGGACCTTAGGGTAGGATACGGTCTAGGAACAAGAAGAATTCAGTGCAGAAACACAGACCATAACATAGGGTGGATACCCAACTGAAATAAAAGAGCATTATTTCTATAATTCTAAGAGTAAATGAGGAACCCAACATGGGTTCAGCAGTTCAATACCTCATACGCTCGCCATTCCCTAACGCATTTGGCCTTGCAAACTGTTTCAAGCTCCTTCTTTGGATCAACTGGTTCCTCATCCGACCTAATTGCAAAATATATCAAGAGAATTAACACTTTGGGAAGGCATCAACGAGTACAAAATCAGGAAACAAAATCGCAGAGAAGATCAAGAGATGAGCAACCGATTTCACAAGCAGACACTCACAGATAATGGTTAAAGATTCCTCTTTAATAAAAAAAATCCCACGACAAAATCAGTTTCCTCGCCACTAATTAAAGGGATTTGAAACCTAAAAATTGTATAGTGATCATCGCTTCCTACTAGTCCTGATATTTTTATTACGAAGAGAAGCGATTGTTCCCAAGGATCTCCACCACCAATCTAACAAATGTCAACGCATTCCAAACAAACAGTTACGCCTTTCAATCATAGTTCTAGAGAGACAGTATTCAATTTCAACTCGTAATTCGGGAATACTATTTTCTTCTTTAATTAGTTAACAGAAAGCATTCAATAGATCACAGCGTTTCACAAAAAAACAAGACTGCGAAACGGACTACTTTAGCTTAGGTAAAAACAAAAACACCATTAACAAAAAGCAACAATCACTCGGCTTGCCAATTAAAGGAAGATAACAAGTATGAATAACTCACATGGTTGAAATCGAAAGAAGTACCGAAGAGCTCGCTGTCACCTGAGAATCCAAATTACACCAAATCAGAAAATTAGATCACTATGTATCTTCGATTGCAGATCAAGAAAACAGATCTGGATCGATTGAGAAATGCGGAATCGAGGAATAATGAACAATAGAATCAAGAATACTTACGAAGGTGGTTTGTGTCTGAGAAGCTGCGATGAGGAGCGTAGGTATCGAAAAAATGAGGATTTGACTGCGTAGGGTTACGCCTGGCTGCTTGAGTGCTTGACTCAGTGGCCCTGTGAATTTTTCTAGAAATTACCGGTAAATAAAGTTTAATAATTGTCATTATAAACCCTAAAGTTTAACGTTTTATTCAATTGAACCTCTCTATTTTATTGAGACAGATCACAATGATATGATCCAATTAATTACCATATGCCAATACTTTATGGTTCTATTTCATATTAATATTAACCTAAAATTCTCCATATGTTTGATCGTTTTATTACTCTCCCTATCCTAACATTATTGTCCAGTTTAGATTTCACTTTTAGCACAAGGACCGGGTGGATTACAGAGACTTGAAGCTCAGCCGCCAGGGGAAAAACATTAATTGAGGCATGATATAATGGGTGTTGCATATCCTAACTAAGCTAAATCTAGGCTTCCGCAGGGAAAAACCTTAATTGAGGCATGATATAATGGGTGTTGCATATCCTAACTAAGCTGAATCTAGGCTTGATGCCTCTTTCTCTGTAACTAAAAAATTAAAAAAATTTGAAAATCCAAACTGGACAATCGGAGAGGATATATAACAAGATATTTCAGTTGAGTCATTATGTGAGCAGCGTGTGTTAGTGGATTTTTACAATGAATGACGATCTCTTGTAACTATATTTATAAGCTGTTATATCTCTATCATAGATTTTGTAAAAAGAATCAAAGTACTTGATTGAAATCGTGTTTCTTATAACACTTGTACAAATAACATATGTCTCCCATCTTCATTTGACTGACTGCGTGTAGTGCAAAACACATGATGTTTCATTTTTTGGTATGAATTTTTTCAAAAGTACTTAAAAAGGAGTTAAAGGTCATAAGCTGACGATTACACCTACTCGTAACTGATGAAATTGAAGAACAAATGCTTCAAACATTTGCCAATGTCATATATAGTGACATACGAAAGCATCTCTGCATCAGCATCGTTCAAAACGAAGTGATAGATAATCTCTGACACAAAAACTCGTTTTCCTTCAGTCTCTCTGTACTGGTGCAGAGGGTTTATGCTCTTAAGTTGACATAACATTGGTTTGGAAAAAGGAAAAATCTTCAATGCCTGCTTTCTCCAGGTAAAATCCTTCTTCAATCTGCATTGACATTATTAATTAAATCATACACATCAATTCTTTCTGGGGTGATTCTGGAGTACAAAAAAAATGTTTTCCCTCTCCTTTTTTTTTTTTTTTTTGCTGGTCTGTTTATCACTTGATTGAAATTTATGTCAATTAGTGTTTTCAGTGGGGGAAAAATCACTGTAAGGATCTTACTGCATAAACTGACCAATTGAAGTTGATTGTTAAGGTTCTTTTCAGAGTCAAATCACAGAAGATTCTTTTTCTTTGCTCTAATTAATTTGATAACCAGGTAAACAGCCCACATTGGAGAGCAATGTCGACAAGTAATCAGCAAGAAACTGGTCCTTCTTATGTCGGGAAAATTGCAGGTAGTAAAGTAGATCATCCATACGAACGGGTGAGATGGACAGATGATATGGTGAAGCTTCTGATAACTGCAATGTCTTACGTAGCAGAGTACGATGCATTGAATTCTGATCATTCTGAAGCTAAAATTGAAAGGTTTTTAATCCCAAAGACAGGGAAATGGAGGGCTATTTCAAATGTTATGCTCGAAAGAGGTTATCGGGTATCGCCCCATCAATGCGAGGACAAGTTCAATGATTTGAACAAGAAGTACAAGAGATTGAATGTATTGCTTGGCAGAGGCACAGCTTGTCAGGTTGTAGAGAATCCGGAGCTCATTGGATCGGTGGATTTGTCTGATAAAGAACTGCTTGAAGTGGTGAAGATTTTAAGCTGTAAACAGCTGTTCTATCGCGAAATGTGCTCGTTTAATAATCGCAATCGTGAGTGTCTTCCTCATGATCCGTCTGTCCATGATTCACTTTTGTTGGCTCTAATCAAAGGCAAAGGCAATAGGTTGCCGGAGGCGATTCATGAGATTTCTGCAGGAAGAATGAAAGAGGTTGAGAACCCTAAAGTTGCTGGAACAAAGAGGCCTTTGAGGTGTAACGCTTCCAGCAAGGGCGAAAAGTTAGTGGATAAAACAATGAGCTCTCGCTTGCTAGATTTGGAGAAGGAAAAATTACATATACAGAAGAAGATATTAGAAGTGGAGAAATTAATACTCATTGAAAGCCAAAAAAAGGACTTAGAATTGGAAAAAATGAGGATGGAAAACAAGATGATCAAGCTTGAGAATCAACGTATAGCCTTTGAAATAAGGTGAATGCTGATAGGTTTTAACATATTGACTAAGTACTTTCACTGGTTTATTTAGACTGCGCAGTTATAAACTGTTGAGATGATGACATTCTTATGTTTCAAACAGAAGTTTGTTGTTGATGTTGGAATTGATTCTGCAAATAGTTCATATGTGACTTCTTTTGCAGACAGCAAATGATCAAGAGGAACATTTCATGCTGTAAAAGAGATGAGTGAAGTTATGAACCTGAACCAGGTTTAGCTTTTGCTTACCAGATGAGCATCCGTTTTCGGACCAATGACTTCTCTATATCTTCGATGCTCCTGAAGTTTTTCTGTATTTGTCATTTGTCTTTTCCTGTTTTCGTTTAGGAATGCAACTTCCAAATATTATGAATTCTCCTTGTTTTATTGGATATTAATTTGGGCAATTTTTTAGATTACGCAAATGATGGTCATCATCCTTAATTGGATTTGATGTTAGAATATGATCAAAAATCAAAGAGAAAACCGAAATTTTTGAGGCTATGAATATGTCAAACTGTCCTAAGAAATATTCATACAGATCTTTCCAAAAACAAAACAACATTTTCCCCTGTTTCAGACACAAAGAAATGGTGCCTGAACATCGAAGATCCCATTCCATCCTAAGACGCCATTATCATATGTTTTTTTTTCCGTTTCATTTCTCCGTGGCAGCCATCTAATTTCCCACAACCATCTACAATTACATTATTCAATACCATAAGGTATACACCATCACTCCCCCACACACACACACATACATCACTGCTCTGTTTTGATTTCATCTTTCTTATCTTCTTCTTCTTTGTCCTGTTTTAATGGGGTTGTTTCTTCCTCGGTTTTAGTTTCTTCCTTTTTAACATCTTCTTTTACTGGGGCGGCTTCCTCAGTTTTGATTTCTTCTACTTTCTCCTCTTTTACTGGGGATGCTTCCTCAGCCGGTTTGATCTCCGGGACGGCTTCGGTTATCTCAGCCTCCTTTGGTGTTTCTTCAACAGCCTTCTCCGCGGTGGATGCCTCAGCTGCTGCTTCAGCCTTTCACACAAACACAACACAGAGCCATAAATTCATTTTCCAATTAACTGTAGAATTTGATAGACAAATATATTGAAGGAAGGAATATTAGGATGATGATTAATTTGAAAGGGATTGAAATGCATGATTTTGTTTTTCCCTTACTTCCTCTACGGGGGAGACTTCATCAACCTTCTTCTCTTCAACTTCAACCGGGACGGGGACCTCGGTCTCCTCGGCGGTGGCGGCGGCGGTTGTTTCTTCCTTGGCTGGTTCAGGAGCAGGGGCATCTTCCCTCATGGCCTTTGGTACACTAGCACAAGCACCCATTTTTTTAATTCTTTTTTTATTTTTTGTTTGTGTTTATTGAAGATCCTTTTCTCTCCGGATGAGAATCGAACCTTTCTCTCGCAAAAAAGGGACTCCGGCGAAGAGAAAGGTTATGTTAATCAAAGAGAGAAAAGGAGATGATTATATGTGGTAATTGAAAGTCCTGAACAAAGCTTGAGTTTATATAAGGTATGTTGTTCTGTTTAGGTTTTTGCATGAAGCTTTGGATGGATGGTGTGGAACTGTTTGAGGAAGTCGGTAAAATTAAAAGTTGTCTAGATGCTTGTTGGCGGGAGTGAGGCTGTAACTCTTTACATGAAATCAGTGGAGGAAAATTCCAATTTATTAGTTACTAATGGATGGCTTTCCGATTTTTACTGTTACCTTTTTTCTCAATGCTTAATTGGACTTGTGATTTTTCAGGTACTTCTCCCGTCATATACTAAAATTTTTCCGTAAAAAATAATTGTCCTTGTTATTGTACATTTTGGACGAAAAAGAGTCTAATTTAACTTAACTATGGAACATTTTGTGGTTTTTTTGGATGAGATTACATCAATCCAATAACATAACTTCATTTACACATTCATGCAACGAGAGAAATGTACTCCTCTGCCCTAATATTTTAATTACTGACTCTGTCCCAAAATTATTGTCCAGCTTAAGAATTCATTTATAATTCATTTTGAACTGGAAATGAAAACTCAAACTGGACAATAATTTATGAGACGGAGGGAGTATGTATATATATATATATATATATATTTATTCGACTCATGGTGCTGTACATCACCAAAATCTGTAACAAGTGATTAAATTTCAATTTGACGCTATTTGTCCAAGTAGCTACTCGCTTGTTATTAAGACTACGATAGTGGTACGTACACATTGTGATTAATCATCCAAGACCCAAAAATTTATGGAGCAGTAGAAGTTTCCATTATGTAATCATTCAGTGAAAAAAAAAACATGAATATAAAAATATAGAAAGCACAAGTTAGAACTTTGGTGAAATAACATGATGTAATAGAGGTAATTTATTCCCGTAATATTGTAATTTAATTTCTCGACTCTTTAAGCCAATAATAATAATAATAATAATAATTCCCTCGAAATAAAAAAACACAAAAAGTTGGTAACGGACGGCAGATCAGCATGCAGGGCAAACTCAGATCGTGGATTACATGCAGCAGCGGTGGTTCTGTTCGGTCCTTTCCCACACGTGTCATTGTTCATCGTCATCATCAACACTTGAATAGTTGCAGTCATCTGTTTAGTTCCAGTCATCTGTTCACCTTATACGCCGTAACCGCCCGCACGCCACCGAGATCATCACCGGGTCCTTTGAAAACCCGACCCACATTGCAATTTCGATATCCTGATCATATGTTATAAACAGTTTAATTACAATCACATTAAGGTAGACGACAGGAAATTGAGCTTATTGCTCCACTTTTTTTGCTTGATTTTTTCTGCATTTTTGAGTTTGAAAGGAAAATAAAAAAAAAAAAAATTGAATATGGCGATGGGAATGGGAGCGAGACTCTGGAACATGGTACCTGGGCTAAAGGCGACCATGATGATGATAACGGTACAGGTATCGATTGCGGGAGTGAATGTGTTCTACAAATTGGCTTCAGATAATGGAATGAGTGTTCGAATCATTGTTGCCTACAGATATCTCTTTGGTTCTGCTGCTGTTTTACCCCTTGCCCTGTTCTTCGACAGGTCAGATTTTGTGCGCATCTTCATTCAATTTATTGGAATACTAACAGCAGGAATGCATTTTTCATTTTGAGGAACATTTTTTGGCTTTATGCAGGAATCACAGGACAAAACTAACCTGGATGGTTACTATCCAAGCATTCATTTGTGCTTTATTTGGGTAAATTTACAAAATTCTGGTTTTAGTGAATCGATTCCGTCTCGAAATTAGTAGTACGAAATATCAGGTTATGCTCAGTTACTTGAAAATTTGAAATTCAGGGGAACAATAGCTCAAAATTTGTATGCACAAGGGTTAGTCATGACTTCAGCAACCTTTGCTTCCACTGCAACCAATCTCGTCCCTGCTTTAACCTTCTTGATGGCTGCAATTTTCAGGTAAGATTACTCTTATTCTGAGACCAAGATTATACCCAATAATGCGAGTTCCTTATCAAATTCAATTTATGAATGACCAAAGGTTGGAGAAGTTTGATTTGAAAAGCAAAGCAGGGAAAGCTAAAGTGATTGGGACACTGATTTGCATTTCCGGAGCTATGATTCTAACGTATTACAGGGGAGTTGAAATTAAATTGTGGCCGACAACCAAAAGTGATAAGCATGGTAGTGAAGATGCACACTCGCAAACGTCTCATGACCGGAAAACCTCCGATCACATTGTCGGATCCATGTTTCTCATAACCAGTGCTTTCTGCTCTGCATTTAGTTTAATATTCCGGGTACGTGCATTCAATTTTGTTTTACCCGAAATTTGTTTGTCTACTTTGATTTAGCATTCTCATTCGATTGATTTATGATGTTCAAATTTTTTCCAATCAAGTTTGAGTCCCAATTCATTTTTAGAAATTCAATGTCATCACTAAAAATATGTGTCACGGGCATGTTTAATTGATAGGAGATTTGTATGAATGGTTGATAGAAAGAAGCTCTTGTAGCTGAGTATAACGACCAATCCAAAATTAGGAATTCACACCGGGATCAAATGTGGGGAGGCACCAATTTGAACGGCATTTGACCTCATTTAACATTCCTTTGTTTTTATTTCCTCTCCCTTCACTAACATGTAATTATTCTCCATTTTTTCTTCCCTTCTTCAATCGAAGACTAAAATGAGTAAGAGGTACCCTCACCATTATTCAAGCACAGCTCTTATATGCTTGATGGGTTCTTTTCAATCTGTGATATTCGCGCTCTGTATGGAAAATAAACATTGGGACGAGTGGAAAATGGGGTGGAATATTAGGCTCCTTGCGGTAGCTTATTCGGTATGTCAACATCCTTTTTTTATTCAATTTGTTAAGTACCTTTTTCTTTGGGCTTCGATGCACTATTTCAGTTTGTGGAAACTACAATGAGAGTGATGGTTATAATTAACTTTGCCCCCCCAAAAAGAAAAAAAAACTGAAAGAAGTATGGATTTTCGTTTATATTTTGATGCAGGGGATAGTGGTTACGGGACTAATGGTGGTAATCATCATGTGGTGCGTAAGGCTGAGAGGTCCATTGTTCGTGTCCATTTTTAGCCCTCTAACGCTAGTTCTGGTTGCCTTTGCCGGCACTTTGTTCCTTAATGAAAAACTGTATTTGGGAAGGTAAAATCATTCTTACCTTACAACCGATGGCTGTATTTGTTTCATTAGTACTTTTTTACATGTCACATTCATCAATGATTAGTTTGATTTTTGGTGTCGATTAATTCAAAATGGTTTGGAGACAGTGTGCTGGGAGCTGTGGTGATAGTGTGCGGATTGTACTCGGTGTTATGGGGAAATGCAAAGGATGTAAATAATAAGCCAATCTCCCAAAACTCTGAATATGATGATGGTGATGATCGAGAAATTGAGATGCCAAAGATGGCCCGAAATGGTGAAGATGTTGATAAGAAGGGTAACCTGGTGGTGGCGGTTGAGATTGCTCCAAATTTACCCACCGTTCCAGGAATTAGTAGTAGTAGTACGTCATACCATGAAGAAGAAGAAAGACCCAAAAGGGCAGGCATAGCTTAGAGCTAATTCATACGCAGCCTGGCGAATTACGTTTACCAGCACGATGGTTGAGGGAAAAAGGATGATGCATTTTCGTAGCTGGAGCTGATCAATGTTAGCTTAAGGTTCATTCACATTTACTCTATAGTCTATCCCCCATTAATTAATGGATCGTGTTTTTTTTTCTCTTTCCAATTATGGGGGAGAAGAATTTGACTTTGATTTTCAATGTGTAACTAGGGGGTGTTCAATTAGTCAGACTGGATGGGAAAAGAATTTTTTTCTACTCTAAAGTCTATAATGATCAGTCAAAACAATGGTTTGTGGTCGTGTCCAAAGTCCAAACGAGTTGATTGCAAATGCGCAAATTATAGATTGAAAAAAAGCGTGTACAACTTAAACTGTCTGGTGTTAATAATGCCACATCAACTTTTACGCGATGGTTAACTTTGGATTGATGTTTTCTTCTTCCGTCTGATTGAGATTGGAGATGGATGGAGTATAACTTAGTCCCAAGGTGACGGTGATTGATGTAAGAACACATGTTTAACTTATGCAGACGTATTATATCAATCCAGGCCTTTCTGCAGGTCAGTTGTCGGTCTTGGTTCAAGGGATCTTATCTTAACTTCAAGATTTGGTATGCAGACTGCGGGACTCCTCGTGTGCGCATGTGGTAAAGTACCCTGAAAAATCAGTGCTTGTCTACATCAAACACAACCCAATTACTTTAGGATTAGTCAAATTTGGATCATGTTTTTGAATTTCTTAAGTTGGAGATATAATATATTACACTTTGTGTAAAATAAGATGAGAAATTCTATCTTTTCTTTAAAATATGAACATAACGAACTAATCAATTTTTCACAAATTATAATGTTAATTAATACTCTCTTAATATAAAGTATCTTGATCTGTCCTAAATTTCATCTAATATAAATTTTTAATTGACAAAAAAACTTAAAAAATATTTTTTAAAAATCTCAAAAACACAACAAATATGAAAATATAATTTTTAAAATTTTTTCTTCAATTAAAAATATTACATACTAAGTAATATATAGAATAAATAAAAATGGATTATATTAAGAACCATGGGACGAGGAAGTATTTTATTTTTCTTTGGGACCGAGGGAAAATCAACAGTCAACAATATTTTGTGTGACATTCTAGTCAAAGAGGACCGAACCTCAATAATCATATTCAAACTAGTTGGGCGCCTAGCCATAATGAGAGTAGCCAGCGGCTACGCTGACACCTCCCACCCATATGGAAGAGGAGAAAATCAAATTTAGCTCTTTTGATGGGGGCACTTTCCAAACCTAACATCTATAAGAAGGAAAGCAACATCAGCACAACAACAAAAAGAAAAAGCCCAAACCCAAAGCCAAAAAAATACCAGCCAGAAAAAAATGGAGAAGAAGATGAGCGCAGTAGCATTCATTCTGGTGATTTTCATAGTATCAGCCTCTTGGGATGTTCCTGCTGTTTCAGCCCAAGGCGTCAACTGCATCGATAATTGTGAAACCGGCTGCGTCCAACCCAACCGTATGTGATCCCTCCTCCTTTTTTTTGAGACATACTAGTAGTAACTAATTACAAGTGAGTTTTTTCCTTTTTTAAAGTTCAGAACGGATTATTCGATTTGGAGCTGACTCTGTTTTCTGTTGTTCGTGTTGTATTGCTTCTTTCAGAGAGGCTTCAGGCTCGTTGTATGCGCAAGTGCCAGATTAGGTGCGGTCCAGGTATACCTCCAATTTTCACTCCCCAATTTTTAAACATGACTTTCATTACTATCTTGCAGTAGTAGTATCAATATAATGCATCCGTCCAATGAAAATACAACTGGTCATCTTGCTAAACTATTTTATTTTTTTGGGGACGAAACGGATATTATATTGGCATGACTAGTTATAAGTGAACTTTAATTTGGTAAATAATTTTTATCGTGGCTCGAAATTGATTTGGTACAGATATCCGCTGATGAACACGGTTAATTTTTTTCTGTAAATTGCAGATAGTCGAGCTGCGGATTTAGCTGGACATTTCTAACTAAAGAATTTATACCACATCGCAAATGGGAAGGCAGTGATGCTTCAAATGATCCATTTAGCACAGCAAAATTTAATAATTAGTACTATAGTAGTGCATGTACTACAATTTGTCCTTGTTATCACGAAGACTTGAAATAAAATCAGACTACTTTTCCATTTTCACTTCTCAGAGTTCATGATTTCTCTGTCCTCTGTTACTCCATACTTCCATAAAACAAGGGATTCTCTGCCACCTTGATAATTGGTTGTAGTGGTGAAACTGGCTACTCATATTTGGAGGGATCGATTATATATTCATAATCAATATCGAAGGTCGAATAGATTTGGAGGGATTAACTATATATTTATAATGAAGGTTGAATATATATAATGTAAAGTTAATCGTGAGTAACCCGGAGGGGATCGACCCCCGAACCCTTAAGAGTTCCCGCCCCTGATTGGTTGAATGTGGTAAGAAAAACGCCCCAGAATGAATACCATACTCGCGATAGTGTACTAGTTTAATTTTAGGCGTTTTCTTCGGTACCAAAAAAAAAAAGAAAAGAAAAAAGCCCCATACATTAAATTGAAAGAGGGTCTGCAACTCTGCATGGATCAAACACTAATACTCCAATGAGAGATGTCAAAATGATGAACGATTATGAAATGTACGGAGTAATAAATACAAGGTGAGCAATTCGGGATAATGAGGGTGTGGCCGGCCGGTTACTACGCCGGATGCTGCCTCAAGCCGCATGAGGCACACATGTGGAAGGGGATCCGAGAAAATAAAAACTTGCAATTTTGAATAAAATTTTTGGCAAGTTGTATGGGGCATTTTCTAGTACTGTAGCATCTTTAAAAGGGCAAATTCATTCGCACAAATCAAAGATGAAAAACAGCATTTATCAACAAGAAAAACAAAATGGAGAAGAAGATGAGGGCTTTGGCGTTCATACTCGTTCTTTTCATTGCAACCGTCTACTTTGATGTTCAGGTTTCGGCCCAGACCCCCGACTGCTATCATCAATGTGACAATGGCTGTTTCCATTTCTATGACTTCGGCGGTAAATAAATACTAGGATGAACACATTACTTTCTCCAAATTGTTAAGGGTGTTTCTTTTTCTTCCAAGACATCAATGATTGGAGTATTGATGATTCATATTAAGGTGTATAATTTGTCCCACATCGCCACCGTAAAGAGGAGTGCCTCAGTATATAAGTGTCAAATGTCACTCTACTTATTGCCAGTTGGTTTTGAGATGAGAGCCCAAAATACTTATATACTCATTGCCAATTTTTTTTTTTAACCCTTTTGAAAAAAACAATTGTTTTCTTCTTTTCAATTCTTTCAGAGAGGCGTTTTCGTCGTTGTTATCGCAAGTGCCTCATAGGTTGCATGCCAGGTACCTCACCAACCTCGTTTTATCGTTGCTACAATTTATTTTCTTACCAATTTTACATAACTTCCATTTTACTACTTCTAACCTTTTTTTTTTAAATCCGTCGATTGTAATCTCTCCATAAAAACCTTTTTTTTTTTTAAATCCATCGTCCTTCGAGTTTACCTAAATACTCCCTCCCATTTTTAATATAAAATATTTTGATTTGTCCTAAAGTTCACCTAATATTTATTTTTAATTGACAAAAAACCTTAAAAACATATTCCCTATTTGTTGCGTTCTCTTGATTGATATAAAATATTTTTAAATTTTTTTTTGTCAAGTAAAAATGCATATTGGGTGAAACTTATGACAAATTAAAATAATTTATATTAATGACCGAATGGAGGATATTACTATATTATCCCTAATTAAGGATCTCTTGAAGGGTGACGGGGCAATAAATTTTACAAACTACTCAAATAAATCTATGTTTTCAAAATCGGACCGGATCAGGCTGTAGAACCGATTAGCCTAGGAACCGGAGACTTTACCCGTCTGATTTCTAAAATGAACCGGATTTTTAAAAATCCGGTCAAACTCGGTCAAAACCGAATAAAATCGCGATTTGATCAGAAATCGGTACCGGTTAAACCGGTTTTTCATAAATATTTTTTAAAAAAATTAATTTTTAATATTTTTAATATTATTTTAATCGATTTTTACCGGTTTTGAGGAACGAGCTAACCAGTCAATCCAGTTGACCCACCAATCCGGTCATGTTAGCAGTTCTCTCTCCGGTCCGGTTTTGAAAATATAGAAATAAACCTGATGGAAAAGAAATGAAGAGAATAGTGTGGACTGTGGAGAGCATCATAGGCTTAGCGCATAGTGTGAAATGACATATATGCTGTTAAAATGGAAAAGTAATTTTACTTCAAGCCATGAAAGTCATGTATGTCTACAAATAAATATATATTTTTTCTGTTTCAAAATGATTATCTTTATTAGAATTTTATTTTTATTATAATTTAAAATAAAATAATATATTTAAACTGAATAATTATTTGGGAACGAATGGATACCTTTTCGACTTTTTGGTTAGACATCCAATCGTCCGAGTTTGGGGCTTTAGGGGGATGATTTCTTTGAAATAGAAGCTTAATCTATAGAACTTATTGTGTAAATGTGATAGTGAGCTCCTATAAATTGGATGTAGTCTACTTCTAGAAGATGCCGTACGTTGATCTAAAATGACGCAGTTTAGATGATAATTATATGCGTGCATGGTTGACGATTTGATTTCTCTATGAACGCAGATGATGTCTAGCTGAGAGTTCAGGTGGAAATTGAGTATCCAATCAAACATCTTGAATACATTCTGAATTGGGGGAAAGCAATCGTTTCCAACTTCCTAGCCAGTGATCGACTCTTTGGCAGAGGATTTACAACTAACGTAAACTCGTGCGCAAAGGTCCTTTGATTTACCAAAAACTCGAAATAAATCCAATCTTTCTCTGTTGAAATAATATTTCAAAGTTATTTTCGTTCTTAGAGTTGATGAATATATGTAAAACAGTTAAGAACATGGAGCGAGGAGTTCAAACATTGAAATTTTCCCAATCGATATCCTGGTCAAATCAAAACTTGTTAGTGAAGTACTTACTATTAATTTGTTCACTCGACGAAATTGAAGAAATAAATGTTGTATCTATCATCTTATATAGTTCAATCCTTCGTTCTCGATCCCTCTTATGGAGATCACCTTCAATCTCATTCGTTTCATCACGTTACACCGTACACGTCTCGGAACTTCTTGTACTATGCACATGCATTTCCATAAACATAAAAAAGGGTTTCTTCTTAATTGATGTGAAGGACCAAGTCAAAACTAATCTAATCATTACAATCAAAAAAATAAAAAAATAAAAAAAAATCAACGTTCAAACTGGGTAGGCGACTTTGCCATAAAGGAACGAGGTGTGGCCACTAGCCAGCTACTAACGTTTGGATTGGGAATTTGGGATGTGGCTATGGGATCAGTAAATGCAGTTTGGTTCTAAATTAATCCGTTTCGTAAATCACCAGTGGGTATCTAGTTAATATTCCATCTGTCCCACAAAAATAGTCCAATTTTAAAATATACAACTTTTTTAATTTGATCAAACCCTCTAATATACAACTCATTTAATCATTTGAACTTTTATTTTTGCCCATGATCGAAAATTAATTTAATATAGTGTCAGCCTGTTAGGATCTCAGAGAATGAGATTTGATCCACCGTCGCCACCCCCATCTTGATCCCCGGCGGTCACCAAGGACAACTCATCCGCCATCTTCGCCTGATGTTTCCAATCCGTTTGATATAAAGTATAAATCATCATTTCTCAACAAGCAGCCTGCAATGCAATCAATACAAGCCCCTATCATCCAAAACAAAATCCTAATTTTAAGCAATTTCATCGCTCTCCCCAAATTCTCCCCTCCCCCCCTTTTTTTTTTTTGAAGAAATTCACATTGCTCCTCTTCAGCCCGGCCTAAACCGTATGTAAATCTTCTTCCAATTTCACACAGCAAAGGAGATCTGACAAAACACTTACGTAGAAATAATGAAGTATAACCGCAAAAAAGACGCAGCAATGGTTGAACAAAGACGGCCAGCAACGAAGAAGACACCAACTGCAACAGAGATGGCCGGCACGAGGAAGAAAATTGAGATGATGATTAGGAACAAAAAAAATCCGACGAGCTAGCGAGATTTGGGAAAATATTCCAATACTATCACCGGAAAAGTTTGGAATTAAGACTTTACCGTCGTGGACCGGCACCAGGTCACTGATTGAATCATTTATCAAAAAGGGTAATTAAGTCTTTCAATTTATTTTAATTATGACTTTTGTGGAACTGGACTATTTTTTTGGGACAATATTTTTTTATGAAACTGGACTATTTTTTTAGGACGGAGGAGTAGTATATTGGCATTAACGTGAGTTGAGAGAACCTATTTTATTTGGGAAAAAAGATTAGAGAACATGACCTTTAATTAAAAAAAAAAAAGAAAGAAAAGAAAATGTGCGATATTTTACCTATGTGCCTTGCCTTGTAGGAGAACTTCTTTATATAGTGAAACAATTAATTTTGGCAGAGCTGTGTTTTGATGAACATGCTTCATTTCTCTATAAATGCAGATAGTCAAGCTTCGGATTCAATCCGGAATTGATGATTTCTAGTAATACAAACCCATATCTTTACCATATTTGCGAGTGGGAAGGCAGTGGAGTGGACTACTCCGAGTGATCCATTGGCAAAGGAGAATTTCAATTTTACTAGTGGTGCATGTACAACTTTCCCGTGTTACAACTTACAACCACGTTAAACAAATGAGACTTAATTTCCGATTTTCAGAGTTACATTGACTAATTCAGAAGCACAAACAAAACAAATCAAATGGACACAGTTTGGTAAATTGAGAAGCCCTTGAAAGTCTGTCCAGAGTTTTGGTTGGTTACGTCAACGATTAAATTAGCATTGGCCATTTCAGCAAGTCAAAATGAACCATTATGATCTTCAATACACAACAAGTTAGATCGAGAAATTTGCCGTAATGACGGTGTCCCGCTAATCCGCCGGATGCTGCCTCATGCACATGTGCAAGTGTGGGGGAAAAAAAAACTAAAAAATTTTAACACTTGAAGGAACTTGCCAATAACGGAGTATCTTTTAAAAGGTAAAATTCATTCACAAATCAAAAGCAAAGCAAAAAACCCAGACAAAGTGAAAATGGAGAAGAAGATGAGGGCTCTAGCATTCATAATGGTTCTTTTCATCGCATCCGCCTCTTTTGAAGTTCAGGTTTCAGCCCAGCCCGTTGACTGCTTTGATGGTTGTGATATGAGCTGTGTCCATTTCGATCCAGACGGTAATATACATTAGTTGAACACATTACTTTTGCAAATTCGTGGGGTGTTCTTTTCCTTCCTAAACATCATCAATTCTAGTGTTTTGATTCACATTTACTTTCCTGGTTTTCTCATTCAGAGAGGCTTTGGTCTCGTTGTAGGCGCAAGTGCTTTATAATATGCGGGCCAGGTAACTTGGATTTCTCTGGGTACCAACTTTATCTTTCCCTTTTGCTAAGCTTTATAGTGATTGTCAAAGAGGAGAGTGTAAAATGTAAATCGGCATGTTACAAATGGAAATTAAAGTGATCAAAATCATGGATGTCTACAAGACTACAACACAACATCTTTTTGGGACTTTAGGGAGTTATGGTGGATGATTTATTTGAAATAGAAGCTTAATCGATTGAATATTTCTCATACAAATGTGATAGCTCGTGAGCTCTATACCAAAACTAGAAGTGGAATCACAATTTTGTGCTCTTAGTTTGCTATTGGCATCTTTTTTTTTTTTCTTTTTGTGAATTTTAATGATGATGAAGAGAAATCCATATTGGATAGTTGGATTTCATTTCTGTTTTCCCCCTTTCCAATTTTCAGTGCCTATTTCAGGATAGCTTTTCATATTCTCTTTTATGTGTAGTTGCATATTGAGCTGATTATAAGTTGGAATTTTAGTTAAGTGCTTATATGTATGTTAACAACCGGCCATTAAGCTTGGACACACTTAATCTAGGAAAATCCAAGATGAGATAAGTCGGCAAGATTGTGATCGCAAAATCCTTGGACAAACATGCAACTTTTAACTACAAGATGTTAGAAAGTCAAATAAGCTTTGGCTGTAGAAGAATTTCACGTCCCGGAAGCGATTTACCTAACTTAAAACTTAATGATTATTAAAGGCAATAATTCATAATATTACTACTCCCTCCGTCCCATAATTATTGTCTAATTTTACTAAAATGAAAGATTTTAGTTTTGGTCAAATTTAACTATATTTTACCTTAAACAACCGGATATACCCCTATATAAGTAATTGTTTAACCACTAAGATTTTATGGATAATGTTTTTTACTAAAGACAAATGTGTAACTTGATCCATAAAAAGTCAAATTGGACAATAATTTTGAGACAAAATTTTTTCGGGCAAAGTGAACAATAATTATGGGACGGAGGGAGTATCAGATATGCCAGACATGCCAAAATACTGGTCTTATGTGTGGATTGATGGTTTGATTTCTCAATGAATGCAGATAAATGAGGTGA